TGCTCCCGCTCGAGTCCTGCTCGAGCATGCCCTTGTTCTCGCCCGAGTCGAACACGACCTTGGGCGCCTTGGGCGGGTCGTACTTGCGGTTGATCTGCGCGGTCCAGCAAGCGCTACCGTCAGTGCCGTTCCCGGTTGAAGAGAGAGACATGATGCGGAAGAGGCGAGGCGCGACGCACCTTGATCCAGATGCCCGACGCGACCCTGCTCGCGTGATGCTCGTCGCACGGTCAGAGACTCTTCTCTCGAGGAAGAGACACTGCCGAGGAGAAAGGGAAACGAAGCGCGACGCACCAGAAGACGCCCGTCCAGCCGACGAGCGACACGCTCGCAAAGTTGCCAAAGATGCCGGCGTTGAGCAGGATCGACAGGAACTGGCGGATGGTCATGATGAGCGACGACGTGAGGGCGCCCTGTGCACAACACGTCGAGGACAACGTCAGGACCGGGCTCGCATAGGAGGCGCGAGCGCGCGCGACGAAGGACGGGCGAGACGAGGGACGCACAAAGGACGCGATCGTGTTGAGGAGGACGATGAGGCCGAGTGCGCTCGCCGCCGAGAAGATGCACGCGTCGGTGAACAGGTTCAAGTCGGAGAAGAGGAGCTCGAGGTTGGGGCGGAACGAGCCCGTCGCGCTCGACGCGACCGACGCGAGCATGGCGATGACGAACGCAAAGATGTTGGTCCACACCATCTGGTCACTGTGTGTGGGCGCGTGTGTGAGTCGCAAGGACAGTGTCGGGCGGGAAGGAGGGACAGAGAGAGAGGGCAGGGACGCACAGGACGGGCGACTCGGGTCCGAACGGGTCGCTCGACGACGGGTTCTTGCCAAAGACGCGCTCCTGCGTCGTCGACACGAGGCCGTCGAAGAAGAGGTACCCGAGGAGGAACATTGTGCCGACGAGGCCGTTCCAGAACGAGTCGTCGTCGGCGACGACGGCGGCGTGCCGGCCGTGCGGGACCGGCGGGGTCGAGAAGAGGTACGTCGCGCAGCTGTTGGCGGCATCTCGGTCAGGTCCGGCTCTTCCCGAGACGATAGAGAGGGAGAAAGGGACGCGCCCAGCAAGAATGACGCCGCCAGCGACCCACTCGCGCGTCAGATGCTTCTTCTTCCACACGAGGGCGCCGACGACGAGGACGGGCACCATCTTGCTCGTCTTTGCGAGGCTCTGCGTCGTGTACGACACGTACCGCAGCGCCTGGTACTGGCAGGACGTCGACAGGAAGTTGAACGCGGCGACCGAGGCGTAGCTGCGTGTCGAGGGACGTGAGCGTCTGCGCCCGACGAGCGAGGGAGGCGGCGACGCACGCAAAGTAGGGCGACGCGGGCTTGAGGCGCTGCGAGAAGGTGCCGAACTCGGGCTGTCGGCGAGTCTTGTACGCGAGGATGCCGAGGCCGACGACGACCGAGAAGACGCGGTTGAAGACGATGAGGAGCGACGACGAGGTAAAGTGCCGGTGGTCGGGGCCTGTGTGCGCGGGTGCTCGTGTCAGCTCGTTCAGTCCTCGGGCACAGGGCACGGTCGGCTCTCGGCCGAGGGGCGGCGCGTGCTCCTCCTCATCTGTTCGACCCGAGGCGAGGGAGAGTGGACGCACCGTACGTCGAGCTCTTCATGATCTTCTCCTGCAGGACGCCATAGAGCCTGTGTGTGCAGGAGTGGGTCAGCTCGGGTGCCGGCAGGAGCGGCAGGTCGTGAGAGACGAGGAGTGGGAGGAGGACGCGCGGCGACGCACGAGTAGATGAAGATGAGCCCTGCGCCGTGGAGCAGGAGCGAGAAGCGCTTGGCGACGCCGTCCATGGCGATGGGCGCGTCGGCGAGGTGCTGGCGAGCGTGTCGGGGCGCGAGGGCGAGCTGGGAGAGGGCGACTCGAAGTGGAGGAGGAGGGACGACGACGAGGCGGCTCGATCGCTCAAGGGAGGTTTGGCGCCGCTGAGTTGGGTCGGGCGGGGAGCGGCTCCTGTGGCCCGGGTCGGGCAAGGACGAGTCGGCGCAAGAGGTGGCGAGCTCGGGAGAGAGGGGAGCTGAGCAGGTGGCTGGCACCGAGCGGGACGGCTGCGCGCTCAGAGAGGTGCCTGCGCAGGACGCAGGCGTGTGCGGACCCGGCTCCTCACCAGACGCGCGTTCGCAGCGCGACAAAAGCCTTGGCACACAGTGGAGAAGCTGGGGGTCCACCCGAGGGCTCGGTAGCCGGCCCGGCGGACGAGGCGGCCGCCGCCGACGCGCCCGGGCCGTGCGCTCGAGCCTGCGAATGAGCAACCGCTTTCGCTCGAGCAGCGAGGGCGGGAACAGGACAGCTTGACCTCAAGCTGAGCGAGCGTTTGGACGCTGGCGACGAGGTCGATCGGTACCGAGGGGGGCGGGGTCGCAGCCGCGCGCGCAGCCGCAGCCGCGGTCGGGCCTCTGCTGCGTGTCGTCGCGGTCGGCGCAGGACAGATGTCGGGCAGGAGGTAGAGAAGGAGGAGGGCGCGTCGTCGCTGCTCGTCGTCGAGCACACACTTGCGAGCTGGACGCGGTCGATGGCGAATTGCGGGGAGCGCGGCGGCGAGGTGTCGCCGTGCTGCTGCGGGTGCGCCCACTCGAGGCCGGCAGCGGCGACGTCGAGAGGGCATCGATACGCTGAAGGACGAGCGGCTGGTGAAGGCGCGCGAGGCCGGGTACACTGCGCGCTCTGATAACGCGCGGCGGCCGGTGCGCGCGTGGTGCGCAGGGCCGGCGAGCGCGAGCCGGGCGGGCTGACACGCCGACGAGCAGCAAGACCGTCTCTCGTCGACGAGTAACACGGCGTAGAGCGAGAAGGAGAGAGAGCAGAGTACCGCGCGTGAGGCGGCGCAGGAACGTTCGCCGGAGGAAGCGGTATCCCCGTCTCCAAACGTGCCGCTTCAGACAGCGTGTCTCGCGCATGTCCGCGCAACCTGGCACGTCGATGACAGACGCAGCCGAGAAGGACGAGCCTGCGCAGATAGTGCGCAACGCGCAGGACCGGAGCTTCGCTCAGCGTGCCGGCGCGAGAGCGTGCGCGAGGTGCCGTCGTTGAACGAGCGAGCCAGCGTCGACAGACTAGCTGGTCGGCCACGAGAGCAAGGTGCGAAACTCCCGCGGCTCGGGAAGAAGCTCGACGAGAGCAGCAGCACGCTCGAAGCCGGCGAGGGCCGAGCGAGAGCCGGCGAGAGGCACCATGCGTCGAGCCGAGCCGAGCCGCGCCGGGCAGGCTCAGGCAGTTCGAGCAAGCCGGTGCGCGGTCGTAGCAGCCTCGAGCATTCCCTGCCGGGCTCGAAGCCGCACTCGGTGGCAGCGTCGGGCGACGTGCGAGAGCCCGCTCGGGCGGAGGGGTCCACCGCAGAGCCGTTCGCCCACCGATGGACGCAGGCGCGGAAGCTAGACGCGACAACTGCCGATACGGCGCACCCACAGCGCATTTGGCGACGCCTGGTGGCGTTTAGAAGGAGCGAGAGGGCGCGGTAGATGAGGCGGCGAGTCGAGGGAGGGAAGGAGGCGGAGGTCGCTCGGGGAGGGCGTACAGCGGCAGGAGCGTGCCTGTATGGGATGCTAGAGCGCAATGCAAGGCAGCAAGGTGGCCCGCAGCACGGTGTGCGAGGTGGTAGCGTCTCGTCCTCCTGCTCCCTCATCTCGGACCTCCCTCCTCCGCTCGCCGCTCGTCCGCCTACCTCGACCCGCCATGCCGTTCGGGATTCCGCGCTCCGAGCCACCGCGGCCCATCGTGCCGCCGCCCATCCCGCCCTCCAAGCTCCCTCAGCACGTCGCGCCGACCCCGCTCTCTCGCGCGAGCCAGATCGCCAGCTTTGCGTTCGCGACAGGTGCGTCCGGCGTGGTCTCTCTTTCGTGAGTGCAGCAGACCTGACTCGAGCCTCACTGTCGCGCAGGGTTGACGGCGTACGCCGTGCTCCTGTACGACTTTGGCGACAAGGAGCACGTCTTTATGCCGGTGCGCTCCCTCCTTCTCTGTCCTTTCGTACGCTCCGGGCAGCGCAAACTGATCCTCTCCTCCCTCCCACGCCGACGCACGCAGGTCCGCCGCTTTGTCGACCGACACACGGCGTCCTTCTTCACCCTCTCGGCGCAGGACCGCCAGGTCGTCAGCGCGCGCAAGGAGGGGGGCGTCGTCGCGGCCGGCGACCAGGCGCAGGGCGTCGAGCAGGTGCAGCCGGACCGGAGGACGCCCGTCGCGTTCTTCAAGGAGAACCCGGTGCTCGGCAAGGAGGGCGAGAGGGAGGTCGGCAAGGACGGCAAGGCGGTGTGAGGCGGCGGTCCGTTGGCACGTCGCGCTCGTGGGAGGGGTCGAAGGAGGCGACTGGGGGAGGAAGAGAATACGAGGGACGGTGGGCTCGTCTGGGGCAAAAGAGGTGCGTCGCCGCCTCTCTCCTCGAGTATCCTCTCTCTCTCTCACGGACTGACTTTCGCCCGCACGTCTCGCAGAACTACCCACCTTGTTGTCTGTACACTTTATCGCGCTGCGCACCGCACCACTCGTAACTTGTCAAGCAATCTCGGCGACCTTGGCTCGAGAGCGAGGGTCGCACCAAGCGGCGACGGACCAGCTGCTTTGACGAGACGGTGTCGCGAGAGAGCGGGAGCGTCGTGCTCCTCCTTTCACATGTGTGCTGCACGTTGCCGACCTGCAGCTCGTGCGATTGGGAATTCAAAGACACGGGGCGAGACCGCGTCGTCCTCCCCGGTGAAGCTCTCGCCCTCTCTCTCCACCCTCCTCACCTCGCCCTGCGTCACCTCTGAGCCGCCCGCGCCAGGTCTGCCGCTCCCACCTGACTCGTGAGTGTCGCTGTCCCCTTGTGTGCGCGTGTGCAGCGGTGCGGTCAAGGAGGCCCGCCCGTCGGTGATTCGCCCGCACAGCGTCTCATCAGGCCCCCGAGGTGGAAGACGGGTCTGGTCGCCTTGGTGGGCCTTGGGGCGGGTCTAGCAGCAGCGCAACGTACTGACACGCCCTGTGTGCACCTCGCAGTCCACCCAGCACCTCGCCCAAGATGCGGTCCAGCTCGCCCTCGTCGTCGGACGACGACAAGGCGCCCTCCGCCACCGGCCACTCGTCGCCGCCGCGCTTCACCGACGATGCCGCCAGCCAGGCCGCGAGCGACGAGGCCATCCTCGCCCGCCTCGGCTACAAGCAGGAGTTCAAGCGCGAGTTCACCAACCTCAGTGCAAGTCTCTCCCCCCCCCCCACCCCCCTCTCGAAACGGCGAGGTCGAGCTGACCATGCTGCGCCCATCCTGCAGACCATCTCGTTCGCGTTCTCGATCATGGGGTGCGTCCACCTCTCCTCCTGCGTCGTGTCCGGGCCGGTCTCGTCAGGCGCGAGGAAGCCGGTGGACCCCGGCTCTCTGCGCCGCACCGAGCTGACTTCTAACTCCCTGCCCACAGTGTCGCCTCGTCTGTCGTGACCACGTTCAACACGCCGTTCGGCCTCGGCGGCCCGGCGAGCGTCGTCTGGTGCTGGTTCATTGTGCGTCCCTCAGCTGGGTTCCCTCTTCCTCCTGCGAGACAGGGGACCTGACCCGCTCGTGCCGCTCACAGGGAACCATCATGTGCTTCTGCCTCGGTACCTCGATTGCCGGTCCGTCCCTCGTCTTTCCCCTCCTCGTCTCGCCCCGCCCTCACAGGAGAGCTGACCTCGTCTCGCCCTCGCAGAGCTCGTCTCTGTGCGTCTCTGCCGTCCCCTCGCACCCCTCGAGCGCCCAAACTGACCTCGAGTCGTTCGGCCCGCAGGCTTACCCGACCAACGGCGGCCTGTACTCGGCGTCCGTGTTCCTCGTGCCCAAGCGGCATCGCGCCCTCATGGGCTGGACCGTCGGCTGGTGCGTCGCAATCGGTTCCGCTTCAGCCTCGTCGCGTTCGCGCGACCGTCGCTGATTTCTGGAATGCCTTGTGCCGCAGGCTCAACCTCCTCGGCCAGGTCGCCGGTGTCGCCTCGACCGAGTTTGGCCTCGCCCAGATGATCTTTGCCGCCGTGCGTCCCACTCTTTCCCTCGTACGCCTTGCAGTCGCCGACACTGACACGGTGTGTGCGTGTCCCTGCAGGTCTCGCTCTCGCGCGGTGGCGCGTTCGTCCCCAAGCCGTGGCAGATTTACCTCCTCTTCATCGGCCTCCTCCTCATCCACGGCACGCTCAACGTGCGTCCTCCTTCGTCCTCCCGGACTCGCATCCCTCTCTGACACTCCCTACCCTCGCGCGCAGTCGGTCGGCACCAAGGTCCTGTCGAGCATGACCAAGACGTTCGTCTTCTTCAACCTCGGGACCGTCCTCGCCGTCATCATCTCGCTCCTCGCGTGCACCGACAACAAGAACTCGGCGAGCTACGTCTTTACGCACAACATCAACGGCTCGGGCTGGAGCTCGGACGGCCTGTCGTTCCTCCTCGGCCTCCTGTCCGTCACCTGGACCATGACCGGTGCGTCGTCCCCCTTTCCCGCTCGACAGGTGGCCCCGACACTCACTCTTGGGACGAGCCCGCAGACTACGACGCGACGGCTCACATCTCGGAGGAGGTCAAGCGCGCGTCGTTCGCCGCGCCGGCCGCCATCTGGATCGCCGTCATTGGGACCGGGATCGCCGGGTTCGTGTACAACATCGTCTTTGTCCTGTGCTCGGGCGACATGGCCGACACGGCCGACTTTGGCGTGTCGGGCTACGCGCCGGCCCAGATCCTGTGGCAGAATGTGCCGCGCCCGCTCTTCTACGTCCTGTGGGCCTTCATCTGTTTTGTCGCGTTCCAGGTGCGCCTCCGTCTCCCTCTCTCTCTCGCCCTCTCGACGTCCTGTCTGTCCGAGGACGAGTTCCCTGACGATGAGCCCCTGCAGGTCGTCGCCACGGCGACGCACGCCAACGCGCGCTCGTTCCACGCCTTCTCGCGTGACCGCGGCATGCCCGACCGCGGCTTCTTCTCGCGCCTCGCGCCCAACAAGATCCCGATCAACGCCGTCTGGCTCGTCCTCTTCATCTCGGGTGCGCCCCACTCTCTCTCCCCCCCCTCCGAGCTGCGCCCCAGGACCGTCGACTGACTCGCGAGGGGCTCGACCGCAGCGCTCATGGGCCTCCTCGTGTTCGCGTCGACGATCGCCGTCAACGCCATCTTTGCGCTCGCCGCCATGGGCATGGGTGCGCCCCCTCTCTCCCTTGCATCGTGTGGGAGAGCGACACTGACAGCCCGGCTGGCCCCCCCGACAGACTCGTCGTACCTGTTCTCGATCGTTGCGTGCATGATCTGGCGCAACCACCCCGAGGGTGCGTCTCGCCTCACGTCCTTCCAAGCTCAAGCTCGACCTAGCTCGGCGCACTGACCCTCTGTCGGCCGACGCCCGCAGTCATGTTCAAGCCCGGTCCTTTCCACCTCGGTTGGGGCATCGTCGGCTGGAGCGGTCCGTCTCGTCATTCTCTCTATCTCTCTCACCGTCACGAGCCCGGCCCTGACCCTCTCATCGACGCCGTGTGCGCCCCTCGCAGTGCGCATCATTGCCGTCTTCTGGACGAGCTTCATCGTCGTGCTCCTCGCGCTGCCGCAGATCATGCCCGTCGTGAGCGACAACATGAACTATGCGAGCGCCGTCACGGGCGGCGTCGTGCTCCTGTCGACCGGCTGGTTCTTCATCGGCGGCCGCAAGCACTACAAGGTGCGTCGTCGCCGCTCGCTCCCTCCCTCGACTCGACTCGAGGCCACGAGACTGACCCCCTCGCTCGCTCACCGCGACAGGGCCCGAGGAACGTCCTCGCCGAGGAGAAGACGCAGAAGATGGCGCCGACGGGCGACGACCTTGACGAGATCAAGGCGCCCAACGGCCCCAACTGAGCCGTGCGTCCTCTTCGCTCCCTCTCGCTCGCCTCCCTCCCGTCGCTCACCCTCCTGCTCCACGCAGCTCTTTATCACAAAAACGACTCGTCTAGCAGTCACCCCCACACATACTATCCTCATCGTCTTGTCTCCCCTTCTGCATCACCGGCCTCGTCGTCGTCGTCGTCTCCGTTCCCTCGTCCCTCTCGCGGCCCTCAGTATCATCGCGCCTCCTGTCTCGCCCTCCCTCATTCAGTGTGCCACTTCAACTTGTGCAGGTCGTCTCTCTCTCATCCCGCGCTCTCGTAGATATCCCCCGCCCCTGCTCGCCTGCGGCTCGTTCCCCGGGTCGCGGCCGGAGCCCGTCTGTGCAAGTCAACCTTGCGGTCACCTGGCGCGGCTGCAGAGAGGCACGGGCTGTCTTGTGCGAGGCAGAGCGCGCAGGAAGCACCAGGCGACGAGGCGGTCGCGCCGGCTCATCTTGTCGTCGTCGTCGTCCCAGGCGGCGACGCTCCCGTCTCGGCCCCTCCTCGTCTCGCTCGTCCGACGCAGCCAGCTTGCAGCTCGCCGAGATCCGCTACCAGGTGCATCTGTGCCTCCTCGCCCGGTCCCACACGCCGCCCGCCGCCTCACCGCCCGCTCCGCCCCCGCCTCGCGACTCGCCTCGACCCGCCCTCACCGCGACCACCACCCGCACGCCGAGCCCTTGCACCACCCGAGCTCAGCGCAGAGCAGACCGCCAGCCATGGGTCGGAGATTCGCCGGCATCAAGGGCGTGGACGCGTTCGGCAAGGTGCGCCCTCCTCCTCCCCTCTCTCTCTGTCTCGAGGCGAAGGACGTGAGGACGCAGGCTCACTCTAGGGCCCGCAACGCAGACGATGGAGGACGTCAAGATCAAGACGGGCTTTGGCGGAGCGTGTGCGTCCCCCCTCTCTCGTCCTCCTCGACGACTGCGCGCTGACCTCGGGTGGGGGTGATCCTTCCTCGCACACAGTGACGCTCGTGTCGCTCAGCCTCATCCTCGCCCTCACGCTGTACGAGTTTGTCGACTACCGACGAGTCCACATGGTGCGTCGACGCCGCGAGCGCCTCCTGCCCCTCGGAGGCCCGCCGTGGCCTGTCGAGCAGGCTCCTCGCTCAGACCCCGCCGGCGTTGACACACCGCCCTTCCGTCTCGCAGGAACCCTCGATCGTGGTCGACCAGTCGCGAGGCGAGAAGCTCGTCGTCAACCTCAACATCTCGTTCCCGCGCGTGCCCTGCTACCGTGCGTCCTCCCTCTCCTCTTCCTCCTCCTTCTCGCCCGCGCCCGCCTCCTAATCTACTCCCTGCACCCACTCGCAGTCCTGAGCGTCGACATCATGGACATCTCGGGCGAGCACCAGAACGACGTGCACCACGACCTGTTCAAGACGCGCATCGCGGCCGACGGCCAGTTTGTCGAGGAGGCCATCAAGGGCAAGGAGTTGACGGGCGACGTCGAGCGCGTCGCGAGGCAGAAGGCCGAGGGCTACTGTGCGTCGTCGTGTTCCGCTCGGCATCGGCGTCGACGAGCTCGGCTCGTCGTCGTCGTTCGACTTGGTGCCTCCCGGACTCACGCCTCGTTTCCTCGTCCGCAGGCGGCACCTGCTACGGCGGCACGCCCCCGACCGAGGGCCCAAACCCGGGCTGCTGCAACTCGTGCGACGACGTGCGCGAGGCGTACGTCAGGCGCGGGTGGAGCTTTGTCAACCCGGACTCGGTCGAGCAGTGCGTCAGCGAGGGCTGGAGCGACAAGATCAAGGAGCAGGCGGCCGAGGGGTGCAACATTGCCGGCAAGGTCCGCGTCAACAGGGTCATCGGCAACTTGTGCGTCCACCTCTCTTTTCTCGCCCGCGCTCGGAGCCTGCGGCGCGTGGTCGAACCCGACTGACCCGCCCTTTTACCCTCGCGCGCGCGCCGCGCAGCCACCTGTCGCCCGGTCGCTCGTTCCAGTCGAACCAGATGCACGTGCACGACCTCGTGCCATACCTCCAGGCCGACCACAAGCACGATTTCGGCCACGAGCTGCACTCGTTCTCGTTCGGGACCGAGGACGAGGCGGCCTTTGCCGGCGCGGCCGACACCAAGCGTCGGCTCGGGATCAAGGACCCGCTCGAAGGGCTCAAGGCGCACACAGAGGAGAGCAACTAGTGCGTCGAGCTTTCTCGCCCGTCTCGTCTCGTCTCGTCTGCCTTCCCTCGAGTCGAGCTCACCTCGCGTTCCCTCCCGCTCGCAGCATGTTCCAGTACTTCCTCAAGGTGCGCACCCGCTCTCCCTCCCCTCTCTATCCCTCCACGAAGGGCCTCATCTGACTCGAGCACGGCCGCTCGCAGGTCGTCTCGACCAAGTTCGAGTTTCTCGACGGGCGCGCCCTGAGGACGCACCAGTACTCGGTGACGCAGTACGAGCGAGACTGTGCGTCGCTCGCTCTCTCTCTCTCTCTCTCTCTCTCTCTCTCTCTCTCTCTCTCTGTCCTGCGGCACTGACTCTCGGACCGAGCGCACGTAGTGAGCAGCAAGAAGGCGAACGAGAAGGCGGGCGGGCACCAGACGATGCACGGCTATGCGGGCGTCCCCGGGTGGGTCACGAGTCGCCCTTCTCTGTCCGTACCGAGTCTCTCAGTACTGACTTGTGGACCGTGCCCATGTCCCTGCAGGCTCTTCTTCAACTACGAGATCTCGCCGCTCCAAGTCATCCACCGCGAGACGCGCCAGTCGCTCGCCCACTTTCTCACGTCGACGTGCGCCATCATTGGCGGGATTCTCACCATGGCGTCGCTCGTCGACGCGTTCGTGTACGGCCAGACGCGGCGCATCAAGAGCGGCGGGCAGGTGAGCAAGACGGGCCTTGGGTTTGCGGCACCGGGGGGCAAGATGCTGTAGCGCGCGGCGGCGGGCGGTGGACGCAGGAGGGAGGGGTTGCACTGTTGGATACCTTGTGCATCTTGTCCGTGTCGTCGCGAGAGCTGCTCTGCGCGTTGAGAGGAGGAAGCGCTCGCTGTTGGTCGACTCCTCGCCGGCACCGCCTCCCTGCCCTCTCCCTCAATCCCGCTGCTCGCCCCGCCTCGAGAGCGATGGGCCGCGCGTCCAAGTCGGCCAAGGTGAGCTCAGCTCTGTATGGACCGTGCTCCTGCCCTCGCACGAGCAGTCCTGACCCCCCTCTCGCCTCCCATCAGCCGACGTCGCCCCGGCAGTTCTCCATCTCGAGCTTCCTCCCCAAGCTCGCGCCGACCGCGTCCACCTCGTCCAGCACCTCTTTGACCAAGCGCCCGGCCAAGCACGAGGACGGCGAGGGCGTCCTGAGCGATGACGACGCCCCCTCGTCTCGCGACCAGTTCAAGGTGCCGCCTGTCCCCGCCAAGCGCGCCAGCAAGGCCAAGGGCAAGCAGGTTGCCGTCCTGGACCTCAGTACGCACCCTCTCTCTCTCCCCGGGCTGCCTCGCCCCGACGAGGCTGACCACACGCCCCGCCCCCTCCCGCTCGCAGCCGAGGACGACGAGGACGTCGTCGAGGCGCCGTCGTCAAGCCCTCCTCCACCTGCGCCCAAGAAGAAGCCGACGACGACCAAGAAGACGACCGACAAGAAGGGCAAAGGCAAGGCGGCCGTCAAGGACGACGACGAGGACGACCACGACGACGACGACCTCGCCGAGCAAGACGACCCGGACGCCATGTGGGTCGACCGCTTTGCGCCGCGCAACCGCGTACGCCCTCTCCTGCTCTCCTCTTCCATGCAGGCCGGGGCGCAGACTGACCCATTCTTCCTCCCGCATCGCAGGACGACCTCGCCCTCCACGCGCGCAAGTTGACCGACCTCGAGTCGTGGCTCGTCGAGGCGTTCGCGCTCGAGGGCCGCCCCAAGCACCTCGCCAAGTACCGCCGCGTGCTCGTCCTGTCGGGCCCGGCGGGCGCGGGCAAGACGGCGGCGCTGCGGACGCTCGCGCGCGAGATGGGCGTCGAGTTGGTCGAGTGGAGGGAGGGCACGAGCGTTCAGTTGGCCGATGAGCGTGCGTCCGTGCCTCGTTCGCTTCTCTTCGGTGCCTCGCCCTCGACGCGCGAGTACTGATTCGTGACGACGGGCAACGGCGCAGACCGCGAGTCGCTCATGCACCGCTTTGCGAGCTTCCTTTCGCGCGCCGGCATGGCGCCCGCCCTCGACTTTGGGCCCGACCCGTCCGACCCTTCCACCTCGTCCTCGGCCTCGTCCTCCTCCGCCCCCACTACGTCGAGCGCGCGCACGAGCACCTCGTCCCGCCGCCTCCTCCTCATCGAGGACCTCCCCAACGTGTCGCACTACCCGACCAAGCTCGCGCTGCGGTCCGCCCTCGCGCAGTACCTCTCGTCGCCGCGCGTCACGGCGCCCCTCGTGCTCATCGTCAGCGAGGCGCTCGCGCGGCCGGGCGACGACGAGGCCGGCGGCGGCGGCGGAGGGTGGCTCAGCGGCAACGGGCGCAGGGGCGACAGCGTCGACGCGAGGGGCGTGTGCGGCGTCGAGGTGCTCGAGCATCCGGCGTGCAGGGAGATTGCGTGCGTCGGGAGCTTCGGCCTTTCTCTCGCTTGTTGCTCGTTGGCCTCGCGGCGGCGAGGAGGGCGAGCGACTACATGTAGAGGGTCGCAGCACTGACGTTCTCTCCTCCCGCAGGTTCAACCCCGTCGCGCCGACCATCATGCGCAAAGCGCTCGTCCGCACCCTCGACCGCATCTACTCGACCTCGTCCGCCTCGTCGTCGTCGTCGTCGTCGTTGTCGACCGCGCTCGCCTCGCGCCCGACGCTCGCGACGCTCGACGTCCTCGTCGCCCACTCGGGCGGCGACATGCGCTCGGCGCTCATGAGCCTCCAGTTCCTGCTCACCGAGGGCGAGGGCCCTGGCGCGACGAGCATTGGCGGTGGAGCGTCGGCGGCGGCGGGAGGGAAGGGCGGCAAGGGCAAGGGGAGGAAGAGGAAGAGGAAGGGCGAGAGCGACAGCGAGGAGGAGAGTGTGGGTGCGAGGGGCAAGGGCAAGGTCGGCAAGGAGGGCGTCAAGAAGCTGTGCGTCGCGTCGTTCCTCCTGTCCGCCTCGAGCGCTCGGCTCGTCGGTCGAGCGCCCAAGCGGTTCGTTGGGCGTGACACTCACGAACGCCTCCCTCCCTCAGGCTTCAGTTCGTCACGGCGCGCGAGTCGTCGCTCTTCATCTTTCACGCGCTCGGCAAGGTCCTCTACAACAAGCGTGCGTCCCCTCTCGCCCTTTCTCTCTCTCTTTCTCTCCCTCTCTCTCGGCCCCCTCACTGAGCCGCACGCGCACCCTACACAGGCTGGGGAGACTCGCCCGATGACGACAAGAAGGACCGCGACCGGGTCGGCATCGTGCAGGAGCGCGACGAGGCGAGTCGGCTGCCGAGGCACCTGCGCGACGAGTGGGACCGACGGCCGAGCAAGGTCGACCCGGATGTGCGTCGCCCTTTCCCTTGCCTCCTCTCGCCGACACCCTGCGCTGCGGCGCACAGTCGCGGCTCTTGAACGACGTGCGGGCCAGACTGACGCCCCTCGCCCTCTCGCAGGTCCTGTTCGCCGAGGCGCCTCTCGACGCCGACATCTTCCTGTCGTACCTCCACCACAACTACCCGCCGTTCACCGACGAGATCGACGAGTGCTCGGGCATCGTCGACGCGCTCAGTGCGGCCGACGTCGTCATGAGCGCGAGGGACGAGGGCGACGAGGTGCGTCGGTCGTGCTCTCTCCCTCTACATGCGCGTGCCGCTCGGTCCTCGACGCCGAGTTGGCCGCGCTCCGTCGTTGAGCTTTCAGCCTGACCGCAAACTCTACCCCTCGCGCAGGCCTACCGCCACCGCCCGCTCACGTCCCTGTACGGCTTCCACCTCGGCGTGCGCACGACGCTCATGGCGCTCCCCTCGCCCGTCACGCGCCGCAAGCAGGTCCTGCGCAAGTCGGAGCTGTGGGAGACGCTGCGCCTCGCGCGGCAGAACGACGAGGGCGTCGACGAGGTGCTCGTCGGCGGCGCGCTCGGACTCGCGCCCGGGCAGAAGAGCATGGTCGTCGAGGAGGTGGTGCCGTGGCTCGGCCTCATCAACCCGTCAGGTGCGTCGCCCCGTGTCTCTCTCTCTCGTTCGTCGTCGACCCCTCTCACGGGCGTCGCACTGACTGAGCGCTGCGACCGCGACCACAGGCACCTCGCCCTTCCTCCTCTCGCTGTCGACCTTCCCCCCACTGTCGACGGCCGCGCAGCCGCTCGTGACGGGCGCCGCCATCGGCGAGAAGGACGTCTCGGCGCTGCAGGACGAGGCGGGCGACGACGAGGACGCGCCGGCGGTCGACTTGAGCGAGCCGAGGAGGGGCGGGAGGGTGCTGCAGGAGCTCGAGGACGACGACGACGACGACGACGACGACGTCAAGCCGGTCGTGGCGGCGGCTGGAGCGGCGGTGCGAGGTGGTGAGAGAGGCGAGGTCGAGCTGCTGTTCGACCCGGACGACGACATCGAGTCGGACTGAGGGCGACTCGAGGAGGAGGAGGAGGAGGATGCGCGTGCAACTTTGGCCGTCGCCGCTCCTTTTCTTGGAGCGCTCGCCTGGCTCGAGCGACTGTACCGAGAGAGAGAGTAGTCGCTGTCTGCTTAGGCCGCCCGAGCCCTCGAGCGAGGGTCGAGCGACCTTTGTGAGCTGGCGCGCCTCGACGCGGCCCGAGTCGTGCGACCGTCGGCCAGCAGCTCCCCCTCGCTCCGCTCTCGATGGCTCGGGCACTGCTGCTGCGGTGGGCAGAAGCCTGCGTTGTGCTCAGCTTGGTGGCGCACGTCGTCGTCGTCCCTGGGGTCAAGGTCGAAGAGTCGTTCTCGTTGACGGCGGTGCGCGATGTCGTCGTCCACGGCCTCGACCAGCCTCAGCGGGTGCGTCTTTCTGGTGCCCAGTCCTCTCGTGCAGTACCCTGAGACTGACTCGAGCCACACGCAGTTCGACCACGTCGAGTTTGAGGGCGCCGTGCCGAGGTCGTTCATCGCCCCGATCGCTCTCGCCGCCGTCGCCTTGCTCCCGTTCAAGGCCCTCAGCGCGCTCGAGCTCGTGCGCACTGGACTCGAGGCCCAGCTCATCGGTGCGTCCCCACCTCTCCCACCCCTCTCGAACAAAAGCTGACCTCTCTCGCACAGTCCGCCTCACGCTCGCACTCGCCTCGGCCCTCTCGGTCGTCTTCCTGTCGCGGTCGGTCCGCGCTGCGTACGGCGCCAAGGTCGCCAAGTACTTCCTCGTGCTCGCTGCGACCCAGTTCCACGTCCCGTACTGGGCCGGCCGCACCCTCCCCAACGTGCTCGCCTTTCCTCTCGGTCCGTCTCCCTCTCCCTCATTCACGGCCCTGTGGTCCTTTGAACTCACATCAGGCACAAGTCACACAGTCCAAATCGCCCTTGCCCTCTTCGTCTGCTCTCCCTCCCTCTCGAGCATCTCGAACCCGCGCCGGTCGACCCGACTGCACCTCCTCTCGGCCTTCTCGCTCCTCACCTTCACGGCCGTCGTCATCCGCCTCGAGCTCGCGGCGCTCGTTGCGCCGTTTGCGCTCGAGCACCTCGCGAGGGGCCTCGTCGGCGTGCGCGAGCTCGTCGTGACGGGCGTCGTGTCGGCCGCCGCCAGCCTCGGTGCGTCCCCTCTCTCTCTTTTCTCACTTCACGATGCGGTATTGACGCTCGAGTGTTCCGCAGCCCTGAGCGTCGTCGTCGACTCGTACTTCTGGCAGAGCCCGACTTGGCTGTGGCCCGAGGGCCAGGCCTTCCTGTTCAACGTCGTCGAGGGCAAATCGGCCGACTGGGGCGTACGTCCTCGTCTTTCTCCTTCGTCGCGCCCGCTCGAGCACTCGACTCACACACCCTCTCACCTATGCAGGTCTCGCCCGCCTCGTACTACTTCCTGTCGGCTCTGCCCAAGCTCCTCCACCTGTCGCTCCTCCCCGCCGCGCTGTCAATCTTCTCGGACCGCCGCACCCGGCGCCTCGTCATTCCGTGCCTCGCGTTCGTCGCCGTCTTGAGCGGTCTCGAGCACAAGGAGTGGCGGTTCGTCGTCTATGTCGTGCCGGCCTTGACGGTCGCGGCGGCAGCTGGGGTCGTCGCTGTTGGCGCCCTGTGCGTCCCTCACTTTTTCCTCTCCTCGCCACCTGTCTCGTCTGCTCTTCTCGTGCGCCGACTGACACCCTCCGCGACCTGCAGCACCGCCTCGCCCCTCGTGCGCCGGCTCGTCCTCCTCTCGCTCCTCTCCCTCAACGCCCTCCAAACCCTCCTCGGCCTCGCCGCCTCGGCGCCCAACTACCCCGGCGCCGACGCCCTCGCCTTCCTCGAGGCGCACGCCCTCCTCCCCGCCACCACCCCCCGAGCCCCGCAGCACGACCCGTGGCGCGTCCACGTCGGGACCGCCGCAAAGATGACGGGCGCGAGCAACTTTGTCGTGCTCGACTCGGCGCGAGCGCGGCGCGCCGGCGACGGCGGCGGCGACGGCGATGGGCCGTCGAGCGGGGCGTGGTACCTCGCGCCGCTGGTGCCCGCCGAGCGCCACGCCGCCGTCGTCGTGTACGACCGTGCCGAGCCGCGCGCGCCGTGGGCGTCGTACGACTTTGCGCTCGTCGCTGCCGACGAGGCGCTGCCGCCCGATGCCGAGGTGCTGTACACGGCGAGCGAGTTTGGCGGGTGGGACGGGGGGGCGCTGCTGCGGGGTGAGTGGGGCAAGGTGAGCAGGAGGAGGGACGCGGTGAGGGTCGTGAGGTTGCCGAGGGGCGAGTGAGTGAGTGGGCGAGGAAGACTAGAGGAGGTATAGACATGCACTGCACCCTGTTCAAGAACTCGTCGGCGCGATTGGGAGAGGGGCTCGAGCGGTCGCTGGGTCTTTCCGCTCGTCATTCGCAACTTGCGCCCCTCTCGCTCTTCTTCCCTCGCTCTGTCCCTCTCGCAGTCTCTCGTGCTCTCGCTCGCAAACTGGCGCGCTCTCGAGCAGACGCTCAACGTGCCTCGAGGACCTCGCCCTCGCACCTGGCTCGGACCTGCTCTTTGCTCGTACCTTCCCTCGCTCGACTCGCGCTCGCTGTGCCTTTGTCGCACCCTGGCAGCCTCGCCGCTATTGTCAACCTCGTAGCGCTGTCAGGGCGTCGCCCAGAGCCGCCTCGTCGTTGTCGACCTTTCGCAAGTTGCGAGGTCCGTGCGCCTCTCGAGCTGGTCGCCCTCTCTTCTCCGGCTGTCCCTCGCTGCTCGCTGCTCGCTCGCTCGCCAGCTCTCGCCATGTGCGCACGGTGCGCAAGCTCGGAAGCCGAACTCACTCAGACATGCACGCTTCGCCACCCGACCCTCCTCAAGCTACCGCTGCCCCCTCGCTCGCTCGCGCCCACCCGAATCTCGCGCCCCTCTCGCCGCCCTGCTGTCGCCCTGCCGAGCCCGCACCGTCCCGCTCACTCAACCGTCGTCACCTCGACGCCTGCGCGCTCGAGCACGCCCGCGAGCGCGCCGCACGAGCCCTCGCCGCCCTCTCCCCCGACCTCGCCCTCGCCGCCGAGGATGCGCCCGAGCCCGCGCCCGAGCGCGCCGCCGATGCGGAGCGTCGCGAGGTGCGGCGGGCGCTGCGCGTCGTCGCCGAGGTAGGCGGCGACGTCGGCTGGGGCGAAGCAGTCGGTGAGGAGGGAGAGGTGGCGGATCTGGCGTGGGACGGCGGCGAGGATGGCGTTGGTGATCGGGAAGGGGGCGGCGGGCGTCGGGTCGGCCTCGTCGCTCGGGACGCCGCCGTCCGAAGGCGCGATGGTGCACTGCCACTCGAACGAGAGGAGGCTCGCTGACGTGGCGGCGGCCTTGAGGAAGGTGACGACGGCCGAGGTCGCCCGGCGGACCATATCGAGCTCGACGTCGTCGCTCGACAGGCTCAGGTGCTGGAGCGAAGGGTACAGCGCCGGGTCGCACGTCGCGACGCTGGCCGACACCGACAGGCTGAGCCGCGTGAGGATGTTGGCGAACGACGAGGTGAGCGCGCCGAGCTGGCGGTTGCCCTCGATGTCGGTGAGCTCGAGTGTCTTGAGGCCGATCCTGAAGCCGAAGGTGGGCATGCCGTAGAGCAGGTAGGCCGTCTGCGCGCGCAGACTGTGCAGCGTCGCGAAGGCCGCTGGGCGGTCGCGGATGAGGCTGAAGAGGTCGAGCACGTCCTATGGCAATTCGAACCGGCCGATTCGAACGACAGGGTTGGATAGGACGACCCTCGCGAGGTTCACCGCGTCCCAGTGGCAGGTGATCTCGCTGACGGCGGGCAGGTCGCCCAGCACTTGCGCGACGACGCCGTCCACCGCGCCGCCAGAGCGGTACCGACGCAGCGAGCTGAGCTCGACCGCTTGAACGAGGCGGCGCAGGCTGGGTCGCCGTACAAGCACGTAGCGCACGGCGCCGTGCGAGGAGGGTTCCATGCTCAGCTCGTCCGAGATAGTGACGCGCGAGTACAGCCGCCGCTCGACGTCGTTATTGAAGCGCTTGGCGAGGCGCACGAGGGCCGACAGGGTCTTGAGGCGGTCCTTGCCGAGCTTGTCGCACCAGTCGACGACCATGAGGACGAGCTCGTCCGGAACGCGAGCGGGACGAGGGAGGACGACGGCGGCGCGCGAGTGCTCGACAACTGAGCCGTTAGGCGTGTTGGGCGTGCTCATGATGCTCGAGTGCACGGCAGGAGAGCGAGAACGAAGGTGCAAGAGAGGAGCGACGGCGGAAGACCGAGACTCGAGCTCGCCGCCACCGCGGACTCTCCGGACTGGCGACGGCGCGAGCGAGCGAACGACGCAGACGAGCCTTTAGACCTGGACGTTGAGAGCTAGCTGCGACCCTCGCAGAGGTCCAGCCTGAGCGAGAGCTGCGCCCATCGTCGTCGTCGGCCTTCCCAAGTTCCGAGGTCCGTGCGCTGCTCGAGTCGATCCTGTCGCTCTCTTCCTCGCGCTCGCGGCTCGCACGTCTTCTCTCGCACAGCTCGCACGACGCTCGAGTCCATACTGGAACCTGCTCATGCATGCGCGCCTCGTCCGACAACAAGCTACCGCCGCTCCTCGCTCGCCAAGCTGCGCTCCCCTCGCCCGCCGCTGCCCCCAACACGCGCCTCACGCGCCTCACGCGCTCTCCCTCCTCGCCTTCTTGGCCGCCGACCCCTCGTCCTGCGCGTCGCCCAAGTCGTCCCACCACCAACCCGGCCCCGCACCCGCGCTCACGCTCACGCTCAGCGCACGCTTCCTCCCCTGCGCGCCGCCCTCGTCGGCGCCTGCGCCCACGCCGGTACCGCCGCTCCAGCTCGCGGCAGTGCCGAGGCCCATCCTTGCCGCCGCCGCCGCCGCCGTCGCCGTCCTCGCGCCGAGGAGCCCGCCTCCCTGCGCGTACCCAAGCCCGAGCCCGGCCGTCCGCTCGAGGTCGAGCACGCCGTACGCGCCGTCGGGCGTCGCCGCCTGCGCAGGTACAGGCGCAGGTCCCTGGGCGAGGCGCATCGGCGGGAGGTGGACGTGGGCTCGAGCGCTCGAGGTTGGCGCCGCGGCCGAGGGAGCAGGGCGCGAGGCCGTGAGGGACGCCGAGTGCGACGTCGACGGCGCGAGGTGGAACGCAGGGCCGAGCGGGAGCGACAGCGGGAGCGGGCGCGGGTCGTACACCGTCGCCGCCGCCAGCTGCGGCGGCTGCGGCAGCGACGACGACGGGAGGGACCGGCGGCGCTGCACCTGCACCTGCGGCACGCTCGCGCGCAGGACGCTGACCGTGTGCGTGTGCGGCTGAGGCGGGCGCGGGAGCACGCTCGGGCCGGGCAGGGGCGAGTGGCGCGCCGGGAACGGGGGCGCGGCGCGGCCGCCCTGCGCGAGGGGGAGCGCCGGGTGGGCGTGGGCCGACGACGACGAGGCCGGGGCGAGGTGCGCGGCGTGAGTGCGTGTCGCCGACGAGGTCGAGGTCGAGGGTGAGGGCGAGGGCGCCGAGGGCGAGTGCTGCGGGGCGGCGACGGCGGGAAGCTTGACGCGGATGGGCGAACCGAGCGGCATCGGCTTGGGCGCCGTGGCGGTGGCGGTGGCGGTGGCGGCGGGCGAGGGCGACTGCGGGTGCGCCGGCAGAGGACGAGGCAGGGTCGCGGCGCGCAGGGAGGCGGCGAGGCGCGGGTCGCTCGCGTCGAGCTGGGCCTGGAGCGTGTTGGTGAGGAGGGCGTGGATGGCGACGAGGGGAGGAACGAGTGCGTCGGGCCCTGCGTCGACAGTCCGACCCATGTATCAGCTCGTTCGCTCTGCCCGAGAGGAAGAGAAAGAGAGGAGAGGAGAGAGAAGCAGGACGCACAGCGCGCCGGCGCAAACTGTCCATCCCTCAGCACCCCGTCCCACCTCCTCTGCACCTCCCTCTCGCTCCTCGTCCACTCCCTGCCCTCGCCCGGCCCGAGGCGGTAGATGCGGGCCGCGAGCGCGTGCATGCCGGCCCACGTCTGGGCGCCGAGCTGCGGCGTCGCCATGGCCGTCAGGAGGGCCGTGTCCTCGTCGATCGACCAGGGCGCCGCGCCGTGCGGGTCGGCGAGCGGCGCTGAAGCGGGAGACGGTGCGGGAGGGAAGGACAGGGCCGAGGGCGAGATGGATGAGGGGTTGGGAGGCGAGGGCGGGCGGAAGAGGGACGGCTTGGGGAGCGCGACGACTGCGAGCGGGGTGGACGTCGGTCAGGGCTTGCTCGGACGAGCTTAAGAGAGAGATAGAAAGGTAGGACGCACCTGCAGGGTGCACCTTGTGGCCGTCCCTCGACGGCGGCGACACGTCGCCCGACGTGCTCTGCGTCCCCGGCGGCGACCACGACAGCTCGCGCGCCGCTGCCCCTCCCTCAGGCACCCTCCAGTCCTCGCCGTCCCCCTCCTCCTCAACCTTGAGGTCCGGCACGTCCCCCTCTCCCGCACCCGCACCCGCACCCGCACCCGCACCCTCCTCCTCCCTGTCCCTCCTCTCCCGCACGAGCTGCAGGTACCTCGCCCGCAGTGCCGGCGCCGACCGGAGCCGCGCGTCGCCCGTCATGCGGCGGCGCAGGACGTCCCACGACGCGCCGGGCGGCGCGGCGTCGCCGGTGAGGAGGACCTCGGCGTGCTCCGAGGGGGTCCAGCGGCCCTTGCGGGAGGCGGGTTCGGGCGCGTGCGAGGACGTGGAGGCGGGCGAGGGGGCGGTGGCGGCGGTAAAGGTCGAGTAGAAGGTGCTAGGGCTGCCCGCTGTGGTGCGCGAGGTCGAAGTCGAGGTCGAGGTGGAGCGGGCGCGAGGGGAAGGAGGAGGGGACAAGTCGGAGCTCGACGCGGCTGCGGACGCTCGCGCACGGTCAGTCATGGGTGCTCGAGAGTATGCGAGAGAGGTAGAGGTGGGGCGCACAAGGAGCGAACACGGCGTAGTCGTCCTGGGTGGGCGTCATGGTCGACGACGACGACGGGGGAAGCAGGCCGCCACAGCTCGACGGGGGAAGCAGGCCGCCACAGCTCGACGGGGAGCGCTCGAGGAGGCGTGCGGCTCGAGGGCACAGGAGCGCAGCGTGTGCCGAGCAGAGTGCGCTCGCGACAAGCCCCGCAGGCGAGGTGCGAGGCGAAAGTTGGTGAGGAGGAGGAGGAGGGAGCGGAGAGCGGGAGATCGGGTACGGACGACGTCCGCGGACTCGCCGCCGCCCGCCGCAGCTCAGGAGACTCGCTCCGAGGGGCGCGTGCGGTGCGAGTACGGCAGCTTCGCGCAGCGCAGGAAAGCGCGCTCGAGCGTGCGCTCTCTGAGATGCGAGAGCGCGGTGTCGGACGACGACAACGAGCGACCGCAGGAGGAGCGTGCAGGCTCTCGCACTCGCTCTCGCGTCTGCGTTACCTCGACTGTCGAGCTCGAGCTCGTCGGCCGCAGCAGAGCGCAAGTGCGCTGCCGCGACGAAGGCGAGCGACCGGCAGCCGGGCGAGCGCGGCGGACCGTGCGGCTCGCTGCAGGCGGCCTGGCCTCGCGTTCGTTGCCTTGCTATCGCGCAAAGCTGCACAGTTTGAGCAAGCGCCAACGGCCGCGAGGCTCTGGTGCAGGGCGGAGCCCGGAGAGCTGCGGACGACGAAAGGCGAGTTGCGGCTCGAGGGCCAGGACCGGGCGCAGTCGGCCTACTGTTGGGCTCGGCGACGTTGGTGGAGCGTGCATCGACGACTGGAGTAGACTGTGCGTCTCTGGAGGGCGCGGTGAGAGCGAGAGAGGTCGGTCGAGGGAGAGTGTCTCGCTTGGTGCCGGCTCGCCTCGCTCACTCTCTTCGTCTCCTTCCCCTCGGCCCACGCTGTAAGCCTGCTCGCCACCTACAGTGCGCCACACTGCGCCTACGACCACCTTGAGCGCCGCGCCGCCCACCCCCGAGCGGGCACTCGACGACGACGAGCGCCGCGCGACTCGCACCTCTTCGCCCGCGCTCAAAACTGCTCGCACCGGCGCGCACAGCGGCCAGCACCGCACCGAGGCGGGCGAGCGCACGGTCAACGGGACACGGTGGACTTGGGTCGGCTGGGCACGAGCAGGGATCCACGGCGCGGCGCGGTGAGGCGCCGTTGAGCCAGGACCATCGAGCTGACCTCGTTCCTCCCCCTCGTCCTCTCCTCCCTCCTCCCCGGCACTCTCCCTTGCAGTCAAGGTGCGCCCCTCCCCCGCTATATCTCAAAGGGGAACTGCTGCCAGATTACTGACCCTTTGTCCCGTCCTGCCGCCGTCGCCCCGTCCTCCCACTCTCGCCTGCCCGCCTACCCTCGCGCCCCGCCTCGCGCTCCCCCAACACCCGCCTCGCCCCTGCAGATGTCGGCGACCCAGTCCGTCCAGACCTTTGGCAAGAAGAAGACCGCCACCGCCGTGGCTCTCGCCAAGGTGAGCTTCGCGCTTGCGTCCGTCGTCGTCGTGGTGGGGGGAGGACGGTCGCCGTCGAGGGCCGAGCGCCGGGTGGCTTGAGAGAGAGAGAGAGGGGGTGGGACGCACGAGCAACGAGTTACTGACCCCTCGCGTTTGGCGCCTCGCAGGAGGGCAAGGGCCTCATCAAGGTCAACGGTGTCCCCCTCAGCCTCTACGGCTCGCCGATCCTCCGCGGAAAGTTGTTCGAGCCGGTCCTCCTCCTCCAGTCGTTCACCTCGTCGACGACCTCGCTCGCGTCGCCCCTCGCCCGCATGGACATCCGCCTCCGTGTCTCGGGCGGTGGCCACACGAGCCAGCTGTACGCCCTGCGCCAGGCGATTGCCAAGGCGGTGGTCGCGTACGTTGCCAAGTACGAGGACGCTGCGTCTGCGCTCGAGGTCCGCAAGGTCCTCGTCGCGTACGACCGTTCGCTCCTCGTGGCTGACCCGCGTCGCTGCGAGCCCAAGAAGTTCGGTCCGTCCGATTCTCGCCTCGTCCGGGCACGTTCAGGGCCTCGTTACTGACTCTCTCTTGACCCCTAGGCGGCAAGGGTGCGCGCTCGCGCTACCAGAAGTCGTACGTCCCCCGTCCTCTTCCTGGTCGAGGAGGGGCCCGACCGCTGACCTTCTTCCTCCCTTCCTCCCTTCCTCGTCCCACAGGTACCGTTAAGCGGGCTCGCGTCGGTGGATCGTCGTCGTCGTGTACTCGTAGCGACGTCATCTGGTGGTCGTGCAACCCTCTTTCTGGCACTCGAGGTCCGAGAGCCGCGACCGAGTCCGTTTCTCGCCTTCCCTCGCTTGCCTCGAGAGAGCTTCTGTGCCTCTCGTCTGTCTGCCTCTCTCTCTCGCTCTCTCTTTCTCGTCGACGCTCGTCGTCTGTGTCGAGCTCGTGCTCGTTGCGAGACTCGACGGCGGCCGCTGCGTCTCCTCTGCTTCAAGCTCTCGAGCGCTCGCTATCTACAGGTACTGGCGCCCATCTCGCCTGCAGCTCGCAGCCGGCACAAGTCGGAACGCGTTTGACCGCGTACGAGCGGCGCCAGCTCGCTGCAGGAGATAGAGAGTCCGCTCTCGACAACTTGAGAAGGTCGCCCTCGACGACCAAGACCGCTTTCCCTTGCTCACAGGCTCTCGTCACGGCTCGACAGAGAGTGACAGCAGCGATACACATGAAATTAAGCTGCGCCCTCGAGACTGTGCAAAGAGAGACCGGCCCTGGCTCAGACCTCGACCTTCTTCTCCTCGACGCTCGCGGCGTCGTCCGACGACGACGAGCGAGCCATCGCCTCAGCCACTGCACTCGCGTCCTCTACAGATCCCGTCGCGCCGTAGCCCTCGACGACGCCGACCTTGCGCAACGTGACGAGCGCGAACGGCAGGCTGACGACGTAAAAGACGAGGTTGATGACGACCGTGTACAGGAGCGAGAACTTGCTCGAGTTGATGCCGAATGCGCAGCACTGGCCCCACGACTCGATGCCGCGAAGGAGGCCGGCGTACCGGGTCGCGGTCGAGACGTCGCCGGCGGCGAGGAGCGACATGATCCAGTACTGCGAGCGAGGCGGACGGGCAAGGTGTCAGGGCGGGCTCGGCGGGGAAGTCGCACAGTCGCGAGAGAGGGGACGAGGGCGAGAGGGGGCGGAATGTGGCTCGAGAGAGCCGAGAGGGAGCCGGCAGGGAGGTGTGGGAGGGAGGGATGCGAGCGGGGCTGGAAGGAGGACGTACGAGGTAGTTTTGGAGGGCGTTGCCCGCCGCGTTCAACATGACGTACATGCCGAAGCCTCGTCCGAATCCTGCCGATGTCCAGTCGAGCTTGCCCGGCTGTTGCGCAAGGAGGAGCAAGGGAAACGAGTCAGTTGTGCGTTGCCTCTCGGCGTCTCGTCGAGCCGGTGCTGCGGCTCGCGCAGCTGCTCGAGACCTTCGGACCGAAGGAGAGGGAGAGAAGAAAGCGAAAGAGGGACGCACGTTGTTCGTCTCAAACTCGTGCTGGATGACGAGGGCCCACACGAGCATGCCGAGAAACAGGGTAAAGACGGCCGCGCCGCCGACGCGCACCCTCGTGACGAGCGCGATACGCTGGTTGTCGAGGAAGAAGCCGAGGAGGGTCGTCATGATGACGCCGCAGATGGCCGACAGGAAGGAGGCGAGGGCGCGAGCGCGGACGCTGTAGTAGAGCGTCAGGTGCGACGACGCGAGACCCCAGTAGCTGCAGGCGACACGTTCACGTCAGTAAAGGGTGGCGGCCGGACAGCTCGAGGAAGGGCGACGACGTACAACCAGGAGGCCTGTGCGCAGGAGAGGGAGCGTCAGGGGCACGTTCTTTCCTCGCGAGGACAGAGAGAGAGAGCGACGCACGAAGAAGATGGGCAGCAAGCAGCCGACCTTCTTGCTCGACACGGTGCGCCACAGCAGGCGGAACTGCTCCTTGGTCGATGTCTGGTTCGGGAGCGTGATGCTCGAGCCGTCCGAGCGCTTGACCTTTTCCGGGCCCGAGACGAGGAATGCGACCGGGACAGCGAACACCTGGAGCGCGATGAACGAGATGAGGGTCTTGTAGTTGACTGGGGGCGCGGCGAGGGTCAGTTGGTCGCTCGAGGTGGGCACGAGGGAGGAGAGCCGACGAGCGCACCTTTGCCGCCCTTGGCGTTCTTGACGTTGGTCGCCAAGTTGATCGCGCCGGCGATGATCCTGTTGCGTCGGCAGGGTGAGCTCGAGAAATCGAGAGGACGAGGAAAGAGGAGCGCACTGGCCCGAGTTCTTGAAGAAGAGCCAGACCGCCAACATGCGGGCGCGCGTGTGCGGCTCGGGGTAGCTCAAGAGGATCGCTCTGCAGGTAGAGCTTCGTCAGAACGGACCTTGTCGAGCGTGAGGAAAGGGACGCACCCCTCGGACGCCCAGTAGAAGCCCGCCGAGATGCCGCCTGCGAGAGAGCTCGTCAGCCTCATCCTCCTCGACCACGACGACGAGAGCGAGGGGACGCACAGATGACGGCACCGAGGATCACGAACCACTCGGTCCCGTAGCGGTTGTTCTGGTCTGCGGCCGGGGCTTTGAGGTCAGTGCAGGTCGAGGCGGAAAGGGCGAGGCGAAGAGGACGCACAGAGAGCGGCCGTGTAGACGGACCAGCCGAGCGAGCCGAGGATGAGGACCCGCTTGACGCCGAGCTTGTTGACGAGTACGGGCGCGAGGATGCAGCCTGTCGACCGGGAGGAGGAAGGTTAGCTCGAGGAAGGTCGAGAGGAGGACAGTGCCAGGAGCACGTACCGAGGCCCATGAGGCTGAACACGATCGAGTTGCCCGCGTTGACCTGTCGCTCGACACGGTCAGTACATCGTGGAGAGAAGAGAGAGAGAAGAGAGGCTGAGGAGCGCACCAAGTAGGGCTCGAGCGCACCTCCCGCTCCCTCTAAGGTTTTAAGTTTTATAAGAAAAAAAAGAATATATAAGGCTTTTAAAGCTTTTAAGGTTTCACGTCACGCCGCGGTACACGGACGCGGTCTTTGAGAGCGGTGCAGCGGAGGACGAGTCGCTCATGGTGCGTCGTCGTCGGGAGGGAGAGCTCGAGGGAGGCGAGGGAAGGCGGAAGCAAGCCAACCTCGAGCAGGGTGCGGCACGCCGCGCCCAGGAAGCAGCGATGGCGCCATCCTCGCCGTCCTGCGCGCTTTTTCCTCCCACTCAAAAGGGGCGCGGACCCGGCCGAGGACGAGGTCGAGCACGCGAGGCGGACCTGGAGCCGGCGGGGGCCCGCGCACGAGCCGGCCGGGTGGGCCGTCGACGTGCCGCCAGAGCGCGGAGAGAGGAGCACGGTGCTGTGCGACGAAGCGAGCGCACAAAGCAAACGCGAGCGGGAGGCGAGAAGCGACGGCGAGTGTGGGAGGAGGCAGAGCCTGACGCGGCGCAAATTGGCCGCGTTCGAGCCTCAGAGCGAGCAGCGAATGTCGCCTCGCCGACGTGCGCTGAATGAATGGCTTTGCCTGAGCAGCGACAGAACTCTCAGGAAGCTCGAACGAGAGGAGAGAGAGAGGACAAGGCCGCACTGCCCACCAAGATGCTCATGCTGTCGAGCCTCTCGACTCGCCATCGTCCTGCAGGCGGTCCACGGCAGTGATACACTCTCGTTCCGATCGACAAGCTACAGGCGCCCTCAACCGAACAGGATCCCTTTGGGCACGCTCCTTTCCCTCATTCGCATCGTCTTGCCACCGCGCGTCCTGCCGGTCCGGTGGACGTGAAGCGCTCGGCGACCCACCGCGACGAGGTGACGCTTGCCCTCGAGGACTGGGAGGAGGTGGCCCGAGCGGCGGCGGAAGTTGTGGCTGTGCTGCGCGGTCGAGAGGGTGCGGACGATGTCTGTCGGGGCGAGGCGGGAGAGGAGGGTGCATAAGTCCGGTGAACGGCGAGGAGGGGCAGGGAGGAGACGGACCAAAGGCAAGGAGACGCTGGAGCGACCAAGTCGGGTGGCTGCCGTCGATGAAGGCGTACTGCTTGAGCTGCGCGAGGGAGGTTTGGGTCAGGTCGTGGGCCTAGCGAGGGCGCCGGCCGAGACGGAACCGCCATCGCCATAGCAGGGGGCCTCGAGAGAGAGAAGAGAGGGATTGAGGAGAGGAGAGAGACAGGGAGGGAGAGGGAGCGCACCGGCACGGGGCAAGATGAGTCCTCGTAGTCATTGGGAACGTCAGGCCACGTCTGCCACGACACGGGCTCGTACGCCGCACACCAAGTATCGGCGACGAGCCCGCCCGACGCCTCGACCCTGTCGAGCGTCTCGTCGAGCCACGTCGCGACGTCGTACAGCTCGACGCGCGCCTCGGGGTACTTGCCCGGCATCTCGGCGGCGTACTCGGCGAGGCGCTCGTTCCACGCCCGGATCGAGTCGTTGAGCGGAAGGCGAGACGGGTCGGCGGCGAGGACGAGCTCGCTGACGGGCGAGCGGTCGAAGAAGGGCACGTTCATGAGCAGGAAGTTGCGGGCTGTCCGGCGCGGAAAGAGCACTGTCAATACGATCTCCTGCAGCGCATACACGCGTGAAAGAGAGAAGGGACGCACCGCCGGCCTCGTACAGGCGCGAGATGCTCTGGTCGTACGCCTCGAAGGTGGGCTCGAGCACGTCGACGATCGGGTAGCCCCAGCCAGTGTGCACGTTGACGTCGTTGATGCCGAAGAAGACGCCTGCAGGACGGCTTCCAGGTCAGTCTCGAGTGGGCCGCAGGCATGGGAGAGCGAGACGAGGACGCACTGAAGATGGACGAGCTCCCCTCCCACTCGCGCTTGTCGGCGCGCTTCTGGTCGGTAAAGTTGCCGAGGAACCACCCGACCTGGTCCGAGAAGCTCACGTTGGGGTATCCGACGGCGAGGACGTCGGGCGAAGCGGTTGCGCCGCTGAGCGCAAAGTTGTAGTGCGCCGACTTGAGGTTGGGGAAGGTCGACGACATGGTGATCTCGTCGAGCCAGGCTGCACCGCGACGAGGCAGACGTCAGGATCTCCGAGAAGTATACAGGAGGATCAGGACGCACTCTTGCCGCCAGACATGGTCCGCAAGGGCTGTCGAGCCGCGTCGAAGCCGCGAGTCGCATTGAAGCCGTCGGCCGTCCAGCTGTCGCCTGTCGAGACGAATCGGGAGGTCAGGTTGCGGCACAGGAGGGAGAACAGGGAGAAAAGGGGGGCGCACCGAACGCAAACCAGTGCTTGGCGTCGTGGACTTGGAGGAAGGCGGCCGACGAGGCGACGAGCGAGAGACAGGCGAGGGCAGCGAGGACGAGGCGAGCGGCACAGCCGACGGGAGAGAGCATCCTCTCGCGACCAAGCAGCAGTGCGAGGTGCGTGTAGAGAAAGAAAAGGCGGCAGCACGCCGGCGAAGCCAGCCATCGGGCGCCGCCCTGCGAGCCGAGCCGGCACGAGGTCTCGCTCCGAGTTTGCGAGGGCCAGCGGGCAGCTGCGCAGCGTCGGGACACAGAGCTGCGGAGCCGGGCGTGTAGCTCGAGGAAGCGAGTGCGGCGGTGGCTGGTCGTGGACGGGCGGACGAGGGAAGGACGGGAGGGAGCGGGGAGAGGGGGCAGGGCGGCGAGCGCTTGCTGTCGCGGGTGTGGAAGCTGTCAGTACAGGTCCAGGCTCGTGAAGGGAGCGGTCCGCGTGCGCACCTCGTGTCAGTACCGGCACGAGGCGGTCGAGGTTCGTCGTCGGTGGCGCAGATGAGGGCAACGAATCGGCACCGGCTCTGGCGCGCGTACAGGTCGCGCAATGGCTTGCTGCTAGCCCATGGAAGTCCTGGCGAGGCAGCAAGCAGCTCATCGCAGCGCGAGAGGACGATGTCGAGACCTGGTCGCTGTGCGTCGACCGAGTCCGGGGTCGGTTCCTCTCCACCTCACTCCCACCCTCAAGGAGAGCCAGCGGCAAGCTCAGCTGTGCGCTCAATCGCTTGAGCACGCCTCTACCCGAGCAGAACTCGCGCCCGCCTCGTCGTCGCCCCTGTCGGCTTCCCTCAACCGCCGCCGACGTCGTCGTCCTCGACCCGGCCCACGATGGAGCCGCCAGACGACCTGAGCGACTCCGAGTACACGCCAGTGCCGAGCATATCCTCGGTCAAGCCGCCCACCGCCTCGACGAGCAAGCCTTCGACCGCCGCCGCCGCCTCCACCTCTGCCACCTCGTCGCTCAAGCAGTCGACCCTGTCGTTCGGCCAGCAGTCGCCGAGCGACTACCTCCCGCGCCTCAACCCTGCACAGCGAGAAGCCGTCACGGCGTCGCACGTCGGCGGCCTCGCCGTCCACGCCGGGCCCGGCAGCGGCAAGACGGCCGTCCTCACGACCCGCGTCGCCCACCTGATCCAGGTCGCGCGCGTCCTCCCCGAGGAGCTCGTCGTCGTCACCTTCACCAACAAGGCCGCCAACGAGATGAAGCTGCGGCTCGCCAAGATTGTCGGTGCCGCCACGGTCGACAAGATCGTCATGGGCACCTTTCACTCGTGCGCCCGTTGCTCCTTCTTTCCTTGTTCTCGGCGCCTATCTGACTCTTCTGTCTCGTCCTGCAGTGTCTGTGTTCGATGTGCGTCCCTCTCTCTCTCTCTCGTGACAGGCGGTGCACGACCTGACGACGGCGCTCCTCTCTCAGACCTGCGCAAGTACGGCAAGCTCCTCGGCCTGTCGCCCAACTTTGTCATCACCGACCGCGACGACTGGTGCGTCAACCACTCTCTCTTCATCGTCTCTCCCCCTCGAACGCCCCCTGACCCGGCCAACCCCACCCTCGCAGCCTCGCCATCATCAAGCGCCTGACCAACACGGGTCTGCCCGACCTGCCCGCCGACCTGCGCAAGGAGATGAAGCCCCAGACGTGGCTCGAGGCCATCTCGCGCTGCAAGAGCCGCACCATGTCGCCCGACGAGTACCGCGTCGAGAACGGCGCCCACGTCGACCAGGACAAGGTCGAGTGGATCGCAAAGGTGTTCGAGTGCGTCCGGCTCTTGTTTCCTTCCTCCTCGTCTATCGCGTCGCGCAAAGTGGACGTGCCTGACGAGATGGGTATTTCTGCCGCGACCGCAGAGCCTACGAGTCGGAGCTCGCCGCCGCCAACGCGCTCGACTTTGACGACCTGCTCCTGCGAGGGTACGCACGACTCTCGCTCGTCTCGACGGGCCGGACGATGTGCTCACACGCTGGTCGCGTGCAGGTATCAGCTGTTCCGCAACTTTCCTCGTGTCGTCGCCAAGATCAAGTCGGTCCTCATCGACGAGGTGCGTGCGCCTCTCTCTCTCTTCCTCTTTCGCGCAAAGGGCCGCAGACTGATAGCTGATCGGCGAAACGGACAGTTCCAGGACACGAACAACGTCCAGTACGAGCTCGTCAAGCTCATCGCCGCCTCGTCGGGCTCGCTCACGGTCGTCGGCGACCCGGACCAGTCGAGTGCGTCGCGCTCGTCGCCCATCTCGCCGTCTCGTCGAGCATCCCTCACCCTCGCCTCTCCTTCCCCGACAGTCTATGGGTGGCGCAACGCCGAGATCGAGAACCTCGAGAAGATGCTCAAGGGTGCGTCCTCGTGCCCTCCTAGCGGCGAGCCCGCAGGCCGCGCACCGTCACTGACTTGGCGTGCGCCCACAGAGTTCGAGCCCGTCAAGCAGATCTTCCTCGAGGAGAACTACCGCTCGACCGGGGCCATCCTCGGTGCGGCGCTCGCCGTCGTTCGACAAGGTGCGCCCGTCTCTCTCCCTCGCCCCGACCGTCCACCTGCGCCCACACTCACCGTCCTCCTCACGCCCGCAGACACCAAGCGCATCAACAAGTCGCTCACGACCTCGCACCCGTCGGGCTCGTCAGTCGTGCTGCACCCGGCGCCGTCAGCCCCGGACGAGGCGACCTTCATCGCGTCGACGATCAAGCACGTCGTCGCGCACCTCGGCGGCCTCGTCGGGTACAACGACTGCGCCGTCCTCCTGCGGTACGGCGCCCTGTCGCGCAACATCGAGGTCGCGCTTCAGAAGGCGGGCATCCCGAGCCGCATGGTCGGCGGGCACAAGTTCTTCGAGCGCACCGAGTGCGTCCCTCTCTCTCTGCCCCGCACCCTTGCGACGTCGAGAGACTCTGGACCTGACTCGCTCGCCCATCGTGCCGGTCGCGCAACCCGCAGAGTCAAGGACATGCTCTCGTACCTCCAGCTCGTCTCGAACCCGTCGTACACGCCCGCGCTGCTGCGGGTCCTCAACGTCCCCAAGCGCGGTATCGGAGACAAGACGCAGCGCGACATCGTCTCGGCGGGCACGACCGGCGGCGGCAAGAAGGGCGCGAGCGCGGGCGCGTGGGGCGTCTGCATGCAGCTCGCGCAGGGGAGGACGATCGTCAAGATGACCGACGCGCAGCGCAAGGGCATCAAGGCGCTCGTGCTACTCGTCAAGGAGGCGAGGAAAAAGGCCGACGAGGTGCGTCGACCGTTCTCCCAGCCTGTCCGTGCGGCGCCCTCTCTTCCCTGCGCCGTCACTGACTGCTCGGTTTGCGTCTTCTGCTCGCACAGGGCGCCGACGTCGCCGACCTCATCGACCTCATCTGCGAGCGCACGGCGTACCGGCAATGGCTCGACAAGGCGTACTCGCCCGACGCGGCCGAGCGGTGGGAGAACATCGAGGAGCTCAAGGTGCGCCCTCGCTCGCCTTTTTGTCCGTCGCGATCCTTCCCGAGTCGACCTGACGACGTGCCGTCACGATCACTCGCAGGCCTACGCGACCGTCGTCGCCGAGGAGAACCCGACGACCGCCGACCTGTTCACGGCTGCCGACCCGGACCCGGAGGAGGGCGAGTCGCAGTTCGAGGAGGTCAAGATTCCGCCCACAAGGACCACGACCGCGCCCAAGGTCGCCAAGGAGGAGGACGGCGAGAGCGACGACGACGACGTGATCATCGTCGAGCCCGAGTCGAAGGAGGTCAAGAAGGCCAAGGTCGAGCTCGATGCGCCGTGCGTCTCGCGTCCTCTCCCTCTGCGCCCGTCTGAGCCGACTGACATAGTCCTACGCCACAGAGTCGCTCCTCAAGCTGCCGACGACAAGCCCGCAACGCCGCTCGAGATCTTTCTCGCGACGTCGATGCTCGCGACCGACACCGAGACGCAGGACGCCAAGAGCGACACCAACATGGAGGTGCGTCCTCTTCTCTCTCTCTCCTTCTCGAGAGCCTCACGAGCGACCTGACCCTCGGACTACACGCTCGCAGAAGGTCACGATCTCGACCTGTCACGCCGCAAAAGGGCTCGAGTGGCCCGTCGTCTTTGTCCCGGCGTGCGAGGACGGCACGTACCCGTTCTTCCGTGCGAGCGAGGCGAGCGAGGTCGACGAGGAGAGGTGCGTGCCGCTCTCTCTTCCTGTCGTCGAGCCGTTGTACGAGGAGCCGAGCCTGACCCTTCGAGAACCGGCGCAGGCGCCTGCTCTACGTCGGCATCACACGCGCGCAGAGCTTCTGCTTCCTCTCGTACGCCAACGCGCGCATGGCCGGGTGTGCGTCCACCTCTCCTCTGCCCTCTCTCGTTCTCCCTCGTCGCCTCGACTGACCTCGTCGCCTCGCCCCGCAGCCGAGATGAAGCAGAAGAAGCTGTCGCCGTTCCTCCAGGTCGCGTCGACGACCTACCCGAGCCTGTTCGTCAAGAAGCTGCAGAAGGTGACGCACAAGACGCGCGAGGAGACGGCTCGAGTGCTCGGCAGGGCGGCCCCGGACGAGGACAAGGCCAAGACCATGATCGACGACTAGTGCGTCCTCCTCCTCCTCTCCGTACTCTCTTCACGGACGACTCAACTGACTCGAGTCTCCTGCGCACACAGCTTGGCGACGATGCCGGTCGAGCCGCCGATCTTTGATGCCGCGCAGGCCTCCTCGGCCGGGTCGAGGAACTACAGCACGTTCGGCAGCTCGAGCGGGCGGTACGGCGGGTCCGGGTTCAGCTCGCAGGGCCGGTATGGCAGCGGCGGGTCGGGCTCGAGCGCGTTCGGGCAGAGCCAGGGCCGGTGGAGCAACTCGGCGATCGCGGCGCAGGGGCAGTCGCAGCCGCAGGCGGTCCCGCCCGGCGAGGGCGGCTTCCGCTCGGCGCTCTCGACGTTCAACGGCGGCGGCGCAGGCGTCAGGACGACCGCCGCCGCCGCCGGCTTTGCGCCCGCCTCGACCCGCCCATGGTCGTCCTCGGCACCCGCCGCCGGCGCCGCCGCACGCTCGACCGCCTTCAAGCCGCCCGGCTTCAAGCCTCCCGCCATGATGAACCCTTCCCTTCCTCCTCGCTCGGCCACCACCGCCGGCGTCCGCCCTCCCCCGACCTCGCTCGCCTCGCTCTCGGCCTCGTCCGTCACGCCCTTCTCGTCCTCGACCGCCCGAGCGTCGCACGGCCCGCCCGGCGTCACCGAGACGCGCGCATCCATGATCCCCGACGCGGTCCTCGTCAACCCGACCCTGAGCGCGCCCAAGCACGTCCCGACCGCGCAGCGAGACCTGCTCGCGAGCTTCCAGCGCGGCGCCGACGACGACCTCGACGTGCTGCGGCGGCTCGGCGCGCCGAGTGCGGCGGACGGCGGCGAGGTGGGCGGCGAGGCGGTCGAGGTGCCGGTGGGAGGGGGCGCGCCGCTGTCGCCGAGGGCCAAGGGCAAGGGCAGGGGCAAGCGGGCGGCGGTGGGACCGGCGAGCCCGACAGGCAAGAGGCCCAAGAAGTGAGGGCACGGTCGCCTCGTGTGCAGACGTTCCTCCAGTTGTTGTTTGTCCTATTTCTGCACGTCGAGATTTGCGCTCCTCTCGTCGGCCGGCGCGGCGGCCTTCGCAAGTCGCGCTCTCGGGCGGTCTAGCGCCGCCGCTCTTCCTCGAGCGCACTTTCTTCTTTCCTCGGCCTCTCCTCTCGTGCGTGTGTGCGGGTCGGCGGTGGGCCTGCGGGCGATTTCTCGCGACGAGGTGCGTGCGCACCTTTCTCGGCCTCTCCTCCTGTGCATCGCCCTGACCCCCCCCCGCACTTCTTCCTCTCCCTCTCCTTTCGCAGATTTTATACGGCGAGCGCTGGCGGTGCGCGCGCTTGCACCCTTCTCGAGCCATCGAGCTGCGCCCGTCCCGCACCTAACTCCCGAACGAGCGGCTCGGTGCTCGCTCTCGCCCTCGCGCCTGCTCCGGCTGCAGCGGAGCTCGACGACGAGAGTAGAGAGGCTGCGTTTCGGAGAGAGGCGCGAGAGAGAGCGTGTTCTCGCACCTCGCCGCCGTCGTCGGCGGTCGCGCGCCGCCGCGGATGAGAAAGCTTTCGAGAGCCTCGCGCGTCTGCGGAATGGCCGGGCTCGCGTCGTTACAGCTTCACGTGGCGCGTGAGATTGCGTTCCGGTGCCCGAACGAGGTCCGAGGGAAAGTTGGTGGCCCGGTCGACGTCGTCGGTTTCGCCTTGGCTCGGGTCGCCTCTTCTCTTCCTCCTTCCTCTCTCTTTCTCTCTTCCGCCACCTCGCTCTTCTCGCACATCGCCTGCGACTGCGTCCTCCTCAAGAGCTGCTGCAAGATGGGCTACACGTCCTCGATCGACACCAACCCGGTGCGTCCTCTTCTTCCTCGTCCTCCTCCTCGAAGATGCGGGCGCTGACCTCGTTCGTCCCCTCCCCACCTCGACTCGGCCTGGCACGCCCTCGCTCGCAGGTGACGTCCGACATTGGCCTGGCGCCTGCCGGGTCCGTGTGGTTGTGGACCCTGTTCGGCGTCTTCACCGTCTCGCTCCTCGTCCTGCTCGGCCTCGCGCACTCGCGCTCTCAGCAGCACCGCGCGTTCCACTACGTCGCCATCGTCGTCCTCGCCATCACGGCCGTGCACTACGCCGTGCAGGCGAGCAACCTCGGGTACGCGAGCGTGCCCGTCGAGTGGGTCCGCTCGGGCTCGCGCGGCCAGTCCCAGGTCCGGGCCGGAGCGCCGTCGCCGCCGACGAGGTCCATCTTCTACGCCCAGGTGCGTCTCTCTTTATCTCTCTCTCGAGTGGACTCGAGCAGGGCCCGTCACTGACCTTCCCTCTCCCTCCCTCGTCGCAGTGGGTGGGCTACGTCCTCACGACGCCGCTCCTCGTCCTCATGCTCCTCCTCGCGACGGGCTTTACCCTGTCGCGCATCTTCCTCGTCCTGTTCTTCACCGTGCTCTGGACGTGAGTCGCTCTCTCGTCACCCAGCCCGAGGTCCAGAGCCGCGCACTGACCTCGACTCGCCCTGCGACAGCGTGTGCCTCCTCATCGGCGCCCTCATCCCGACGAGGTACAAGTGGGCGCTGTACGCCTTTGCCGTGGCGGCCTTGTTCTGTGCGTCGCTCTCTCTCTCTCGTCGTTCCTCCCCTTCCTCGAGTCGACCTTCTCAAGTCGAGTCGCCTCGCCGGCAGCCCTCACTGACTCTCTCCCTCCTCTCCTCGCCGCTCGCAGACACGCTCTGGAACATGACGTTCCCGGCGAGCCGCTCGGCGAGGACCCTCGGTCGCGAGTACCACCGCAACCACGTTGGCCACGCGTGGGGCCTCTCGATCCTCTTCCTCTTCTACGTGCGTCCTCGTCTCTCTCCTCTTCTCGTCGTCGTATACGCATAACTCACTCGTCGACGCTGTCTGCAGCCGCTCGTCTGGGGCCTGTCCGAGGTGCGCCGTCGTGTCTCGCTCTCGTCGACGCCGAGTCGAGCGAGGACCTGACCTCGTCGCCCCTTCCCTCCCACCCTCTCGCTCGCAGGGCAGCAACATTCTCACGGTCTCGAGCCAGATGTTCTGGGTCCGTCCCTTTCTCGTCCTGTTCGGCCTCGCCCATCTCGCTCGTCGTTCCTGACCACACTCTCGCACTCGCAGTACGGCGTCCTCGACTTTCTCGTCAAGGTCTGCTGGCTGTTCGCCTTCCTGTTTGGCGTCGAGTCGCTCGACTACTCGCGCTTCGGCTTCGTGCGTCCTCTGTTTCCCTCGTTCCCGTCACTCGTCGCGCGCCGGACCTGACCCACCCTCCTCTCGCGCTCGAGCAGCACTCGGGCAAGTACACCGACCTCGCGCAGGACACGGACGGCAACTACGGCGGCGGCGGCGCGCAGCGCATCCTCTCGGGCGGCGGCGGCTCGACGACGACGACGGGCGGTCCGAGCATGGCCGGCAGCCCGGCGCGCACGGGCCCTGGCCCGGACCTTGGCGGCCCGTCGCCGGGCATGATGCAGCAGCAGCAGCAGCAGCAGCCGCAGATGACGAGCGTCGAGCAGGGCCGGGTCGGCGAGTCGGTCTGAGTCGGGTCGGGTGCGAGAAGAGCTCGACGAGGGAGGGGAGGGAGCGCTTGAGGTCCGGCTCGGTCTGTGCAGTTTCAGTACTCGCTTTTCTCTCGTTGTCCCGCTCCTTTAGCGAGAGCGGAAGAGAGAGAGCGCTTGGCGAGCACAGCCGAGAGAACACGAAGCGAGACCTTGGTCTGAAGCTACGGCGCTCCGACTAGCTCGTCGTCTCGCGCTTTTCGCAGCCTCTACGCCTGGCCGGTCTCTAACGCAAGCTTACGAGTCTGACCCGTGCATGTACGAGCTGCTCAGGCTGCGTCGTCGAGCGCTGGCGCCACATTTTGATCTGGACGGCCGGGCAGGGCCAACTACGTACGCGCTTTGACTCCTCACAGCGGCTCACTCGGGCGCTCTGCGGGTCCGGCGATAATTGAGGGGGTCTCTGCGAGCTCATCGCAAGGTCTGGCGAGGCTGGCAACCCAGCTGGCGAGAGTGGCGGTCGAGGACGCACGACTTGAGAAGGTCGACTCGAGCAGGGAGAGGAACCGAATTTCAAAGCGACCAAACGGAAAGCCACCGGCGTGCCGTCGCAATTGAGCTTGACCTTATCAGGCGCCGCTTGAGACGATAGAAGAAGAACGCGACCTCGCCGACGGATCGAAGCCGCGCTTGCGGACCGGCATTTCGAGCTTCCGCTTGCTTGCCCACCTGGGTTCGAGGGTCCCCAAGGCTTGCCCGACTTGTTTCGCTGGTCGCTCTGCGCCCACGCTTCAGCTCAACCTCGCATCGCCTCCTTGCTCTTCTTCCCTCTCTTCCGCCACTTCGACCCTCGCCTGAGCCATGCCTTGTGCGTCTCCCCTTCCTCTGCGCGCGGGTGCACGTAGGCGCCGTGTGTCGGGCGTCTGTCGCTGACCCTTTCGACGCGCGGTGCACGTGCCATACTCTCCCTCTCTTTCCCTCTCCCTCTCTGCCCCTGTCCCTCCCCCTCAGCTTCCGTCAAGTCTACACGGAGCCGCGACGACGCCGAGAAGCTCGCCGGTGCGCCCGACAAGCTGCAGCATGTCGGCGACGGTGCGAGCTCGTACGACGAGTCGCTCGAGAGCCGGGCGGCAGCCGAAGGGATCGACGCCGTCTTCCTCGCCAAGGTGCAGGTCATCAACCGCGGCCTCGCCGACTGCGGCTTTGGTCGCTACCAGTGGCAGCTCTTCTTCAGCGCCGGCTTTGGCTGGGTGCGTCCCCTCCTCCCTTCCTCGATCACCCTGCCGCGGACGAGCCGAGGACGGCGGAGACGCCGTGGAGGGATCGTCGAGCGGGGCGCCTCTCATCGCCAAGGGCGTGAGCTGACTTTCTCTCGGTACATTCTCTCCCCTCGCAGTTTGCGGACAACATCTGGCTGCAGGCGATCGCCATCGTCATGCCCGCCATTGCCGCCGAGGAGGGCTTCCGACCTTACCCTGGCATCCGCATGGCGACGTTCGCGCTCTACACCGGCCTGATCCCGGGCGCGTTCTTCTGGGGCATGACTGCAGACGTCTGGGGTCGTCGGTGCGTCGACACGAGCGTGCCCTTCTCGACCTGGGACGACAAGAAACTGAAACGTCCTTCCCTCGAACAGCATCGCGTGGAACTCGACCCTCTTCATCGGCGCCGTCTTTGGTCTCGCCGTCGGCGCCTCGCCCAACTTTTACGTCCTCTGTGTCCTCCTCGCGCTGTGCGGTTTCGGAACTGGCGGCAACCTCCCGGTCGACGGCGCGCTTTTCCTTGAGTTCATCCCCAACTCGCACAACTACCTCCTCACGTTCCTCTCGGTCTGGTGGGCCATCGGTCAGGTCCGTCCACTCTCTCTATTTCACGCTGTTCGTCGGGAGAGGAAGGGAAAACTGACCTTGTGCGCTCACACAGGTCGTCGCCTCGCTCATCTGCTGGGTCTTCCTCGCCAAGTACTCGTGCGACGCGGCTCGTGTCGGCATCGACGGCTACAGGTGCACTACCGAGAACAACGTGCGTCGTCCGCTCCCCTTCTCTTGCTCGTGGGCGACGGCGGCGGCCGGCGCCGAGGAGGAGGCCCGAGCGGCCAAAGTACCCGAGCTGACTCGCCTCTTTCCCCTCCTCTCCTCCTGCCTTCCTCGCCTCGCCTCTCTCGCCGCCCATAGCAAGGCTGGCGATACTCGATGTACACGCTCGGCGCCCTCATGCTCTTCCTGTGGGCCATCCGCTTCTTCGTCTTCCCGATGCACGAGTCGCCCAAGTTCCTCGTCGCCAAGGGCCGCGACGAGGACGCCGTCGCCGTCATCCAGGCGATCGCCAAGATGAACGGTCGCGAGGTGCACCTGTCGACGCAGGACCTGCACCGCGCCGCCGTGCCTTACTTCCGCAAGGAGGGTGATGGCGCCCAGGTCGCCGCCGGCTTCACCACGTTCGAGCTCATCAAGATGTCGTTTAAGGTGCGTCTCTGCTCTCTTGTCGCACGCAGATTGAGCCCTTCTGACGCATCTTTCGCCGCCGCAGGAGTGGGACTCGCAGCAGTTCAAGATGCTCTTTGCCACTCGCCGTCTCGCTTGGTCGAGCTCGCTCCTGATCTTCATCTACGGCGCGCTCGGCTTGGCCTACCCCATGTACAAGTGCGTCTACCTGCCCCACCTCGACTTTCGCACGTCGACCGAGCGAACTGACCCGGCCTCGTCGTCCCTTGCGCAGCGCGTTCCTGTCGGGCTTCCTCGCCGCCAAGGGCGCCGAGAGCGGTGACACCTCGATCGACTACGTCTACGGCGGCTACACCTGTACGTCCCGCTCTCGCTCGCCGTCGTCGGGCGCGCTCGCCGTTCCGGGCCTTGAGCTGACCTCTCTCGCTTCCTCGACAGACCAAGCAGCTTGCGGTGTCATCGGCTCGATCGCTGCCGCCGCCCTCGTCCAGTGGGGCCCTGGCGGTCGCAAGTTTGCGATGGCCTTTTTCACCGTCGGCGCAGGCGTGAGTGTCCTCTCCTTCGTCCACCTTCCCAAGTCGACGACGCTGACGCCTCGTCCTCCCGCAGGCTTTCCTCTTTGGCCTCACCGCCGCAAGGTCGCAGGCGAGCATCAACGCTCTCACGTGCATGGCGGCGCTCTTCCAGAACGCGTTCTACGGTGTCCTGGTGCGTCTCGAGCCCTCTTTTCCTGCCTCAGGGTTGCTTGCTCTCCAGCGCCTTTTCTACTCGAGTCGAGCTGACTCTGCTCTCTTTTTCCAGTACGCATATGCTCCCGAGGCGTTCCCTACGCCCGCTCGCGGTACCGGCGATGCCCTCGTCAGCACGGCCTCGCGCGTGACCGGCCTGTTCGCGCCCATCATCGCCGTCTACTCGCCCGCTGCCGACTCGCCCAACGGTCCCGTCTACACGGCCGCCGCCATCTTCGTAGCTACCGGTCTCTCGATGATGCTCCTGCCCATCGAGACGCGCGGTCGCGATGCGTGCGTCCCTTTCCTCTTCCACCTTCTCAAGTCGCCTCTCGAGCCGAGCTGACCCTGCGTTCCTCCCGGTCTGCAGCCTGTAAATACTCGTCTGCCGCACCCCTTCCTCTCGGTCTGTAGAACACGCGCTCGCGCTCGCACGCGCTCGATCCCGTTCATTCGGCGTTTCCTCCCGGCTCTCGGGCGCTCTCGGCGCGGCTCGTCGTAGACCCTTTGACGACTTGCATTGTACTGTTTCTAGAGCGATCTGGCACTCAGAGAGATGTCGTTCGTCACGAAGAAATTACCGCGAGGCTGCGGAACGAGAGAGGTCGAGAGAAGCTCGAGGTCCGGGCGGACCTTCTCGAGTCACTCCTCGCCCTTCTGAAATCGCCTGTGGCTGCTCACGAACACCTTGCCCCGCAGCCCGACTACCCCGTCTTGTGCTCCTTCCACTCGGTGCCGCGCTCGAGCCCGAGAAGGAAGAGGACACGGGCGAGGGTGAGGGCAAGGCGCACGAGGCGATCGACTTCAACACCTTCGCCAGTCGTTCGTTCAGTGCTGTTCTCTCTGCAAGCGGTCTGTGTGTGGGTGGGGGCCGTTGCACTTGCCTCCCGTCTAGGGAGCGTGCCTGGCCGGAGCGTGTAGCAAGCGCAGGCTATGTACACTCAATCTTTCGGGCTGTGCATCGGGCGTTCAAATAGTCTAATGGTTTCATAGTTGATCGGCACAACATCGGTTTTTGATCAGTAAACTGCTGCTAGTCATACCGAAGGGCCGGGTTCGATTCCCGGTGAAACCTGCGCTTTTGCTTCGACTTCGGAGGACGAGGGAGGAGGAGGAGGAGGGGGGAACCTTGGACAGACGACTCGTCCGCAGCCACACCTGCTGAGGCTCTTCTCTTTTCGCGTTACATACGCCCCTTTCACCGGCTGGGAACGTCGCTCGTGGGTTCGCGCTCTCGGGCATCTCTCCCTCGTCGAGTCGACCTTCTCAACTCGCGTGGCTTCGCCGGTAGTTCTCACTGGCTCCCCAAGCCCTCTCACTGGGTCCCCAGAGACGCGCCGGGTGGTCTCTTTCCAGCTAGCTGCTCAAACGAGCGGCTGTGAGGAGTCAAAGCGCGTACGTAGTTGGCCCTGCCCGGCCGTCCAGATCAAAATGTGGCGCCAGCGCTCGACGACGCAGCCTGAGCAGCTCGTACATGCACGGGTCAGACTCGTAAGCTTGCGTTAGAGACCGGCCAGGCGTAGAGGCTGCGAAAAGCGCGAGACGACGAGCTAGTCGGAGCGCCGTAGCTTCAGACCAAGGTCTCGCTTCGTGTTCTCTCGGCTGTGCTCGCCAAGCGCTCTCTCTCTTCCGCTCTCGCTAAAGGAGCGGGACAACGAGAGAAAAGCGAGTACTGAAACTGCACAGACCGAGCCGGACCTCAAGCGCTCCCTCCCCTCCCTCGTCGAGCTCTTCTCGCACCCGACCCGACTCAGACCGACTCGCCGACCCGGCCCTGCTCGACGCTCGTCATCTGCGGCTGCTGCTGCTGCTGCTGCTGCATCATGCCCGGCGACGGGCCGCCGAGGTCCGGGCCAGGGCCCGTGCGCGCCGGGCTGCCGGCCATGCTCGGACCGCCCGTCGTCGTCGTCGAGCCGCCGCCGCCCGAGAGGATGCGCTGCGCGCCGCCGCCGCCGTAGCTGCCGTCCGTGTCCTGCGCGAGGTCGGTGTACTTGCCCGAGTGCTGCTCGAGCGCGAGAGGAGGGTGGGTCAGGTCCGGCGCGCGACGAGTGACGGGAACGAGGGAAACAGAGGACGCACGAAGCCGAAGCGCGAGTAGTCGAGCGACTCGACGCCAAACAGGAAGGCGAACAGCCAGCAGACCTTGACGAGAAAGTTGAGGACGCCGTACTGCGAGTGCGAGAGTGTGGTCAGGAACGACGAGCGAGATGGGCGAGGCCGAACAGGACGAGAAAGGGACGGACCCAGAACATCTGGCTCGAGACCGTGAGAATGTTGCTGCCCTGCGAGCGAGAGGGTGGGAGGGAAGGGGCGACGAGGTCAGGTCCTCGCTCGACTCGGCGTCGACGAGAGCGAGACACGACGGCGCACCTCGGACAGGCCCCAGACGAGCGGCTGCAGACAGCGTCGACGAGTGAGTTATGCGTATACGACGACGAGAAGAGGAGAGAGACGAGGACGCACGTAGAAGAGGAAGAGGATCGAGAGGCCCCACGCGTGGCCAACGTGGTTGTGGTGGTACTCGCGACCGAGGGTCCTCGCCGAGCGGCTCGCCGGGAACGTCATGTTCCAGAGCGTGTCTGCGAGCGGCGAGGAGAGGAGGGAGAGAGTCAGTGAGGGCTGCCGGCGAGGCGACTCGACTTGAGAAGGTCGACTCGAGGAAGGGGAGGAACGACGAGAGAGAGAGAGCGACGCACAGAACAAGGCCGCCACGGCAAAGGCGTACAGCGCCCACTTGTACCTCGTCGGGACGAGGGCGCCGATGAGGAGGCACACGCTGTCGCAGGGCGAGTCGAGGTCAGTGCGCGGCTCTGGACCTCGGGCTGGGTGACGAGAGAGCGACTCACGTCCAGAGCACGGTGAAGAACAGGACGAGGAAGATGCGCGACAGGGTAAAGCCCGTCGCGAGGAGGAGCATGAGGACGAGGAGCGGCGTCGTGAGGACGTAGCCCACCCACTGCGACGAGGGAGGGAGAGGGAAGGTCAGTGACGGGCCCTGCTCGAGTCCACTCGAGAGAGAGATAAAGAGAGACGCACCTGGGCGTAGAAGATGGACCTCGTCGGCGGCGACGGCGCTCCGGCCCGGACCTGGGACTGGCCGCGCGAGCCCGAGCGGACCCACTCGACGGGCACGCTCGCGTACCCGAGGTTGCTCGCCTGCACGGCGTAGTGCACGGCCGTGATGGCGAGGACGACGATGGCGACGTAGTGGAACGCGCGGTGCTGCTGAGAGCGCGAGTGCGCGAGGCCGAGCAGGACGAGGAGCGAGACGGTGAAGACGCCGAACAGGGTCCACAACCACACGGACCCGGCAGGCGCCAGGCCAATGTCGGACGTCACCTGCGAGCGAGGGCGTGCCAGGGCCAAGTCGAGCAGGGGACCTTCTCAAGCGCATCCTCGAGCTCACCCTCGCCGCAGACCCTCCCCACATGCAGAAGAACGCTCGAGATGCAAGGCTACAGGGTAAAGGTATGCTACACGGGGCGAGCCGGAACCGAGGCGGACCGGCCCGACGCTCGACGACGACGACGACGACGCGCTCGATCCCGCTCTCACTGCCCCGTCCTCGCGCCCGCCACGACGCTCCCGATCGCCGTGTCGCGCAACGAGCTCCAGAAGCCCGAGTCGGCCTTCTTAGCGTCCTGCGGCGCCGGGGCGGCGGCCCTGCGCATGAGGCGCGCGAACCGGTCGTGCGGGAGCTGGCCGGCAAAGGGGAGCGGCGGCGGGCGACGGTGCGTCGGGAGGTGCTGGACGCTGCGGCGGAAGAGGCCGGTCGGGGAAAAGGTCGAGGCGGGGTTGCCGAGGGCCTGTGGAAGGAGGCGAGGTCAGTGCGAGGACACGGGGAGGGAGGAGAGGGGAGAGAGGCTGCGCACGATGCCGATCGAGCGCGCGAGGACCCGGTGGACGGCGGTCGTCGGGTGGCTCTTGTCGATCCAGGTGTACTGGCTCATCTGCGAGAGGTCGAGAGGCGCACTTACGAGGGAGTCAGTCAAGGGAGAGATGGGCAGGGACGAGAGAGGCAGAGCGAGACGCACCGGCACGGCGCAGTTCTTGATGTCCGTGATGCTCTTGGGCGGGTTGATTGCCCACACGTACTTGGAGTACGCCTCGCAGTAGCTGTCGACGGTAGAGAGACGGTCAGAGGGGCGACTGGGCGACGAGAGAAGGGTGGACGCACTCGTCGGCGTTGAGGAAGGCAAACTCGGACGGCCGGTCGAGGATCTGTGCGACGAGAGCCAATCGTCAATGCGTGCGCGCGAGAGAGAGAGGCGAGAGAGGGAAAGGAGGTGCGCACAATCCCAAAGGCGGTCCAAGCGTCCCACACGACAAAGCTCGCGTCCGTCTTGGTCGCCATCAGGTCGGCGGCAAACTGGCGCAGGCGGCTGTTCCACATCGAAAAGTCGCGCTCAATCGTGTCCTGGGCGCTCGGGAAGATGTGGCCAAAGAGAGGGGCGCGGTGGTACGGCGGCAGGAGGGGCAGGAGGAAGTGGCGCGCTGCAGGAGGGTCCACGGCGAGTTAGCCTCGTGGCTACGAGGAGAACCTCAACTGCGAGTGCAAGGGAAAGTGAAGCTCACCTCCGAGATCGTACAGGCGGTCGACGCCGTCCTGAAACTCGCCAAAGATCGACTCGAGCATCGGCGGAAACTCCTCTCCTCGGCGCCACGTGATCTCGATGTCGTTGATGCCGAACCAGATGGCTGCGCGAGCACAGCATGTCGTGAGTACGGGCGAGAGGCGGGAGGGCGAACTAGGCGGACGCACTGAAGAGCGTCGAGGCGGCGTCCCAGTCGGGTTGGGTGCCGGGAACGTCGGCGCCGGCCTTGGAGTCGACAAAGTACTGCTGGAACAGGTCGACCTCGGCGGCGAGCGACACGTTTGGGTAGCCGATGAGCTGGCGCTCGGCGCTGATGGTGGCGCCGCCGCGCGCAAAGTCGTAGTAGGCGTTGCGGAGCGAGGCGGGTGCGGCCGCGTCCTTGACGAGGTAGTCGGGCCAGGCTGCGAGGGCTAGAGTCAGTATGTACTCTTGCAATATAGGACGGACGAGAGAGCTCACTGGGACCGCCGGCGCTAGTCTGCGGGAAGGACGAGGTGTCAGGAGAGTCCGGCTCGAGGATGGTCGGGACGAGGAGAGGGAGGGCGACGCACGACTGAGAACTGCGACGAGAGGTTGTACCCAAACTCGAGGTCGAACCCATTCTGGGTGTAGCTGTCGCCAAAGAGGAACCTGCGAGTCGGGTCGGGGTCAGTACGGGAGGAGGAGGCGAGAGGGGGAGGCAAGGGGGACGCACATCGTCTTGGTCTTGCTGAGCGGGAGCGCGCTCGCTGCGGCCTGTGCGGTCTGCACGAGGACGCCGAGCACAAGCGCACCGAGGAGCGCAACGCGCAGGAGGGCGGGCGAGGGCCGGTCCAGCCGGACCCTCGAAGGTGCTCCAGAGCTGTACGACATCGAGCCAGGCGCGAGGCGGGCGGTCCAGCCGATGCGAGGGACTGAAAGGAGTGACTGGCGCGGCGTAGGCGGCGTAGGACGGGACAGAGAGGCGAGAGGAGGGGAGGGAGGACGAGCGCCGAGCCCGGGAATGTCGGCCTCGTTCATCGAGAGCTCGACAGAGGTCGGCAGCTCATGAGCGGCGAGAATGCAAGCCCAGGCATAGCCCTTGATCGCTCGGCGAGCCCCATTGCGGACTGGTCGCCCTGCTCGGCCGCGCCGGTTCGAGAAGGTGGGACGAGGGAGGCGGGTCGAGGCTGGGGAGAGGTCGGCGGTGCCGTGCAGCGGGCCTGAGTGCAGCGTAGCAGGTCTGTGCACTGCTTGGCCGTAGCTGATTGGCCTTGGAGCGAGTGGTGGAAGGGAGCGAGGTCGAGGAGCGTCGGCGGAAGATGGCGTCCACGCGAGCTCGCTCTCTCGCTCGACAAGAGTTTGCGGCTGGCCATGACTAGACATACGAGAGCATAGTGAGTCCGTCCAAGGGCTGCAGGAGGCACAGCGAGATGCGCTGAGCTCGAGGTCGACCTCGCCGTCTTCCCCGCTTCGTTCTCATCTTTCGCCTGCCAGCACGGCTCTTGCAGCTCTCGAAGCCAGCTACAGCAGCCCGCACCAGCATGAGCACCCTCGACATCGACGACCAGGTCAACGACCGCCTCGTTCGCGTCAGTCCTCACCACGCTCCCCTCCGCCCCCACCTCGTCCTCCCAGACTCACATCTTCTCGTCTCGCAACAGGCTGCGCTGTCCGACCCGGCCCTCACCGTCCCCGGCTTCGACTCGTCTCGCGTCTTTGCCCTCATCTCGGTCGTCCTGTCGTCCCCCTCGTCCCCCAAGAAGCGCCTCATCAAGCGCATCAAGACCGTCTACCTCTTCCAGGTCGACAACGACAAGGGCGACAAGGCTCAGTGGTGGCTCGACATGAAGGTGCGCCCTCGCTTTCTCTCCCGCTCGTTCCGCGAGCGGTCGGCCCTAAGCGAGGCCGGCTCGTCCGCCCCGCCCTCACGACTCACGAAGCTGACCAGCTCTCCCTCGTCTCGCAGAAGAAGGGCCGGCTCGGCAAGCTCGCCCCGGGCGCCAAGGCGCCGTTGAGGCCGGACGTCATCATCAAGGTCGGCGACAACGACCTCGTCGGGCTCGCAACGGGCAGGGTCAGTCGCGACTCGCTCTCGCCGCGCTAGCCTCGAGCAGCTCTTGGTTGCGAGGCGGTGCTGTAGAGGGTCAGGAAGCCGACTGACTCATCCTTCTATGTCCTGCAGCTTCACCCGCAAAAGCTGTACGCCGCCAAGGTGCGTTCCTCTCTTCCTTCCCGCTTCCTCTTGCCGACCTCCTCGAGCCGAGACCTGACCCTCTCCCGCTCGGCCACCTCTCGCAGCGCCTCCACGTCCGCGGCGACCTCGACCGCTCCCTCCTCGCGCTGCGCGTCCTCTCGCAAGAGCGCGAGAAGCTCGAGGCGCTCGCCGGCCCGGCGCAGCGCGACCCGGACAAGGACACGGGCGGCGTGTGGGCCGAGGTCAAGCCGCACGGGGCGGCGGCAAAGGTCGAGAGGGTCGTCGAGGGCGTCAGGGAGGGCGTCGAGAAGGTCAAAGCCAAGCTGTGAGGCGGGTCGGGGTCCGGCGTCGTCGGTACGTTTTCGGTCGTTCGCGCTCCTGTCGCTCGCTGTCTCTTGTATTGCAGTGCTCTCGTTCGTGCCACATGGAGAGTACAAAGGCTCGAGAGCGTCAGAGAGAGAGATGGCGAAAGCGAGGACGTCGCAGTGAGGAAAGGTCCGAGCGGCTCGAGCGAGAAAGTCGATCTCGCGAAAGGACCCTCTCTCCGACAGCTCGAGACTGGCGGGAGCAACTCGATACAGCTCTATATCGTCTACTTGACCTCCTTGCCCTCCGCTCCCTCGCTCTTGGCCTTGCCCTTGGCCGGCGACGGCGTTCCCGCCTTGGCGACCGGCTTGAAGAACCCCTCGAGCGCGCCCTTCTTCATGCCCGCATCGATGACCCCCTTGCCGCACGCACTCTTCTTGGCCGGAGACGCCGTCCTCTCCTTCTTGACACCGACCTCGCACGCGCGCACGAGCACGTCGTACTCGTCGCGCGCGATGATGCCGCCCGTCGCCTCGCGGTGGCCGCGCGCGAAATCGTGCCCGACGCGGGTCGACCAGCCGGGCGAGAGGGCGTCGCAGAGGGGAGCGAGGGAGCGCAGGAAGGCGATGAGGTCGACTGGGTCGGAGGAGGAGGAGGAGGTCGAGTCGCGGCGAGGAGCGCGACAGGAAAAGTGGACGAAGCCGGGCGTGAAGCCGGTGTTGGCGCACTGTGAGCGACGAGAGTGTCAGGTCGAGTCCGCCGACGGTCGAGGGCGGTACTGGGAGAGGAGGGAGAGAAGAAGCGACGAGGGAAGGAGGGGAGGGAGGAGAGGGTCGGTGCGCACCATCACACAGACGAGCGTCTTGGCCTTGCGGAGCGTGCCGCACCACCTTGTAGCGATGACGGGGTGGACTGCAGGAGGAGGGAAAGAATGTCAGGACAACGCTCGAGGCGAACGAGGGGCCGCTCCGGCAGGCGCGAAAAGACGCTCTCGACGACGAGGGGAACAGGCCGACGCACTCTGGTAGCCCGAGTCGACCGTGACGACGGCGATCTTTCCGTCCTTGGAAAAGACGGGAGGCGCGCCCTGCCACCGGCTCGTCTCGGCGCTCGTGCGCTCCTTGGCCTCGAGGAGCTTGTCGTCCTGCAGGACGCGCTTGAGCCCGAGTCCACCCTTGCCCTCGACGTCCTCGTCGCTCTCGCCGACGACAGCCGCATGCAGCGCCTCGTACGCGTCGGCGACGTTGAACTGGGGCGTGCGCCGCGGCGCGTTGAGGAGCGCGACCGCCTTGCCGAGCGCGCTCTTGGTCAAGGCCTTCTCGACGGGCGCGAGGCTCGCGTGCCACGGGCCCTCGCTCTCGACGCCAAACTTGATCTTGCTCCCGCCGAGGTCGCCGTACACGCCGACGAGCGCGGCCATGCTCGCCGGGCGCGAGCCACGCAGCGAGGGCACGAGCCGCGCCGCGAGCTCGTACGCGAGGAGCGACGTCGTCGCGACGGGGAGCGAGTGGCACGCCGACAGGACCTGGGCGCCCTCGGGGAAGACGTCGCACAGGTGGTGGTCGAGGATGAGCGTCTCGCACCCGCTGTCGAGCGGGAGGAGGGGCGGGCCCGGGCGCGAACCCTGGTCGAGGACGATGCAGCGGGTCGGGCCACCGCTCGAGGCAAAGGTGGCGAGGATGTCGGACTGGGCGGCCGGGGCATGGATGTTGAGCGCGCGGGGGAGGTGGTAGATCTCGACGAGGGAAGGAGGGTGCGAGAGGGCGCGCAGGGCGATCGACAGGACGACAGCCGACGACAGTCCGTCTGCGTCCTTGTCCGGGCAGATGACGACTGTTGGACGCGGCGTGAGCTCGAGAACGGCTGAAGGAGGAGAGGGACAGAGAGAGAGAGGGACGGACCACGGTGCTTGCCCTCGACGCATTCCCGAATCCAGTCCTGCGCCGCGTCCATCTGGCTCGTCGGCGCGGGCCAGTCGATCCACTCGCCGTGCCCAGCACAGTCCCGGATGCTCGCGGCGTCTGCGGACGGGCGAGCGCGCTTGCGAGGAGTCGGTTTCGAGGCGGCGGGCGAGCTGGCGCGTTTGGTCGGCATGGTCGCGAGGGTGCGTGTCGGTGCGAGCGGTAGAGTGCCAGGCGAGAGGCGCCTGAGCATGCACGAGCGAGGCCGTGCAGGAGAGAGAGCGAGAGCTGTGGGGCGCAAGGCGACGGCGATCGGCTACCGCCAGTTTCGGCGTCGACGTCGACGCCAATGCGGAGTCCGCGGGGATTGGCCCGGAGCAGCAGCGGGCAACGCGACCGAGCCAGGTGGCAGCCAGGTGGCAGCTCGCGCGAGTGGGGCGAGTGCGTGAGGAGGAGAGGGCAGCGCTCTTCTACACGGCTCTGTGGTCCCCTGCCGAGCCGCCACGCTCAGCCACGGAGAGCTCTCGAACGGCTCTCGGTCAAGGACGAGCGAGGTGCCAGCTCGCCGACGCCGTTACCGTGTCCCTCCTCCTCTCTCCACCACACCGCCACGCACTGCCGCACACGCCAAGCACTCCCGCCGACCACCGGCCCAGCACCAGCACAAGCATCCGCGTCGAGCACCGCACCGACAAGCCGCCCGCGCACCCACCCCGCACGGCGAGATGAGGTCGGACGAGCTGGACCCGGCCCTCGCGGCCCTCTCGGCCCTGTCGCAGGCCGCCCACCAGTCGCACGACGCACAGCAGCTCTACAGCCACGACCAGCTCGCGTCGTTCGCCCAGCTCAGCGCCTCGTTCGCGCCCCCGGCTCCTCCCCCTCCACCCGCCGTCGCGACCCGGTCCCGCTCGCCGTCCCAGGCCAACATCCCCGTCGACTCGGGCTCGGACGCAGGCGACTCGGACTCGAGCGTCCCGATCGCGAGCACCTCGGCGGCGGTCCCGGCGGCGGCAACGGCGGCGGCGGCCCCGGCCAACAAGCGCAAGCTGCGCAGCCTCGTGCCCAACGGCCCTCCTCCTCCTCCTCCTCCGCCTCAGCAGCCATCGCGCAGGAGGGCCTCGCGCGAGATCCTCACCGTCGCCGAGAAGGCCGCCCTGCGCAAGGAGCGCAACCGCATCGCGGCGCAGAAGAGCCGCGACAAGCGCCAGCACGAGTTCGACGAGGTCGTCGCCGACCGCGACAAGTGGCGCCAAAAGGCGATGCGGCTCGAGCAGGAGGTGGCGCAGCTCAAGCTCTCGTTCGACAGGCGGTTGCGCGACGCCAAGGCCGAGTGGGAGGCGCAGCTGCCGCTCGAGGCGCCGTCGCCCGACGAGATCATGCCGCCCGAGGTGCGCTCCTGTTCTCTCCCCCATCGTCGAGGTCCGACAACTGACTCTTCCTCTCTCCTGCGCAGGACCTCAACTTCGTCTAGTCCTTCCTTCCCTCTCCCATCCTGTACACCCTCGCTCCCTCTTTCGTTTTGCCCCTCTGTCGTACCACGCCTCGTCCCCCTTCTGCAACTCGCTGTCCTTTCTCTCTCATCGACGCCGAGCTCGCGCCCGAGTCCAGTCCAGCCGAGAGCGCTGACACCGATTCAGCGCCGTCTGATCGGACGAAAAGGCCGCTCCACCGGGTGCGGCGATTTGCAGGCCGGCCTGTCCTCGCTCCTCTTGCTCGCTCCTCAGGCCTCGCAGCAGCCCTCGCATGCTCTTGCGCTCCCGGCGCACAGTACTCTTGCTCGTCTCTGCACTCGTCGTCGCCCTGGCATCGTCCCTCCTCGTCGCGCGCTCGTCGCCCCACCTTCTCTCGTCGGCCCGCTCCTCCGCGACCCGCGGCTCGTCTCTCCTCCGCCGCGCACGCACCATGGCGACCGCCGCACCGCTCAAGGACACGCTCGACAAGCACGTCGTCGTCGTCGGTGGGTCGTACGTCGGCCTCGCCGTCGCGCAAGAACTCCTCAAGCTCGACAAGCCGCCGCGCGTGACGGTCGTCGAGCGTAACGAGCACTTTAGCCACCTGTGCGTCCTTGACTCTCTCACGCCTATCTCATGGAGGGACTGACACGTCGGACGGCCGCAGCTTCGCCTACCCTCGCTTCGCTATCGCGTCCGGAAACGAGCACAAGGCGTTCATTCCCTTCTCCACCATGCTCCCCTCGCCGCACCGCATCTCCGCGCCAACGCCCTCTCGCTCTCTCCCTCGACACGCACCCTCACCCTCGACCGCCCTGTCCCCGGCGCCGGCGCCGAGCCGGCCTCGCGCGAGCTCGCGTACGACGCGCTCGTCCTCGCGACGGGCACCAAGCTGTCGCCGCCGGGCACGATGCCGGGCAAGGGCGACAAGGCCGAGGGCGTCAAGTACCTGCAAAGTATCCAGAGCGATCTCGAGAAGGCGGGACAGATCGTCATCGTTGGTGGAGGAGCTGTCGGCGTTCGTGCGTCCCCTCTTTCTCTCCCTCTCGCCTTGTCCGTCGTGGCGCGGGTCAAGCGCAAACTGACCCTCTCTTCTCCCTCACGCCGACACAGAGATGGCCTGCGACCTCGCCGTCCTGTACCCCGCCAAGCGGCAGCACATCACGCTCGTCCAGTCGCGCCGCCTCATGCCGCGCTTCCACCCGGCGCTGCACGACCTCGTCCAGAAGCGCTTCGACGACCTCGGCGTCAAGACGCTGCTCGGCGTGCGGGCCGACGTGCCCGAGGGCGGGTACGAGGCGCTGAACGAGCGAGGCGGTGGCGCAGTGCGGCTTAACGACGGGAGCGAGGTCCGAGCGGACTACGTCGTGCGTCCTCACTCTCTCTCTTCCTGTCTCGCGCCTCTCATCAGTTCTTCAGGGCAAGAACTGACCCTCTCGATACCCTGCGCCGTCCCTCCACCGCGGTCGTCCTGCAGATCCACGCCCTCGGTCAGTCGCCCAACTCGCAGCTCCTTTCGTCCTCCCTCCCCTCGGCCATCCTCCCCTCGTCCTACATCCGCGTCTCGCCCTCCCTCCTCGTCGCACCATCCTCTCCAAGCGAGGCCGCCTCGGTCGCGCAGCGCATCTTTGCCCTCGGCGACGTCGCCGACTCGGGCGCGCCAAAGGCGGCTCGCCCTGCCGTGCTCGGCCAGGCGCCTCTCGTCGCGCGCAACATTGCGCGCGTCCTCGCTCGCGACTCGAACGTCACGTCGAGCTCGTCCGAGGCGCCCGAGCTCGAGCTCGAGACGCACACGCCCGGCGCGGCCGCGATCCACCTCACGCTCGGCGTCGTCGACTCAGTCGTGTTCCGCAACCCGCCGTCGTCCGGCGTCGACGAGCGCGGTGAGCCGAGGTGGGACGGCGAGCCGCATGTCACGTGGCGGGACGATGGCGCCGAGGACATGGGCATCGAGGGAGTGTGGGCGAGGAGGGTTCCTGGGTTCGTCACCGGGCCGCACTCGTACCATCTGTAGAGCGCGCGTTCGTCTCGAGGCTTCTGTAGATTCTGTCCTTGCTAGAGCGCAATCGAGCATGTTTCCGTGGCTCTCTCTCGTGCTTTCTCGGGTGACGCGTCGGAAGAGGCGCGAGGAGGAAGCTGCGAGGGAGACGAGAGCGACGCTTCTGGCTCTAGGCACTACTGCTGCGCGACGCGAGCCCTTGACCGTAGCGATTCGCGGAAGCGGCGAGGCTGAGAGGTAGTGGAGGAACGGACGAGCCGGCGTCGGCGGAGCAGGAGGAGTCGGCTCGCCAAACCGCCACGCTCGCCAGCGAGGGAGCTGCCGCTGCTCCAGTGCGTGCATATGCTGCATAGCGCTGCGCTCGTTGAGCCTGCGTTGACCCCCACGCCGCCGCCGTCTCGCCTGACGAGTCCGACGTCTTCATCTCGCCCCACGACCTTCCGCCCTTGCTCCTCCGACGACGACAGCACGCCGCCCCAGACCAGTGCGATCACGACCTTCGACACCTGCTCTGTACCCCTCGGGTCGGCCGATCGCCCAGTCGAGGCGGCTTGCACCTCCCTCTCTCCTCGCCGTCCCAAGGTGAGCTCCGGTCCTTCCCGTTCGCTCTCACGAGCCAGGCCAGCTCTGACTCGTCCAGTCACCTCCCATACAGGTCAGGCGCTTCATGCAAGTATCGCAGGCGGTGGCGGGTCCGGCTCAGTCGAGTTCGTCGCGTCGCCCCCTTCCCTCCCTCGCCGTCTCCGCCCGCTCGCCTCGACATGGCGGTGCAGCTGTCCGTGGCGCTCAGGCGCACGCGGGACGATCTCTCGAGAGTTCGGCCCTGCTTTTGAGCTGCTTCGCCGGCTGCTGCTCTCTCGCCATCGAGCCAGTGCTGCTCGCGTTGGACGACCGGGCGCGCAGGCCAACCGCTTCGGCTCCCGAGCGCCTCTCGGCCAGCATCTGCTCGCCACGGCCGAACGACGGCTGCGTGTCCTCTGCTTCAGGAGACGGTCCGGCCGACGGACAGGAGGCACTCTCCTGCCCGCCGTGCGCGGACGGACTCTGTCCGTTTGTCGAAGCGCTCGAGCCATCCTCGGCCGACCCCTCCTCGCTCCCTTTCTCGCTCTCTTCTCTTGCCTCCGCTTCTGCGTCCTTCATCGCGCTCGACCACGCCTCGCCATGCCGCCGAGCGACCGCACCGAGCCAGCCGACGGCGGGTCGCGCCTCATCGACTCGGACCAGCTGTTCATACGCCTCAGCCTCGTCTACCACTGGCTGCAACCCGCGGTCGAGGGCCGCAGCATCATCCCCGCCGTCGAGAGGGCGCCGGCCTCCTTTGAGCGCATCTGGCACGACCTGCTGCCCGACGAGCGCGAGCGTGCCGTCGACATCCTGGTCTCTCGGTTCGCCGACCTCGAGGCGGGCGTTCCTCGTGGCTGGGAGATGGTGCGTCCTCCTCCCTCTCTTCTCTCTCCCCTCGCTGCAGGAGAACTCGTACTGACCTCTTCAACGCCGCGAAGATAACCTTCAACGCCGTGAAGGGCGCTGCCCGCAGGAGCTCGTTGGTACGCTGCTCTCCTTTCTTCAAGCCGACGCAGAGAGCGACTATTCACTATCTCACGCCTCGCAGCACGAACACCGCCAGTCCACTACCCGCCTGGGCCAGCTCAAGTCCCGGATCGACGCGATCGCTCGAGCTGCTCCGCCCGACGAGGCCGAGCAGGCCCAGTCGCTCAACGCGTACTACTTCGGCCCGGCGGGCTTCACGTCGGCCAAGCTGCGGCGCATGAAGGACTTCGAGTGGGACTTCTGCTCCGACGAGCTGAGCAAGGTGCTCGAGCGCGTGCAGACGGGCGAGCCGATTTCGGAAGCTTTGGTGCGTCCTGCAGTCCTCCCACCCTCTCTTCTACGGTCTCGAAAGAGTGCCTGACAACGACTTTGCGCCCTGCAGCCTGCCGTCGACACGATCCTGTCCCGGGCGCACGAGGCCGCACAATCGCCCGCCGAGCGCTTCGCCATCTTCACGCGCAGCATCGACGACCTGCTCAAGGTGTACCAGCTGCGTCCGCTCTCCAACGAGACGCAGGAGGGGCACTTGGAGAACCTGCGGGCCGCTCGCGAGACGCTCTTGAACGAGGTCGAGGCCACGTCGTTCGTCGAGCACCTTCACCCGGACCGACAGATGGCGGCGGCGCGACTCGCGCGCGAGTGTCTTTTCCACTCGTGCAACGAGCACATGTCGGGTCGACCTTTGCCCAGCCTGCCAAAAATCGTGCGTCCTCGCCTCCCGCTCCGTCCTCGAGCGTGGGCCGGCCCTGACTTCTTCTCGTCCCGCCCGCAGATCAAGGAGCTGTGCAACGCCGTCATGGTCGACATCCCTCAGCCGCACCCACACTCGCGTTCCGACACCCAATCAGCGGCGCCGCACCCTTTCGCCCCGTCGACGACCTCTGCTGTTTTCCCTCCTCCTCCTCACTACCACATGCGCTCCCTCGGCGTTTCGTCTCGATCTCCCTTTTTCCCTATCTCTCGCCGTAGCGCGTGGTGACTGCACCGAGTCTGCGTCCTCCTCGTGCGCTCGTCGAGAGCAGGTCGGGCGCGAGAAGCCGCGGGCGATCCGAGCGAGCTGTTCCTGCGCTTCACCCCGCGGTCGGTCCAACCGCCCTCACGGAAAGCTATGTTCAGAGAGCGAGCCTCCCCTCTGCGCCGGCGGCCGTCTTGACAATGGCTGGCCAGGTTTAACCGCTCGACGAGAGGAAGCGATGGTCGGGCTGCGCTCCTGCACCGCACGAGCTCGGCAGCTTGCTGCTGCTGCACTCAGCGCTTGCACATGCTGCACAGCGCTGCGCTCGTCCAGCCAGCACCGAAGCACGCCCTGTTGCCGCCCCGCCGTCGCCTCCTCCGCCTTCATCTCGCTGTCGACCGTCCGACCTCCCTCACGCGTCGACGACAGCGCGCTTCTCCATGCGAGTCCACTTCCTGCCCTCGGCAGCATCTAAGCGCATTTCGAGCCGACCGTCCGCCTTGCAGGGGCTGCGGTTGCTCCTCGCCCTCCCGCCGGCTCAACGTGAGCTCTCCCCGTCCCCTTCCTCCCTTCTCTCGATGGATACAGACGAGCTGACCCACTCCTGGTCCCCGTGTACAGTCTATGTGCCGCCCGAGAGCTCGGTCAGCGGCGGCGACACCCGAACGACCGCTTCGTCCTCCTCCCCCGCGCTCGCCGCATCCCCTCCCCTTCCGCACGCCTCGCCCGAGTCGCTGTTCTCGACTCGAGAAACGCCTCGGCAGCGGCAGTCTCTCGAGCGAGACACTCTGCGTGCCGTCGTGCTGCTTGCAGGGTCGGGGCAGCCCCTGGACCCGCTGCGCCGAACGACCGCCGCTCGCCTCGAGCGAGTCGTTCGCGGCTGTGGTCGCTCGAGCCGCAGCACACGCCTTCTCGGCGCGACGCTTGCGGCGGGGGAGAGGAGGTGGTCGATCGCTCGGCTTTAGACGGGCCCCTCGTCCGTCCGTCGTTTCTCCGGCTCGTCCTCCCCTCGTTGCTCGACACCGAGCGTCTCGTCCTCTCTCTTCCCTCTCTTCTCGCCATCTCGCCCGGCGTCACCTTTGCACCTCGCGCCATGGCCGACGCTGCGCCCGGCCAGCCGGCCACCCTCCTGCAGCGCCTAGCCCACACGGATCCCGTCTTTGCGCGCCTCTTGACGGTTTACTCGTCGCTCACGCCAGCCGTCATCAGCCAGCGCGACAGCGTCGGCCGCAGCGACAGCAACAACGTCGCCAACATCCGCGCCGCGCCAGAGCGATTCGCGCGCGGCTGGGCCGACCTGCTGCCTGACGAGCGCGAACGCGCGGTCGACTTGGTCGTCTCGAGCTTCTGCGACCTCGAGGCGCGCAGTGCACGTGATTGGACGATGGTGCGTCCTATACCTTTCCCCCTCTCTCGTGCGCGCTCTGACAGTCTCGCCCTCGACTTGCTGCAGCTCCCGTACCGCGAGCTCCAAGGCAAGGCCAAGCGCAGCAGAATTCTGGTGAGCCTCTCTCGCGCCGGCGGTCTCGCGGCGATTCGGGGTCAGTTCGACCTGAATGCCTTGCCTCGGTACAGCACCATCACGACGTCGCCAAGAAGGAGCTCAAGAACCTCCAGCTCAAGGTGGACGAGATCGTCAGCGCGGCGCCATCGGCAGCCTCGTTCCGGACCAGCTTCTCGAGCCCCGACGGCGTGACGGCGGCCAAGCTCAAGCGCATGCAGAAGGTCGAGTGAAAGTACTGCGCTACAGAGCTCCAGACGAGCCTCGAGCAGCTGCGGGCAGGGGCCTCGGCGGCGCAAGCTCTGGCACTTCCCCCTCTCTCGTCCCCGTGCCCGAGAGCGTCCGGGTGAGCGCACCGGCGCTACCAATCCCGTCACTGACTCGCATCCATCTCTCGCAGCGCCCAGTCGACCTCATCTTGGCCGGCGCCACCGACGCCGCCCAGTCGCCCGAGGACCGCCTCGACATCTTCACTCGCTGCGTCGGCGACCTCCTAAAGCTTTATCACGACCAACGACTTCCTCACGTCTCGCACGGGCAGCACCACGCATACCTGGACGTCGCTCGCGACACGCTCCTCAGCCGGTCGGAGGCGACGTCTTTCCTCGAACATCTCCCTCCCGATCGCCAGCGAAACGCCACGCGCCTCGCACGAAACTGCCTCTACTCGGCATGCTCGGCGCGCATGTCGGGCACCGAGCTTCCCCTGCTGCGAGATCTTGTGAGTCCCTTCTCCTACTGCGGCGGCTGGCCCAGCTCTTCCTCCTCGGCCTCAACCTGACGGCCTTGCGCCTCCAGATCAGTGATCTCTGCAGCGCCGTCATAGTCGACATCGACCCGAGCACGATCCGGCCGCCGTTGCTGCCCCGCTCGGACCTGCCCGCCGGCCCCGGCCTCGTGCGTCCCTCTTTCTCTGTCGCCCTGTCCTACTATCGCCGGCTTCTGACCACTTGGCGACGTGACCAGGCGACCAACTCGTCACCCTTTCACGGCGCCGACCCGACCGCGCCGTCGCACTTGGTTCGACCGCAGCATCCTCGCGCACACGAGGAACGCTCCCTCGGCGGCAGCTCGACTTGGTCCCCTTTCCTCCCTCTTGCACGCCGTAGCCAGTTCTAGACCTGTCATTCGAGCTCTGTGTTCCCCAGTCGGTCGCGTCAATGAAAGGCTCAGAGCGCAGGCGGTCCAACCGAGCCACAACTTGAGAGAGACGGAAGCTCCTCTCAGCAGCTCGACCGCTTTCTCGACAGCGCATGCTCAGAGGGCTACCTCTGCTGCGCCCGACCACTAGCCGAGCACTTCAGCACCTCGTCTATTCAGCTAGCACCCGCCCACGAGCTGCCGCTGCTCTCCCCGTGCCCTCCCAAGTCCTCATCTCCTCCTCGACTTTCCACCAACAATCCACCATGAGCGACCCAGAGCAGCAGCACAGCGAGCGCGCCATCGAGCAGAAGGACGTCCAGATGCAGGTCGAGCAGCCGGCACCGCCAGCAGACGCGACCGGCCCCTCGCCGCAAGCAGCTCAAGGTGAGCTCTCTCTCACTCTCCTCCCCTGCACCGCCCCGAGTCTCGCTGACCACGTCTGTGTCCGCACAGCACCACCTGCTGTCCCCGAGGGCTTCGTCCCCTACAGCGAGTCGACCACCTCGATCCTGTTCGCCGCTCCCCCTTCCTCGTCCGACCAGTCCGGCTCGGCGCCCGTCTTCCTCAACCCGGTCCAGCAGTACAACCGCGACCTGTCGGTCGTCGCCATCCGCACGTGGAGCGAGGCGCGGCAGCGCGAGAAGCGCGCGTTCTGGGAGGAGGGCATCCGGAGGAAGCGGGAGAGGAAGCGCGCGGGCGGTGCGGGCGGCGAGGGCAAGGGCAAGGGCAAGAAGCGCAAGGCCGAGGACGGCACGGCGGTCGAGACCATGGAGCCGGCCGAGGGCGTCGAGGCGAGTGCGGCCGAGGGCGCGAGCGCGGTCGAGACGATGGAGGCCTTGCCGGTGGACGACAAGGTGCGCCCGGCATTCTCTCTTGGCCGCCTCCAGTAGCATTGACTGACCTCTCTGAGACAGGAGCCCGCAGCGCCGACGGGCGAGCCAGCAGCAGAGCCGCAGGTCGAGCACGCGTTGCCGCCGCCGCCGACCTACAAGTTCACCCTCCTCGAGGCGCTCTCGGCGACCGGGCTTCGCGCGATTCGCTACGCCAAGGAGCTCCCACTGCTCAGGTGCGCCCCGTTCTACTCGTCCCTGGCCCGACACCGCCTTGACGGCCCTCCTCGCGTCACAGGTACGTCGTCGCCAACGACTTGTCGGCGTCGGCCGTCAAGGACATCGAGCGCAACGTCGCCTTCAACCGCCTCGAGCCCAAAGGCGTCCTGTCGCTCCCGGGCACCGAGGGCATGAAGGAGGAGGACGTCAAGCCGCTCGGCGCCCGCAGCAAGGCCGACATCGACGAGGCGAAGTTCGGCAAGGTCCGCGTCAACGAGGGCGACGCCTGGTGCGTCCTCTCCCTCTCGCGCCTCCCTTTCGTCGAGATTGACTTGACTCGGACTCGTGCGCAGCGTCTACATGTACCAGCACCGCAACGAGGACAAGCGCTTCGACTGCATCGACCTCGACCCGTACGGCTCGGCCGTGCCCTTTCTCGACTCGGCCATGAACGCCATCGCCGACGGCGGTCCGTCCCTCTCGTCTCTGCCTCACTGTCGGAAAAGCCCACTCACACGAGTTCTCGATGCCGCAGGCCTGATGTGCGTCACGTGCACCGACATGGGCGTCCTCGCCGGCCACAACTACCCCGAAAAGGCGTGCGCACTCCTCTCCCTGTCCTTCTCAGCACTCGAGCCGAACTTGATGATCGTCCTCGCCACAGGTTCACCCACTATGGCGGCGTCTGCGTCAACGCCGAGTACTCGCACGAGGTGGTGCGTCCCGCTTCTGCCCTCTCCTCTCGCCTCTTCCCTCACGAGCTCACCTCTTGCCCCTTACGTGCGTGCAGGCTCTTCGTCTCGTCCTCAACGCGCTCGCCACGACCGCCGCTCGCTACGGTCGCTACATCGAGCCGCAGCTCAGCCTGTCGATCGACTTCTACGTCCGCCTCTTCATCCGGGTCCGGACGGCCCCGAAGGAGGTCAAGGCGCTCGCATCGTGCGTCTCGACTGTTCCTCCCTGTCTCTCGCACTCTTCTCGAGCCCGTCGACCTGACTCTCGCACCCTTCCCTCGCGCTTTTGCCCCTCTCGAAACAGCAAAACCTCGCTCGTCTACTATTGCCACACGTGCCAGTCGCCCCACTGGCAGGCGTTCGGGCGCGTGTCGGAGAAGACGAGCGCCAAGACGGGCGCGGTCAACTACTCGTACCACGTGCCGGCGGGTCCGCCCAAGGGCGTCGACGGCGAGCGGTGCGGCGAGTGCGGCGGCAAGTTCCACGTGCGTCCCTGTCCCCTGCTCTCTGTACCTCGTCCATCTCGAGCGTCGACTGACAACGAGGCGCACGCAGATTGGCGGCCCGATGTGGAGCGCGCCGCTGCACAACCAGGCGTTCATCCAGGAGATGCTCGAGCACGTCGACGAGAACAAGAAGGACTTTGCGACGCACGAGCGCATCAAGGGCATGCTCACCGTCGCACTCAACGTGCGTCTCCTTCTCTCTTCATCGAGACGCCGAGCGCGACCGGCCCTGACGTCGAGTCGAGCGTGCAGGAATGCGAGGCGCCGCTCTACTTCTCGCCGGCCAAGATGGCGAGCCTGTTCAACGCCGTGTGCCCGCCCATCTCGACTTACGGGTCCGTCCTCTCTCTCTCTCGGTAGCCCCTCGGCAAGCTGCGCGAGGCACTGAAGCTCTTGTCGCCCCTCGCAGCTCGGCGCTCCTCAACGCCGGCTACACGGCCTCGCGCTCGCACGCCGTCGCCGGCTCGATCAAGACGAACGCGCCGCGCTCGTTCGTGCACGACGTCATCCGCGAGTGGATCAAGGAGCACCCGGTCAAGATGTCGAACGTCAAGGACGGCTCGCCGGCCAAGGTGCTGCTCGCCAAGGAGATGCGCCACGAGGTGAGCCTCAAGCAGCACCCGGACGCCGGGAGGCGCCTCCTCGACGACGTCAAGGTCGTGCGGTACCAGATGAACCCGCAGGCCAACTGGGGCCCGGCGAGGGCGGCTGTCAGGGGCGCGCCGCTCGCGAAGAAGGGAGGGCAGTGAGCGGGGCGAGCGGGGGAGTTGATGCTGCAACGAGACGGCGTTCCGCTGCACGTTCTCTCAGCGAGATGGACGACTGTTCAGTGAGCGCGAAAGATCGTGCAAGGCTCGTGTTGTTCGACTCGCGGTTCTCCGAAAGTCGAGCGACGAGGCGACTTTGGCGGCTGCAACCTGTCCCTCTCGCTTCGCACGTCCAACTGCCTGCTCGACCTCACACAGTGAGTCACACGAGCCTCTCTAGCCTTCCTGCCCCAGTCCTCAGCGTCTCCCAGCCGCGCGTGGCCCGCCCTCGACCTCATCAGCGCCGAGCCGTCATCACCTCTTTGGTGGTCGTCCAGGGCTCGCAGAAGGAGGGCGGTCAGCGCACAGTCTCCATGAGCGGTGGTGCAGCACGCTGGAGCAGCGTCCGCATCCTCAGGAGCCCGACTCGCTGACCCTTCCTCGTCGTCCCACCTCCACTCTCCGCGCAGCACAATGTCGTCGCCCAAGCTCCGCATCGCCTACGTTCCCGAGCACTTTGCCTCGCCCTTGCTCCAGCTCGCCGCAAAGGACATGTCCATCGAGCTGGTCCCCTGCCCGAGTGCGTCCGCCTCTCCTCCTCCTCTCCCCACCTCGCGCGCTTGTCGCCCGAATTGAGCTGATAAGCCGGTTTACGTGACGCGCAGGCGGCACGGGCCAGATCATGTCGGCCATCAAGGCGGGCGAGGTCGACCTCGCCATCGCGTTGACCGAGGTGCGCCCGACTGTTTCCTTCCTTCATCCCTCACCGTCCGCGCTGACCTGTACTCTCCCGCGCACAGTCCTTGATCGCCGGTATCGCCAAAAAGACGGCCGACTTCAAGCTCGTCGGCACCTACGTCACGAGTCCGCTCAACTGGGCCGTCATCGTCGGCACGGACACCAAGTACCAGACGCTCGACGACCTGCGCGGCGAGAAGATCGGCATCTCGCGCATCGGCAGGTGCGCCCCGCTCCTCCTTCTCCGTCGCGCCCACGTCGAGGAGCTAACCCTTGCGGCGCGTCAATAGTGGGAGCCAGGTCATGGCCAGTTTCATGGCGTTGCGCGAGGGCTGGACCGACAAGGAGGGCAACGTCGAGCCCGTTCAGTTCGAGGGTGCGTCCCTGCCCGCCTTCTCAATTTTATCCAGCCTGCACGTTCTCGACTGACTCGACCGACCCACACAGTCCTCGACACGTTCAAGAACCTACGCGACGGCGTGAATGACGGGCGGGCGGCGGCGTTTGTGCGTCGACCACTCTCCCTTCACGGGCTCCTCTTTCATGTCGAGGAGTCACTGATACTCGGCGAGCGCTAACGCAGATGTGGGAGCACTTTACGACCAAGGTGGGCCTTCCTTCGACGTCGCACGGTCCTCGACGACCCCAGGCCCAATCGAGCTGACCCTCCCTGGCCGTCCGCAGCCCTACCTGTCCGAGGTTCGCTTCATCGGCTCGGTCCCGACACCCTGGCACAGCTGGGTCCTCGTCGCCCCTCCCTCGACCACCTCGCCCACGTCGCCGCTCCTCCCCGTCCTCCAGTCGTTCCTCTCGAACTTGACGACCTCGATCCAGGCCTTCAACGCGCCCGAGGCCCGCAAGACGTCGAGCAAGGAATTCATAGAGGGCCACTTTGGCTACCCGACCGAGGACGTCGAGGCGTGGCTCGCCCAGGTCGACTACCCGCACGGCGACGTCGTCGAGGTCAGCAAGGACATGGTCGAGAAGACGCTCTCGTGCGTCGGCCTCTCTCTCTCTTGTTCGTCCCTCTCGTCCTCTCGAGTGGGGCTAACTCCCTTGGTGCGCGTCACGCAGGACGCTCGAAAAGGCCGGCGTGCTCACCGCGCCCGCGAGCGGGTGGAACCTCGACGACTTTGTCGAGACCAGCGTCGCCCGGTTGAAGTAGACGCCGGTCGTACCTGCATCGACGGTGTTTTCGGCGGTCGTGCGCGCGACGAGCGAGAGGCTCGGGCTGGCTCAGCTTCTCTGCGCCGTTATCGCGAGACTCGGCCGGGCTCCTTCTCCGCCTCCCGACTGTGCCCCTCGCCGCTCTAGCTTCTCTCCTTTCCTCCCCTACTTCCTGCTCGACTTGCTCCCTGCGCCATGCCGGTACCCGCTTCGACGCTGTCAACGATCACGATCAAGCCGTACGAAGGCTCTTACGGATTCGGTGCCGAGGTGCGTCCCTCTCTCCCTCTCTTCCTCACGAGCGCCAGCATTGACAAGTCTGGATCGCTCCCTACAGGTGTCGGGCATCGACCTGAACACGATGAGCCCCGAGCAGTTCAAGGAGCTCGAGCGAGCGATCTACATCCACCGGGTGCGGCTCACTATCCTTCTCGCTCTCCTCCCGTCAGTCCCGCATCCTGACGCTCCTTGTCGACAGGTCGTCGTCGTCAAAGGTCAGAAGGATCTGCTGCCCGAGACGCAGCAGCGCATGGGCGTGCTGTTCGACCCCGAGACGCCCGCCAACCTCGGCCGTGCGTCCCTCTTCCACTCCTCCTTCCTCTCTCGCGCCGACGAGCACGCGCTCGTCCGGCGCGTCGATGGACATCGAGCTCACATGTCTGAGCACGCAGACATGGAGGCTGTGCGCGGGCTCAACACGATCTTCGGCGCCGGCGGTGCGTCCTTGAGAAGGTCGTCTTGCCCCACTCTTTCCCGGCGACCTGACGTCTCTCTCCTCCCTCGCCGCTCCCTCACAGTCACCGAGCGCAAGCCGACTATGCCTGGCGGGCACCTCGTCAACCTCAACGGCTCGGGCTCGTTCAAGGCGGGCCACTACGGCGTCCCGAAGGACTTTGTCCTGACTGGGCTCAGCAGCAAGGGCTTCCACCGCGACGAGCTGTCCCACGAGCAAGTCGAGAGCGGGCATGTCCGCTTCCAAAGGTGCGTCCTCGATTCCTCTCGACCGTCTCTCGAGGAGCCCTCAAGCGCCGAGCTCCCCCTCGTCGACGCGCGCAGATGGCACATCGACTGGCCGGCGTGCGTCGGCTCCAACCCGGCGCCGGTCACGACCATCTGGGCCCACACGCTTCCGACGGGCGAGGACGTGACGGTGCACTGGGAGGACGGCGAGGGAACGTGCGTCAGGAGCAGGCCTGGCCAGGTGCGTCTCTCGCTCCCTCTCGTTCTCGCCGAGCCTGCCTCGACTCGCAACAAGGACCTGTAAAGGTCTGCCCTCGAGCACCGACCCTGGCACTGACCCTGTCCTCGTCTCGCAGACCGCCTTCATCGACTGCTTCGCCCTGTACCGCTCGCTGTCGCCCGAGCAGCGCGCCTGGGTCGACAACTCGCTCGTCGAGTACCCGCCCTCGCCGTATCAGTGGCTGCGAGGCGCCAAGGCCGACGGGCTCGGGCTGAGGATGTACGACGAGGGCAACGAGACGCCGCTCGAGGACTTGGCGGAGGGGGAGCCGCTCAGGTGCCCGATGGGTGCGTCCTCGGCTCTCTGTATCCTCGTCGAGCATCTTCTTGACTCGCCGTTTCCCTGCGCACAGTGTGGATCAACCCGATCACCGGCGAGAGAGCTCTTCAAGGTGCGTCCTCTCTCTCTCTTGAGCCTTCTCTCCTGGCCCACACTCGCTTACCGCTCTCCTCTCGCAGTACACGCCATCATCGCCCGGAAGCTGCACTACCGCTCGTCCCCGACAGCCGCCTATCGGCTCATCGACGACCTCGCCGAGGTGCGCGAGATGCTCGACAGCCTGCAGCGCCCGTTCGTCAAGCCCGACAACGTCTTCTTTGCGCCGACTGAGGAGGGCGGTGCGTCCTTATCTCGCTCCCTATGTGACGCCTGCACTTACTGACGACGTGCGCCGCCCGCAGATCTGCTGTGCTTCCACAACAGGTGCGCTCGAGAAGGCCGCCGTACGGACCTCCTCCTGCGGCAGGTCGTCGCCGTCACGCCCTCGAACGTCGACTAACTCTTTCTGCGCCTCTCTACACTCGTAGGGGTGTGCGCCATTCAGCCGTCGAGTTTCCCGAGTCGTGCGTCCTCATCTATCTCTCCCACTCTATGCGCTCGTCCTCACCTGGTCCCTCGCAGTCGCGGTCCTCGCCTTCTGCATCAACTTCAGCTTATCGTGCGTCACCTTCTCTTCCTACCTTGCGAGGGCCTCACTGACTCACTCACTCTCGCAGGCGTCGGACGAGCCCTGGAATCCGAAGCGCGTGGTCGGGCAGCCGTACTACAAGGATGAGGGGTTCATGCCGCCTTCTCTCGCCATCGCAGGAACTGCCTGAGTCCATTTGAGCCTGTAGCACTTGTCTAGATTGCAGTTCTATTCGTGTTGAGCCCGACCTCGCCCCTCGTCTACGCCTGCGCTTCTCCTCGCCCCTGCTCGTCTCCTCGTACTCGCTCGTCCGCCTCGTCCGCCTCGTCAAGCCCGCTCTTCTCGGCTCCCTCGCCTGCTCCCGTGAAGCGACTCTTGGCTCGCAGCTTGGCGCCGCACAGATAGAGCGTCCAGATGCCGACGATGCCGCACGCTGCGAGGCCGGCGAGGAGCGACACGCCGCCATGGATGCCGGCCGACGAGCGGAAGAGAGGTGTCGCGCCGTGAACGACGCCGGCGGCGACCTGGACCGAACGGAAGAGGGTCGTGAGCGCGAGGACGAAAGACGAGGACCGAGAGGGAGAAAAGGAGGACGCACGGTCGAGCGCACAAAGTCGCTCCCAGCGAGGACAGATGCGGCGTACTTGGGGTACGACAGGATCAGGTAGTAGAAGACGCACTGGAACGTGACAATGTTGCTCGTGACGAAGAGGGTCGCGCCGACGGTCGGGCCCATCCAGTGAGCTTGACGGTACGCCGACCATGCTGTGGCGCTCGAGCATCGTCAGAAATTGGCTCGAGGGAGAGAGATGCTGCTCCTGCTGAGAGAGGGGGCGGCAGGGAGGACAGGACGGCTCACCGAAGATCCACAGGCCAAGCGACGCCGTGACGCTCGAGACAAGGGCCGGCTCGAGGCGGCGCTCGACGACGGGCATGCCCTTCTTGCGCACGAGAGGGAACATGTAGGAGAGCTGGTACCCGGCGTAGGCGACCGCGCCGAGGCTCGAGCCGGCCACGTCGCACAAGAACTGGGAGAGTCGACCGGGTCAATCTGAGGGTCCGCACGGCGAGAGGCAAAGGGGAAAGATTGGACGCACGATGAGGGCTTGGCTGACAGTCGGAAAGCTGAACACCTCGCCGAACACGATCGGGAAGGCGTCGAAGAACGAGAAGAAGACGGCGTCTGCGGGAAGAGAGAGATGAGGTCAGTCCGGCTACGAGGGCGAACAGGACCGGGCCACGCCCGAGGACGTACAGCATAGTGCGATGTAGGCATGGCAGAAGAGGATCGACGGGTCGAGGAGGGTGATCTTGAACGGGATGGCGAGCGCCTCGTACAGGAGCGCGCGCGCCGATTTGCCGTCGCCCAGGATCTCTGCGCGGGTGCGGAGCGTCTCGTCGCCGGTCAGACGGCGCAGACGGCGCGCCCGACGATACAGGAGGTTGTCGGCCGACTGCGGACACGCGAAAGAAGGGTGAGTGTGCGCGCCGTAGAGAGGGTCCGTGCGCTTGGGAAGGTTGCGACGCACCGTCTCGGGGCACAGGAGAATGAGCACGGCGCCGACGCTGAGGAACATGAGGTGGATCCACATGCTCCACCGCCAGCCGAAGCGCTCGACGGCATTGACCGTAAAGATGGGCGCCTGGGAGGAATCGAAGGGTCAGGACGAGGTCGACATGGAGAGAAAAGGGAGCGGGACGCACGAGTCCTGGAGCCGAGAACGAGGGCAGGACCCAGATGAAGCAGAGCGCGACCGGGAGCTTTTGAATACCCCAGACGTCGGCGATGCTCGCTCCACCGGTCGCGAGAAGGGGTCTGCAGGCGGCGAGGATGCTTGATCAGTCGCGCCTCACGACGACAAGTCGATCGAGGACCTTCGCGCTCGCGCAGGTTGAGAGAGAAAGAGTGAGAGAAGGGGACGCACGCTCCGAAAAAGCCGACGAGAACGCGCAAGATGGCCAAGCCGGCGAAAGTCGGGGTTGTCGCCGCGCCGACTTGCAGGCCGACGGCGATGATGAGCGGGACGTAGTATGGCGGGTTGCGGCCGCTGTAGAGAGACGACAGGAGGACAGCTCAGTCAGGCTCGAGAAGCGGCAAAGGAGAGAGAAAGAGAGGACGACGGGGACGCACAGATGGTGCATCTCGCTCAACGGCGAGAAGAAGAGGGCGCCCGCACCATCTGCAAGGGTGAAACGTCAGGATCGCTGAGTTCGGGCTAGGCTAGAGGAGGAGACGTGCAGGCAAAGATGTCTGCGGGCTCGAATGTGCGGGTCAGGGCCATGCTTGAGGAGAACGAGGAGGTCGAGAGAGCGAGACGCACAGAGGGACATGGTCGCGAACGCCTCCTGCTCGACGATGCCGAACTCGTCCATGAGCGACGAGTAGGAGGTGGTCGTGATGCCGCCGCCGACGTAGACGGCGAAAGTCGCGAACCTGCGAGGGGGAGGAGGTCAGGGCTCGTCGTGGATGCTGGCAATCTCGAGCAGAGGACGTCGAGAGCTCACCCGATGCACCACGAGACCCATAGCTTCTTGCGCAGGGACCAGTTGAGCGGGTTGCCCGGGTCGGACGCACCTTGCCCTGCAGAGCGGGCGGGCCGACAAGGTCAGGAACGCGGCCAAAGACTGAGAGAAATCAGGCAGGACGTACAGTCGACGATGTTTGAGCGCTCTGGTGCGTAGAGCGTGCTCGACGACGCCCTGCTTGACGCCAAACCTGGCCGCCGGCCGCCGGTCGAGTCGGGCGCAGGCTGTACGCCGTCGGGCGAAGCTGCCGGACACGCCGGCTTGTGCTCGCCGACCTTCTCGCGCATCTTCTGCGCGGTCGAGCTGCCGCCTTGAGGCGAGTAGCCCGGCTCCTCCTCGGGGTAGCGCAGAAAGCGGCGGTGGGTGAAGAGGCGGACGGCGTCGCCGACCGGGGTGTCGAGGAGCGCAGAAGCAGCAGCGCACGGCATGGCGGTGGATGTCGAGGCAGACCTTGTCGTCGAGACGTTCGAGGTAGGCGAGGCCGAGCAAGAGTTGGCGCACGCGTCGACCAGGTCGAGCGCTGGTGCCGCCTTACTTCAGCAGCGGAAGACCGTGTCCGATCGGCAGGCATGCGTCACAGGCGCTGTGTGCGCGCGTGGCGGGGCCGACCGCCTGCAAAATGCTGATTCTCGCTCCCAGCTGATCGAGGGGGAGCGGCGGAAGAGCACTTCCGCAAGCTCGAGCCGTGTGCCCGAGCTCGCGCCTGGGGCAGCGACTCCCGGCCAGCACATCAAGCGCCCCGGTAGTTACCGCGAGAGCTCGCCCTTGGGCACTGCAATGAGCGAGGCTGGGCGCGGTCGTCGGCGTCGGTCGAGGCGAGGTGGGAGGAGCAGAGACGGCCGTGGACGAGTGTCGCGTGCGGGTGGTGGACGCAGAGACCAAGCTTCAGTGCACGGCAGCGAGCGTAGCTTGCCTGCTTGCTGTGCGGGAGCGAGAGAAGCAGGAAGCCGAGACTCCGAGCGGGGCGAAGAGGAATCAGCCGCTTCCTTCTCCTCACAGCCACCGAGCACAGCTGCCGCCCGCTGTACCGGCCTTCTGCTCCACTGCTGAGCGAACCCGCCCCTCGATATCCGCCCTCGAGGCCGTGCTCCCTCGCCTCTCTTCATCATCATCGTCGCCGATCCACCTCTTTCTCTGGACAGCCCCAGTCTCTGCCGAGCTGGCGATGCCTCAGATCTGTCGAGGAACCCGCAATGAGTGCGTCCCTCTTTCCCACGAGCTCCCTCATCGTGATGGAGCTGACCTCGCCCTCGTTGCGCAGTCCTCGAGCATCTCGCGCTTGCCGCCAGTGCAAGCGGGCCAAGAACCGCTGCCTTCCGAGCTCGACCTCGACATCGACTGTCGACGCTGCGTGTCAACGCTGTGAGCGCAAAGGGCTGGATTGCGAGTGGGAGAGTGGTGCGTCGACTCTTTCCCGGCGAGCCTGCGGGAGCGACGCTGTTGCGTCGTGACCTGACCTTCTTGTTCCGCTGTAACAGGGCCAGACCGTCGCAGGAATCGGAACGACACGCTCGCCCAGGTCACCGCGCTGCAGGACCGCGTCAAGGACCTCGAGACCCGCCTTGCTCAAGCCCAAGGTCAACCCGTCCCGACCGCCGACTCGTCGCCTTTCCTCGAGGACTCGAAGCACGCCAACCTGCTCGTCGACCGCATCTCGACTCTCGAGCTCGAGGACGACCCTCTCGCACCTCACGGCGAGCTGCGGCCCGACGCCAACGGCGCCTTGCGCTGGCATACCGAGACGGCGGTGCGTCCCGCATTTCCTCCGCCCGCCCCCTTCAGGACCTGACTATTTGTCTCGACGCAGCTCTACAAGGACGATGTTGTCGACGGTACCGACGCAGCGCGACTCGGGCGTGCGGCGTTTCTGCCGGTGCCGCTCTCGAACGAGCTGCACGCCGAGCTCATTCACCTCGCGTTCAAATGGCACCTGGACGTCGTGCGCGTGAGTCCACCCTATTTCCTCAACTCTCGAGGGGTCCGTCGACGCAGGGGACGTTGCTCTGACGCTGGTCTGCCCCAAAGTTTGTCGAGCAGGACGACATGACGTTTGACGGCAAGCGCTCGCACGCCTACTCGCCCTTTGTTCACCTGGCCGTCCTCGCTGTCGGTTCACGGTACAGTGAGTCTCGTACTGCCTGCCTGCCTCCTGGCGGACCGAGCGTACTGACTCGCTCCTTCGTCGCGCAGTGCACGATCCGCCTCCCGAGATTTGCGCCAACCCGGCCGACCCTTCTACTCGCGGCCACCCCTTTCACCGAGCAGCGCTCGAGCTCCTCACGAGCGAGATCGCGGCGCCCGACTTCAGCACCATTCGCGGCCTCATGATCATCGCCAATTTCCTCGGCGGCATCGGCCAGCCTCGAGCGGGATGGGTGCGTCTCCCTCTCTCTCCCTCTCTTTCACCGCGCCGAACATCTTTCTGCGTCTCCTGTACCTGATAAACCCGTCTTTCGCGCAGCTCTACAGCGGTGTCGCTCACGGGCTCTGCCTCGACTGTGCGTCGGCGACCTTCTCAACCTCTTCGCGCCGTCCTCGCGCTCACCCAGACTATCCCTGCAGTCGGCCTGCACCTTGATCCACCACCGGAAGCCCCGATGTCGCTCGAGACACGCGAGATCCGCCGCAAGCTCTTGTGCGTCCCCTCTCACCCTTCCGGATCCTCAAGACGGCCCTCCTTAGAGAGACCTGACCTTGGCCCTGTCCACAGCTGGGCTACGTTCGTCCACCACAATGACTACGCCATCTGCTTCGGCCGTCCGTCCGCCATGTCGCTCAAGCAGGTCCACCAGCCGCTGCCCGACTTGCCCTCGTCCTCAACCGGCCCGGGCGCGTCGTGGCCGTTCGACATCCGCATCCACCGCATCGGGCTCAAGGTTTGCTGGCTCAACTATACGGGCGAGGGCCTCGGTCTCGAGAACGACGTCAAGCACGAGCGGGTCAGGAGACTTTGGCGGGAACTGCGAGAATGGTGCGTCCTCGCTCTCTCGCTCCCTATCCTCTCCTCAGTCTTTCGCGCACGCACTGACACCGAAGCGCGACAGGTACGACGAGCTTCCACCAGCCCTGCAAGACGAGCGCGACGTCGTTCCGAGCCCGGAAGTGCTTCATCTGTGCGTCCTCCCTTCCTTCCTCCTCTTTCCCCCCTTGCCACCCCGAGCTCATCGCGGTCGGCGGCCCCTTCTCTGCAGTATGTCGGTCTATGTCACGCTCGTCATCCTCCTCCTCAAGCCCTACTTCGCCAAGTCGTCCTCGAACGCCGACATCTCGACGACAGCGGCCGAGGAGTGCTCTGCGGCGACACTGCGACTGGCAGGGCTCGTCGGGCGGTACGAGCGCGAGGGCCCGTCGATGCGGTTCAGCAGCAAGATGGCCCACCTGTGCGTCCCTCCTCCTCCACGTCAAACGCCCCAGCGCCGACTGAGCCTCATACCCTCCGCAGTGGGGTCATGTACGGCGGCGTCATGGCGCTCAAGCTCGCGCAGAACGCGCTGCGGCCGTCGCCGAGCCCTTCCTCGAGCGCCGCCGAGCGCACGGACCCCTCCTCGACCTCGTCTTCCTCGTCTCAGCCTCTCTCGCCCGCACCCTCGCCTGCCGCCTCAGCATCGACCTACCTCGCCGCAGCCGACACGCTCCTCGGCGGGCTCGTCTCGCACGCCCAAACCTGGCCGGCGACGTTCGCCTGCGTGACGGCCCTGTGCAGGCTGCGCGACTCGGTCCTCGCCCCACCCGCCGCCCACGACCTCGTCGTCGCGCCCGAGATCCTGCCCCCGTCGCGCAACGCGTCGCACTCGTCGATGGCGCCGCCGCCGAGCTCCTGGCTCGAGCCAGTACTCGACCCGCTCGGCCCGCCGCCGCTCCCGCACGTGCCGCCGCCGCCGCCGCCGCCGTTGTTCGGCACTTCGACGGCCGACGTCGCGCAGTCGGCGATGCAGGGCATGCCCGAGCTCGTCGGGCACGCGGGCGAGCAACCGCTGTGGAACACGGTCGCGGCCATGGGAGAGGACGAGCTTGCCGGGTTCTGGGACGTGTGGGCGGCGGCTGGGTGCGTCCCTCCTCTTTCTTCTCGGCCTCGAGTCGTGCGAGCGCGTGTACTGACCCTTGATGACGCGCAGGATCGACGGCACCGCGCTCGTGCCGCTCGTTTGACGAGGCGCAGCTCGCTTGGCCGGCTCGACCTGGGCGCGCCGGCTTCTGCGTCGCCCGTCTCGCCGAGTGGCATCGTCCTTGTCGACTCGTCGACGCCTCTACTTGGGCTCGAGGCGACGCGCTCGGGCCGGGACGCACCGTCGTCGTCGCGCCCGTCGTCCACCTCGAGGTTTCGTCTTCTCACCTTGACTGCAGTGTCGACGTCGCCGACTCGGCAGCAGCAGCAGCAGCAGCAGCAGCAGCAGAGTTTCCAGCTCTCGAGCACCTTCGACGACGAGCCGCAGCCTCGAGAGCGTCGTCGAGCTGAGCGGGCCGGTCCGCGAGGTGCGTCCCCGCTCGAGCCCCCTCCTCTCCCTCTTTCTCTTTTCTCGCCGTCTGACACTGCCCGTCGCCGCCGCAGACTTGCAGAGAGACGGTCGAGACGACTAGAGAGGGCTCGAGGTGGGCAGTAGAGTCTCGTTCGTCGCGCAATGAAGAAGCCTTCGTCGCGCTCTCGTCCCTCTTCTCGTTCTCATTCTCATTCTCACTATCTCGCTCTCTTTCTCTCGCACGCCCTCACCGCCGAGCTGCACATGAAGGGGAGAGAACGCGATGCGCAGAGAGACGATGAAAGATGAACTGCAACTGAGCGCCTGCGCCCTTGTCCAACTGCACGAGCTCCCTCGCGCGAAAACCGCTGCGTCTAGAAGATGGCGTGGACCGCCTCGGACTGCGTAGGCGAGGGGAAGAAGGAATAGTGAGCTAGGTGTACCGCTGGAGCCGGCCCATGTCGAGCACTCGACGCCGCCGTCTGTACAAGACGGCGAGCGCGAGAAAGTGCGACAGGGCGATCGAAAGGGAGAGCGGCGGACGCACCGCGAGACTGGCGCCGACGCCGAACCCTGCACCGGACGCCATGGCCGTTCCCATCTGTTTGGCGAACTTGTGCTGCTTCTTGGGCGGCGCGACGGGAGGCTGAGCGACAGGAGCCGGCGGCGGCGGCGGCCCACCGGCGCCGTAGTACGAGTTCTTCTCGCCGTACTGCTGCGGCTGCTGGTAGGCGAACGAGGCGGGCGCAACGGTCGCGGACGAGGGCGCCGGCGGGGCCCACGAGGCAGACGAGCCGGTGTGGTGGCCCTGGAGAGGGGCGGGTGCGGGTGCGGGAGGGGCGAGTGCGGGCGAAGCGGAGGGGGACGAGATGCGCTCGACGTGCTGTGGGAGAGGGCATGTGAGCTTGTGCGGCGCAAAGGCGAGGAGAAGAGAGGGGGGGACGCACGTTGCGAGGGAACAAGCCGGTGCGGCCGTCTGTGTGCGCGCGCAAACGCCCGAGTTCAGCTCGTCGCTCGTCAAGAGTGCATAGCTGACGAGAGAGAGAGCAGGGACGCACTGAGGGTGCCCTTCCACCAGTCTGCGTTGACCTCCTCGTCGACGCTGATCACGTCTCCCTGCCGGAAGCTCAAGTCGTCGGCCTGCGGGCGGTCGCGCCTCTCGTCAGGTCCCGGCTTTGGGAGAGCAGTGAGAGAGAGAGAGCGGACGCACCTGGCCCCCCGCATAGTCCCACACGGCCCTGCACAAGTCCCTCGGCGGTGGCTGCGCGGCGCGCACTGGAGGCGGCGGTGGCACCCTCTGCTGCTGCTGGCCGTAGCTGCCACTCGGGCCAGTGACAGACAGGGCGGCGAGGCTCTGCTGAGCGTGGATGGGCGCGAGCTTGGAGCGGATGAGGTCGAGGTCCGAGGCGGAGAGGAGTTGCTGCGAGTTGAGAAAGGCGAGGTCGGCCTCGAGGCGCGACAGGAGGTGCTGCGTCAGGGCGTGCGACGAAGGCGTGGCCATGGCGCGTGCTAGTCGTCAAGCTTGGAGGCGCCGAGGGAGAGGGAGGGAGGCGAGGGGGGAACTCCGATGAGCTGTCGACGGTCGACGAGGCAGTGCAGCGTTTCGCTCGCCGCGAGCGAGCAGCTCTCTCGTACAGCCTCTCGAGCACGCTGTCACAAGCATATCCCGCCCCAACCGACCGCCGCAAAGTCGAGAGCTGGAACCGCTTCTCATTTTCAGCGCTGGCACCGACGACGACGACGCCCGCCCCGCCCTTGCGATCCTACACAGCTGGAGCGACAGTCGAGGGGGTATGTAATGCGAGGAAACGGGTCGGGAGAGAGAGGCGTCGTGAGAGGTGGCCGGGTGGGCGGGCGGGCGTTGCGGGGGACGTGCGCGGTGCTGCAGTGCGAGGTTGACAAGAGGCAAGCGAGGGTGCGAGGGGGGAAGGACGACAGGTAAAGGGCATGGGAGGGGAACGTGAGGGGCGAGGTGAGGGTGCATGAGTCGGGTCGGGCGAGGACGTCTAGCGCGTTGCCGGTCCACGGCTCGTCCTGAGCCACTCGCCGAGGAACTTCTTGAACTGCTTGCCGCTGTGTGTCGCCTCAAGCTCGTCAGTCTCGCATTGACGTCGACGACCGAGGGAGAGAGAGAGAGAGAGGGGACGCACTCGGGGGCCTCCTGCAGCGCCGTCATGAAATGGGCGCTCGCCTCGGGCGGGCAAGAGATGCTCGGCAGGTACTGGTTCGTCATGAAGTCGACAAACTCGTTGTTGCGCTTTTGCAGGAGCGCCTTGAGGAACGTCGCAATCTCGCCAATGACCTGCGGGCGCGGAAAAAGAGTGTGAGCGTCGGCGATGCCTCAAACGCGAGACCGCGCCGCGACGACCCGGTCCTCGCGAAGAAAGGAGCGGACGACGCACTTGGAAGCTCTGGGCGTCCGAGTAGTCAAAGTCGGCCTGGAGCGGCACCTCGAAGCACACCTTGACGGCCTCGTCGTACAGGAAGCGCTCGAACCCGGGTACGGGGCTCGGCGGCGGTGCCGGGACCGGTGCCGGGGCCGTCGGCGCGCGGTACGGCTCGACCCACAGCGCGAGGAGCTTGTTGAGGACGCCAAAGCCGTACCGCTGGTCGGGCGCGAGCGCGTCGTGCGAGATGTAGTGCGTGATCGACTGCAGGATCGACGGCAGGTGCGCCTTGTTCTCTGTGCGACACGACATCAACGGTGAGCACCATCTCTCTTGCCGACGCGAGGCAGAAGGAGACAGATAGAGAAAGCGGGCGACGCACTCTCGGAGTAGAAGACCTCCTGCAGGCCCGCCCCAGCGATCGACAGGATAAAGTTGAAGTAGGCGCGGCGCAAGTGCGAGTGCTGCACCGTGTCGTCGGTACCGGCGATCGGGAGCTGGAGGAAGTGGAAGACGCGGTTGAAGACGGGGAGGAGGAGCGTGTCGAGGATCGAGAGGAAGTTGACCTGCAGATGGACGTCGAGGAGGAGGGTCAGGCCGACGTCGAGCGAGTCACAGAGACGAAAGAGAAAGAGGGGCGCACCTTGTACTTGGCGACGAGGAGGCCGAGGAAGCTCAAGAGGTCGGCGAGCTCGGGGAACGTGATCTCGCCGACGAGGCAGTCGATAAAGGTCGGGATGAGCGGCAGGACGGCCTGCCCCGTCGTCGCGACGAACCGGTTGAACGCGAACCGGGCCGCGTCGCGCACGACGATGAAGCCGGCCATGACTTTGGCGCTCGCGAGGATCGTCTCGGTCGCAGAGGTAAAGACGGCGACCCAGGTGCCCTGCGCCGTCGGCACGCGCGCCGACAGGTCCGGGAAGCCCTTGGCGACCGACGCGGCGGCCATGATGAGGTGGTGCGCCTTAAGGATCGCGTTGAGGTCTTCTGGGCTCGTCGCGGTCGGGCGCACGCTCGCCTGCAGGTCGGCGAGGATCGGGTCGAGCACCGCCTTGAGGAGGATGACCTGCTGATCGGGGACCTGGTTGAGGATCGAGATGAGGGTGCCGACCGTCTCAAAGAGGTACAGTTGGGCGTCGAAGAACGAGGGCGTCGAGGCCGACTTGGTGAGGATCGCCTCAGTCGGCGGTTCGAGGTCGGGCAGCTGGGCGTTGATGACGAGCAGGTCCTGCGTGCACGAAGCGATTCGTCAACGAGAGTCAATGACGGGCTTGGCGACAGAGACGGCTCGACGAGGCTCGAGAGGGCGCACGCACCTGCATGCCCGTGAGGATGGACCGGACGAGGTCGCCCGAGACCTGCGACTGGACGATGCTCTTGGCCTGGTAGATGAACCGGCTGAACAGGTAGAAGACGCGCGCCTGGACGGGCTCCTCCGACTGGTGCAGGCCGCTGCGAGAAGGGAAGGCGAGGGGGTCAGTGCGCTCGTCCGAACCACGACGCGAGGAGACGACGCAAAGGGAGAGCAGGCGACGTACTGCTCGTCGAGGAAGCTCGGCAGGATCTCGGTGATGAACTCGGGGCACAGGCGGAAGAAGTCGTGGTACCGGACGACGACCTCGAAGAACTGGAGGCTGACGGCGGCGTGCGGGAAGTTGACGACCTTTGCGCGGCACGCGCGCAGCATGAGCTCGCCGAGCTGCGACAGCGGGAACTGCGTGTAGTCGATGCGGTACTCCTGCTCGCGTTTTGCGCGCTGCACCTCCTCGACGGGCACGAGGACGAACGCGCCGGGCCCGGTGGCTGAGATGGCTTGACCTGCACGTTCGAGGGCGTGAGTGAGTGCTCGAGAGCCAGACAGAGAGAGGCAGGAGGGACAAGGGGACGCACCGAAGCCGTACAGCATGGCGAGCGCGAGCTCGAGTCGCTGCCACGTGAGGCGGCCGTCGTTGGCGCCGCCGGCCTCGTACAGGTCGAGCGTCTCGGCGACGATGCTGCGCACGCCCTGGGCGTACAGGTCCGGGTCGATCCACGCGATGCCGTCGCCGATGACGCGCAGGTTTTTGCGCATCTCGGCAAACAGGAGCTGGTCCTCGTCTTCGTCGCCCTCGAGCGCGAGCTCCCACTCGGCGTCGGCCGGGTACGCCACCTTGCCGACCGTGCCGGCGAGCAACTCGGACAAGAACGCGCGCTTCGAGTCGGTCATGGTCGGGTCGGGCATCAGGGCGCCCGCCCCGGCGCGCTTCTTCTCCTTCTTGTACACCGACAGGATGGCGGTCGCGAACGGGTACACGGCGATCGAGATGTCGTCGCGAGGGTCGACGAGGAAGCGCAGGAGGAGCGGCAGGAGCGACGTCGCCATGCCGTGCGCCGTCTGCTTGGCCTCGGGCGCCGACGCGGTCTGCGGGTCAGGGGGAGGCCAAAGCGTCAATTCACCGCCGTCGAGGCGCACGACAGAGACACACAGAGAGAGAGAGAGAGAAAGGCGGGACGCACGTCGTCGAGGATCTTGCACAGCTCTGCGCCGACGCCGTTGAGCAGCTTTGCGAGCTTCTCGCGGAACAGCTCGACCTCGTCGCTGTCGGCCTCCTTGCGGCCGTTCTCACGGCCCGTGTCGATGAGGGCCGCGAGCACGGTCCCGACGTCGAGGACCTCGAACAGCTTGAGCTTGTCGCTCGCGGGCATGCCCTTCGACACGGTCTCGATGAGCGTGTCGGCCGTCGCCGAGCGGATCGTGATGGCGAGCGGCGAGGGGAGGTTGACGCAGCGCAGGAGGAGGCCGATCGTCTGCGGCGTCACCATGAGGTTGATGTCGATCCAGGCTGCGGGTGCGCAAGAGTCAGGAGAGGTCTGTGCGGCGGAGAGCGTCGGCAGGACGAGAGGGGTTCGCGAGGCGGGACAGAGGGGACGCACAGACGTAGTCGCCCGCCACGCGCACTGCCATCTCTGCCACCTCTCGCGCCGTCTTGCCCTTGAGCCCGACCTTGCTCTCCTGGTCCGGCGCATCGACGCCCTCGAGCGCCTCGCCGATGACGTTCCACACGGCCTCGGCGATGCCGGCCGCGTCGCGCTCGCGGACGGCGTCGCGCAGCTCGGTGTCCTTCTGGAGCCGGGTCGTCGGCTTGTTGAGGCGCAGCTGGGCGTCGCTGATCTCGAGCGACACCTCGTGCAAGATGCGCAGGAAGAGGTCGGTCGTCTGCGGGTTGAGCGGTGCGGCGCCGGTCGACGACGAGGGGACGGAGAGCGAGGGAGGGTAGGTGCGCAGGAGGGCGAGGAGGGTCGAGAAGAAGGTGGGCGCGACGTGCGGGTAGGCGTGGACGAAGACGGAGGCGGCGAGGTGGACGATGGCGTTCTTGAGGACTGCGCGGGCGGTTCTCTTGTGAGCGCGCACTCGGTGGCGATAACTGACGAGGACAGAGAAGGTGAGGACGCACAGGTGACGCCGTTTTCTGCGCTGCCGGCGACGAACTCGCTCGAGAAGTACTCGAACAGGCTGGTCTGCAACATGGCGAGCGCTTCTGGGCCGAGTGACGGGAGCCTGCGCGACACAGAGAGGGAGGTCAGCTGTCGTCCTGGATGTCTACGGCGGCGTGCTCGAGCAGGAGAGCCACCACCAGCTCGATTCCCCCCTCGTCGGTCCTGCGCACGCGACCCGGCCGGCCGTCGCCTCGCGCTGCTGCTCGCCCCGACACACGCTCGGCGGAACCACAGAGGACGCCCGACTGCTCGAGCAGCGGCCTGAGGACCGCTCGCACGAGGGTGACCCGCTGCACCGCCTCCTGCCGCCTCCCTCGAGGAGGAGAGGGTCGAGAGGTGCCCGCCCGCCGTCCGACCGCCTCGCTGCGCCGCTCGCCCGGCCCGATCCGACACTCGAGAGCACCGAGCTGCCCTCACACAGCGCCCGCCAACGCACGAGGGGGGAGGGAGAGAGGAGAGGGGACTGACGCTTCTCCAACGACCTGGCAGGCGAAAAGGCGCGGTTCAGGTGCGAGGCCGTTGCCTGCGAGCTTGCCCTCGTCTCGGCCGTCGAGGAACAGCTTCCAGCAGGCCTGCCACGTCTCGCCCGCGGCCTCCTTGACGCTCTGGAGGTAGGCGTACGCCTGGTGCCGCTGCTCTTGCGGGACCGACGGGTCGGCGCTCAGGGCGACGGCGCATGCTGAAGAGATCTGCGCGGGAAGCTGGTCCATCCTGGGCGGCAAGGGGCTGGACTGGGCAGCTTGGTGGGGACGAGGAGAGGAGCAGGAGAAGGAAAGCAGTTCGACGACGACGACGACGGCCCGCTTCATCCGCACCAGCTACTCCGACTCGGCTAGAAGGCACCTGCTGCCTGTCCCGGGCCTGCACCGCTCGCAGCGCAGCTCGCCGTCTGCTCCCAGCCTCGGTCCACGCTCTTCCGCCTCCTCGCGCCCTCCTCCGTGGTCGTCATATCTCCCGGCCTCTCCTGCTACGCGAGGCAGTGGATCGAGCGACAGGTCGTTCCTGCTACTACCCGCGGGCAGTGCGGCGGGCCGAATCGCCGACGCTCGCTGTCCCTGCCCCTGCTCGTCTCGAGTTTCTCCCTCCTCGGCCTCTCGCCGCGTGCGCGCGCGCTGCGGCCGCTCGGAAAGTCCGCCCGCGGCGGCTTGACGGCGACTGCAAGCGGTCGAGGCGACCTTGGCGTCCACGGACGTCAGGCAGAGCGGCTCTCGCGCCTCGAACGTCGACCGCACGGCTCGACCGCAGCTCTGCTCTTCTCACGCGCACGTGCTGGGCGACTTCCACGAGCGACAAGCACAAGCACCTGCTCGCGCGGCTCATGGCTGCGCTTTACGAGCGAGCGCGTGCTGTGCGCCCAGCGCCGCCGAGTTGGACGAGGAGCCGACGCTCGTTCTGCCGCTTCCTCGGCGGCACCGCCACGAGTCACGGCCGAACAGCTGCTCCAGCGGTGACCTGCGACGCTATGCTGTCTCTCGGCCACTCGACGGGGCTCAAGAGCTCGAGCATGAGCGAGGAACGGCCCGAGAGACAGAAGCTCAAGCGCTGCGAGGACGACGAGGAAGCGGCCTCGTCGCGCAGCTTGTTCGGCGATGCTTTACTGGATCGTCCTAGTCGCAAAAAGTGCAATCGTCGGGCCAGATGTCCACACGAGAGCGAGCTGTGAGAGCCGAGTCGAGCTGGCTAGAGTGCGTTCTCCCCGCTCGAGCTGTTTGCGAGCCGCGTCGCCCTCGTCGCAGCAAGGCCACGCCAGACCTCGCCGGCCTAGTACTGTGCGTCTTCAGTCTCCCCCTGAGTGGCGTGCGCCCCTCCAGAGTGCCGCTCACTCGCTCATCTCCCGCGCTCCTCCTCCCCTCCCTCCCTCGTCTCTCACGACACCACCACGGCGCCATACCTGAATCTGCCGCCACAGACACGCGACTTGAGCTGCATCAGCCCGACTCTCGTCTTCTCCGCCGCCTCAAGCCGTCGACAGCGACCATGGCCCGCTCCTCTCCTCGAAGTGCGCCCCGCTCTCTCTCCCTCGCACCTCAATCGCAGCGCCAAGCGAAACTGACACGTCTCGCACCCACACAGTCGCCTCGAACGCCGCTCCTCCCGCAGCAGCGACCGCCGCCGCACCCGCCGACAGCCCCTCGACCTCGACCGCCCCCTCTCGCCGCGCCTCGAAGCGCCTGCGCCCCTCTTCCACGACCTCGTCCGCCGCGCTCGACAGCGCCCCAGCATCCACCTCGTCCCCGCGCAAGCGCTCGAGGCTCTCGCGCGGCGCGTCGGTGTCGCGCGCGGGTGGGACGGGCGACGAGAGCGAGGGCGAGGGCGGCGCCAAGGCGGACGAGGCCAGGAAGGTCAAGGGCGACGAGCTGTGGGACCAAGAGCTCGACGCGGTGCTGTTCAAGGGTGCGTCGCGCCGTTCCTCCTCGCCATTCGCCGTCTCGCAGGCGCTTCTCCCGCCCCGACCTGCCCTCGTCTCTTCTGCCGCACTGGCCCACCTCCCGAATTCAGTCCCAGCACGTCGAACCTATCACTGACCGTACTCCTCTCACGCGACAGGCATGGAGCTCCTCCCCGCGATGGGCAGCCGCACGATCCACCTCGAGACGACCGACGAGCAGCTCGGGCGCAACGGCCTCCTGTCCGAGTACCTGCGCCGCCAGACGGGCACGATCCGCAACAAGGCCCAGGTCGCGTCGCACATTGCCTCGCTCAAGAAGACCCGCCCCAACGACGCCAAGCGTGCGTCCCGGTGCCCTCTCTCCCTCTCCCTCCCCCTCGCCACACTCTCTCTGGCGCCCACCCGTGCGCGCCCCAGCCAGCTCACGCCGAATTTCTCGGCCCCTGTCACAGTCGCACAAATCGCCATCGGCTACCCTGTATCGCCAAGCGCCTTCAAGGCGACCCGCTGGTCGGCCCTCCTCGGCCCAGACCTGCATCCGGACACGGCCACGGCGGCGCAGAGCGAGAACCGGCGCGTCAAGGGTGCTGGGCGGCCGGCGGCGGCGCCGGCTGCCGCGAACAAGGGCAAGGTGGCGGGGCGCAAGGGGGAGGCGGTCGCGTCGGAGAAGAAGCCGCGAGGCGGACGGTCGAGCGGGACGAAGAGGGAGGACGAGGAGGCGGGACTCGCGACGAGTGCCGGCATGGGGGACGACACCGACAGCGACCTGACCGACCTCGACTCGGACGATGACGATGACGACGACGAGGCCGCCCCGTCGACATGTGCATCCACCTCTGCTCCCCCTTCTGCTCCCCTCGCCGCCGACCCGGCCGCACCTCCTTCCTCCACCTCGCGCCGCCAGCGCAGCACCGCCACCGCGCCCACCCCCTCGAGCGCCTTCCACACCCAGTCGGGCCCGCAGCCGCCGCCGCCGCCGCCGTCCTCCATCTCGACCTCGAGCGGGCCGCCCAAGGGCCCGAGCGCACCCGGCCGCCGCTCGGCGCGCACGAGCGTCGTGCACGGGCCGCTCCCGGCCGGCTCGTCGGCGTCGCCGAGGCGGTCGAGCGCGGCGTCGGCGTCGTCGTCGCCGAAGAGGGCGCGGGGTGAGGTCGAGGTGCGCGTGCCGCAGCGGCGCTCGGCGCGCGCGAGCGTTGCGGCGGTCGCGCCGTCGAATTCGTCGAGCGAGGTCGAGGAGGACGAGGAGGAGGGCGAGGCGTGCGAGGAGGGAGAGGCGGCCGAGGAGGTCGAGATGGAGGACGTGCAGGCGCGAAATGCCGAACAGGAGCCGCCTCGCTCGACCTCGGCCCCGCGAGCGAGCGCGCGCGCGTCGGCGGCCGAGGCGATGGACGTCGAGCCCGCCGAGGTCGCGCCCGCCGAGGAGCTCGCGCGCGTCGTCGCCTCTGCCGAGACGGCGCACCCGGCCCAGGTGGACGAGGAGGCGGACCTCGAGGCTGGGTCGGGCTTCTTTGGCGGGGTCAAGAAGAGCTTCTGGAGGCTCGTCGGGTACTGAGGAGGTGGCGCGGGCGGCAGGAGGGCGAGGGCGGGTGGTGCGCCGAGGAGAGCGAGGAGCGAGCGGGCTTAGCCTTTCTTGCGTACCAGCAACGACACTTAACGACCTCAGCCTCTCTCCGTCTTGGCCCTCAGAGCATGAAAGGCATAAAACTGCAACGAGAGCTCGCACTCTGCGCTACGAGCCCTCAAGTTCCCCCACCTCGCTCGACCGCCTGCGGAGCCTCGCTCGGGCCCACTGCTGCGCATCCTCGGACCCGTCCCTCCATTCGCCTCACCACCTCCGCCTTCCACTCCTCTGCTCGTCGGGCGACGCTCGCGTCGAAAGCGTCCCGCACGACCGAGGCGAGCTCGCCCCCGTGCGCCGCCGCCGCTCGGGCCTCCTCCTCCCGGCCCCGCACCAGCTCCGCCGCCGACGTGCTGCCCTCGCCCGCGCCCGCCGACGTCCTCGCTTCGTCACGGCGGTCCTGCTCCGCCGGCGCAGCGTCGCGCTCGGTCGCGTCCGGCTCGCCGCCGAGCTCGATGTCGAGCGGCTCGCGCAGCCGTCGCAGGGCCGCGAGCGCGCCCTCGTACGCCGCGCCGTGGAAGGCGAGGCCGATGCGGCGGCGCGAGGGCCGGGCTCGAGCTTGGGGAGCGGCGGCTGTGGATGCGGCGGCTGGCGCTGGGGGAGGAACGTGCGGCGTCGAGGAGGTAGGGATGGGGGCTGGTGCGGGCGTGATGGCGGCGGCGGCAGGGGAAGAGATGGAGGCTGAGAGGGCCGAGTGCGCGTCAAGATGGCGAGGTTCGGGCTTGACAAAGGGCGCGGTGGAAGGTGAGGCGGCGCCGGACGTCGACGAGGGGGACATCGTAGGTCGAGGAGCGGTCGAACCTGCGAAAACGAGCTTGGTCAGGTCGTTCGACGTCGATAGAGATCTCGAGAGAGGAGAGAGAAGGGACGCACTCGGTCGGCCTCGCTTGGGCCTGGGCAGGGTCGGGTCGCGATCGCACAGCTTGTGGTACTGCGACGTGACCGCTCCCGTCGTCCTCCCGAGCTGCTCGGCCGCCTCCTTGTACGTCAGGCCCTGCCGCCTCATCTCGATCAGGCGCTTGTTGTCGTGCGTCGTCCACGGCAAGTGAGACGCTCGGCTGGCCGGGGTCAAGGGCGGGCTCGAAGTCGAGGTCGAGGTTGACGCCGACGCTCGTAGGTGCGCCGGCGTCGAACTCGCCGACGCCGACACGGCGGCGTTCTCGTACGCGTGCGCAGTCGTGTGCGCACGCCACAGCTCGCTGATGACCTCGGCCGACGGGTAGCCCTGCGCGGCGAGCTCGTCGACGCACTCGCCGAGCTGCTGGGTCGAGTACGGCCCGCGCCCGAACCGTGCCAGGCTCGCGACGGCGGCAAAGTGGAGGTCGGGTCGAGGAGCCGGCTTAGGCGTGGTAGGTACATCGTCGGCGGGACGGGCGGTGGAGGTCGAAGGAGCGGTCGCTGCGGGAGGGGGAGCGTGTCAGCTGTGAAGGACGGCCTGAGAGGGAGAGCGAGGGCGCACCTGCTGCAAGGTCGCCTGATAGGAGCTTGACGCGCTCCTGTGGTGGCTCGCTCGGGCTCTGCGAGGCCAGCTGGTCTTCATCTGGCGACGCGTCCATTTCGAGGCTGGCGAGGTGGGCGTGGACGGCGGGCAACCGTGCTGCGGCTCGCCGAGTAGCCAGAAATTGTGCGAGTAGACACGGCGAGCTAGCCGGTGCGCTGGTGGTGTAGCGAGCGCGAGAGGTCGAGGACAAGGTCGTCTCGGGCGTCGGTCCGCATCTCGCCCAAGTTCGCCCAACTTTGGTCCTTCCCTCGAGCGTCTCTCGACAAGCGAGCACAGAAGCCTTCTCTCGCGACGCAGGCAGGTCCGCACATACTGCAGCAAGCTGCCCTTTTACCGCCGCCCCTTCTCGACGACACGACTACAAACGCCTCCCTCTCCCTCTCGCTCCTCCTGCGCTCACGCAGCGCGCCGCGCTCACTTGGTCTTCTTGGCCTCGACCTTGGCCGGCTCGTCGGCCGCCGCAACCGCGCCCTCGGCCTTCTGGTTGAGCGCGGCGAGCATGCCGGGCGGCGCCTCGAAGGGGCGCTTGAGCTCGCCCTGGGCGGGCTTGCCGAACAGGTGGATCTTGAGGATCTGCTCGAGGGGGGTGCGCGCGAGAGGGGCGTGTCAGAACGTGTGCTCAGGCGGGTGAGAGAGGGAGAGAGAGGAGGGGCGCACCTTCGAGTCGTACAGGGCCTTGAGCGGCATGATGCCCTGGATGAACAGCGGCTGCGTGTACTTCATGTACAGGTGCATGCCCGCCATCTGCGCAACGGTGCTCGTCTTCCATCAGTCTCGTGCGCACGGCAAGGCGCGGGAAGAGACCGAGAGACGGAAGCGAGGGACGCACAAAGAGGCAGCCCATGAGGACGCTGCGGATGGCCTTGCTCGTCTCGGCGAGGTCGTAGTCGCGGTTGGTCGTCGTCACCTGGGTCGGGCCCTCGCCCGACATGGGCTTGGCCGGCTCGGTGTACTTGAGCACCTTGAGGTCGTTCTTCTGCTTGATCTGTGGCGGGTGCGTCGAGCGAGGGTCAGTCGGGCCGGGCGGCATTGAGAGAAGGGAGGCACGGGGCGCACCTTGAGGGTGACGTAGTAGTAGATGCCGAGGGTGAGGGCCTGGACGCCGACGTAGAAGATGCGGACGTAGAGGAGGACGTCGGGGTCGTTGAAGTCGATCTTGCGGGCGACCTGCAGTCGTGCGAGCGCGAGCAGACGGACACGGGCAGTCGATGGCGAGTAGACAGGGATTCGGGTGCAGCGGACAGGGCGGTGCACGGGGTTGTCGAGGTGGCAGAGTCGCGTGAAAGGGAGCGAGTTGGGGAGGGTGAGAGTGGCGATGAAGGCGGGGTTGAGGATGCGGGTGGCGGCGGGCGCATAGTGTGCGAGGGTGGAGGTCGAGGAGAGGAGGCACGTCGCGTTCAGGGGTTGTCGTGGTCGAGAGGAGCGAGGTGGTGGAGGGCAGGAGGCGACTCGTCAGTACTCGGCTCGGCAACGACGACGACAGCTTCGCGCGGGTTGCTCGGGCGTGTGGACCCTTCCATAGCCTATCTGCACTGCCCTGACCCATCCACCGCTCCGCCAGAGCGAGCCGCCGCCGTCGAACGACCTCGCCTCGCCGCCTCCTCCTCGTGTCGCGCCCGCACCCGCTCGCGCACCCGCACCGAGAGCTGTAGAGGGGACGGGAGGACTCGCCTGCATCGCGCCGAGGCTGAGCACCATGTTTGCGATGGCCGGGTTCATGTTGGGCGAGCTGGTGGTCGGGTGTGGAGGACAAGGAGGCAAGCGACTGGCGAGCTCCCTCTTGCTATCCGCCACGCTCACCACTACCGCTGTGGTGCTGCGCTCTTGTCCTCGACGAACTGCTCTGGGCTCTCAGATCGCGCACGAAGAATCGCAGCGTCGCCCATGCTCTGCTCGCGGCTCCCTCGCTCTCGCTCGCTTTGCGCCCGCCCTCTCCTCGATCGCTCAGCTGCGACCGAGCAGGGCGCTCTGCTTCTCCTGCGCTCTTCAGCGGACGGAGGTGCCTCGGCGACGCGCCGAGTACGCCGGTCACCGCCACCGCCGCCCACGGGCGAGGCTCTGTTCCCGCTCGGCGCTTGCTCCTCGACGCGCTTGTGCGCAACGCGCCGCTGCGCCACCTCGTGCGGTCCATCGTCGTCTCGAGCGGCCTGACGCCGCTCCTCGAGGACGCACTCGTACTCGTGCGTCCTCGAATCGGGCGCCTCGCGCTCGACCTTCAACTCGTTCGAGCTGCACGGCCAGCTCTACGACATCAGCCACAGCGACGGCGGCTGGATCCTCGCCGATCCGTCCATCATCCCGTCGTTCACTGCCGCCATCCTCCACGCCCTGCCCCCTCGCCTTGAGCACCTCTCCCTCACGACCTCGTTCCTTTGTCCCGCCGACGTCGCCGCCTACCTCCTCGGCCGGTGGGGCCCGGCGGCGCTCAAGACGCTCCGCATCAGTGACGAGGTCGGGCGCGGGCTCGGCCCGATCCTGCGCGGCGAGATCGATGTCGACGGTTACGGCGAGGTTCTGCCGTCGAGCGAGGACGTCGAGCGGTTCGGCGCGCTCGCCGGCGTGCTGGAGCGCGCAGGGGTCGAGGTGACGACGGTCGAGTGAGTTGCGAGGGCGGCGACGGGCCGAGGAGGGACGAGGGAGGGGGAGCGCGGCGAGGGAGAGCGACGCGGGCGCGAGACGGGGCTCGAGCGCAGCTGGAGGCGAGCGCAGGACGAGCCGGGCGCAGGGTGAGCGTGCGGGCAAGGGACTGTAGAGTCGTGCGAGGCAGAACTCGTCGCCTTTCCGCCAGTCAATCGTTTTCAGAAAGCCGAGAGCGCCTTTGGCGAGCCAGCTCGTCGACTTGAGAAGGTCGCGGTCGCAGCACGCATTCCTCGCCACGATGCTGCGCTCCTTTGTCTTGCGTTCTCTCACATCGAGCCGAAGCGACGAGCACTCTGGAAGACGAGACGGCGGAGCAGGCTGCGGTAACGCTCGCCGCGGCTACCTCTCCTCGACCGGACTCTCGCACTCTCGATGCAGTACGGCCAGCTCTGCTCGTCTCGACGCAAGCCCGACGAGTCACACGCAGGACTACCACCGCGCGACCCTCGCCACCGGAAAGAACCGGCTCGACCTCTCCCTGCCGAGCGACCGCGGCGCTTGCGAGCGCACGTCCCCCGCAAACGCTGTCACGATCTCGTGGCGGTGCGCGTCGTTGGCGAAAGGGTACGCCTGAGTCTGCGAGCACAGACACGAGATGATCAGTGTTGAGAAAAGAGGACGAGTGCGCGAGGGCGAAAGGAGGTTCGAGCCAGAGAGAGAGAAAGGCTGACCGAGACGAGGTCGGCGGGAGCAGCGACGGCGGCCTCGTGGGCCAGGAACGCCGCTTCGAGGAGACCGACCTGTGCGCAGACTGGGTCAGTCCCGACCCGAGCGTAAAAAGGGCGAGAAGGAGGTGTCGAGGAGAGAAACAAGCGACGCACCACGCGCTTCGAGTCGAGCAGGTACCGGCCGCTTTGCACCCTCTGGCAGGCGTCGAACACGAGGTCCCGCGCATGGTCGACCGCCGACACCTCCAGCTCGAGCGGCAAGGCGGCGAACGCCTGCGCCTGCTGATCGCGAGCGAGCGGGTCACGGACATGCTCGAGGTTCGCGACGGCGCGCCCGTCGTGAGCCAGGTGAAGGTGCCGGGGTGCTGCGCGATAGACGACGACGAGGGCGTTGACGAAGTAGCGGAACCGCGCAAAACGCGACGAGGGCTCGGAGAGGGCGTCGTGGGCGTAGAGGAAGAGGCCGTCGGCGGTGGGCTGTCGCGACGAGGATCGAGTCAGTAGGTGCTCGAGCGGCTCGATAGACAGGAGAGAGGATGAAGAGAGACGTTCGAGTGCCAAGGTGACAGGAAAGCCCGAAGCCTCGCAGGCGAGGCGACGAGCAGGCAGCTTGGCCGGCGCCTTGGTGAGCTCGTCGATGACCTCCTGGTGGAACGCGCCGGCGAGGCGACGAATCTTGGTGTCCGTCACACGCCCGTTGGCGAAGAACGAGTGCTCCCAGCTCTGCTGCGCGTACGGGTCGCCAGGGTAGAAGGCGACGGCGACTTGGTGGACGCCTCCTCTGAGCTCGGCGAGGCGCTTTTCCCTGCTGGTACGTGACTGCGACCCGACCTGCGATACGGAAAGACAAGCGTGAGCGCGATGCAGACCTTGTGAGGGCGCAGAAAAAGGCGTGACTCGCCGCCCGCTGGTCGCGCTGCGTCTTGCCGACCTCGAGAGAGAGCTTTGAGTAGTAGAGCTGTCGAGGCAGCGAGTCAGTCAAGAGGTCTGCCAGAGGAGGAGAAGCGCCGCAGACGCACCGCTTGCCACTCATCGTCGTCGAGCTCGCCATGCTCGACGAGCTGCACCCAGGCGGCGAGCACACGCTCGTAGACGGCGAGCCGCTCGAACGAGACGAACTCTCGCCAGTGGAAGCGCAGAGCTGTCGAGAGCTCGCCGATTGTGCCCTTGTAGGTGGCAGGCACGCGGGCGACCAGCCAGGCGCAGACCTCCTTGAGCTGCTGAAAGACCGGGTCCTGCTTGGGCTCCTCCCACGGGACGGGCGTGGTCGAGAGGCTCATAGCTGGAGCCAAGGCGACCGAGTCGAGTGGCGCGGACGATAAACGCGGTCGAGAAAGTGGAGCGACAGCGGGAACGCTCAGAAGACGAGCCCGGCTAGAGACCGGAGAATCCGACGTACGTCGGCGGTCGCACGAACCCGACGTCAAGCGACCGGCAATTGAGGGTCTGTAGCCGCCGTCGGCCGGGTCGAGAGCGACCTCGGTAACCCGCCTGGAGAAGCGGCCGCGGCAACTCGAGCGAGCGAGGAGAGCTGCTAGCGAAAGCATGCCAGGCGGCAGTGGCAGCTTGTGCCCCTCGACTACTTGTGCGGCGGCAGCACGGGCACCGAGCATGCATCCGTGGCGAGCTGTAGGCAGCCGAGGGAAGAGGTCGGCGGGTCGAGGGCCGAGGAGGAGGTCTGCGAGGCGGCGGCGGCGCGGCGGGTGTCGGTGGGGCGTGGGAAGAGTAGAGCTGTAGGACGAGCAGACTGCAGCCTGAGCCAGTCCCGGCAGTGCGGCGTCGACGAGAGAAGGAGCGACTGGTTCTCATCGGTCTCCTGCTCGTCTCTGTCCTCCCACGCCCGCCCTCACACGCTGAGGAGCTCTTCGTTCGAGCCAAAGCTGCTCGCAAGCAGTGCAGCGACCTCGTCCCCAGACTCGCGAGCCACCGTGTGCTTGCGCCGCCTTCCTCCCCCTCCTCGCCTACCTCGACCTCCTCACGACTCTCTCGGACCTGCCCTTCCGCCGCCAGCTCAACCAGCGCCTCGTCACGACCTGCGACGTCGACATCGGACCCGTGTTCCGCAAGCCCGCCGAGTTGCGGCCCTCGCCTCGCCCGGTCCTCCCAACTCGCCTTCGAACTTCACTCGCTCGCCGTCATCTCGACGCCGGCAAAACCGCAGCAGGACCCTGTGCGCAGAAGGTGGACGACGGGTGGCCAGGCGCGCATGGCGAGGCGGTCAGCGGCGGGCGCGTGGTGGTCGGGCGGTTGCAATGCATCTCCGTTCCCGATCTTTCGCCCGTCACGAGCAGCTCGAGAGCATGAGGGCAGGAGAGAGAGAGAGGGGCTACGACGAGACCGACCAGCTGCACAGAGAACGCAACACTGCCGACCTCGCTTCGCAAGACTCGCGCTCTCACTCGCTGCGAGGTCGCGCTCGGGAGCTGCTGCTCGTTGCACGCTCTCTCGTCTACGCCAGACTCTTTAGTCTTGCGCCCTCGGCGTCGGCGCAAAGACCGGCTCGGCGAGCAAGCTCGCGAGGTCGAACTCGCCCGGGTCCGGCTGCTGCCCTCCTCCCGTTCCCGCTCCTCCTCCCGCGGCGCTCCCTGCGCTCGGCGCCGTCACGAACCCCGACATGGGCACGCCCGACGCCATGCTCGGCACTTGGCCGAGTAGCGACGGCAGGTCGAACGTGCCGTCGAGGTATTGGGCCGCGAGCGCGTTGACGTCCATGCCCGCGCTCGTCGCCTGACCGATGAGCGGGTCGAGCGACCCGGACGAGTAGAGCGACACGAGCTCGAACAGGTCGGGCATGCCGGACGAGGGCTGGAGCGGCGGCGCGGGAGGAGGAGGTGGCGCCTGCGAGGGCGTGGGAGGGTGCGCTTGGGCCTGCGAGTGCGGGTGCGAGTGGGCGTGCGGGTGCGACGGCGGGGTGGGCGCGCCGGCAAAGACGGTCGAGAGGGGAGGTGCCGACGAGCGGGCGACCGAGTGCTGGTGGTGCTGGTGATGCAGCTGGTGGTGGTGCGGCGGACGAGGATGAGGTGCGGGAGGTGGCGGAGGAGGGGCGAAGAACGAGCCCATGCCCGGGCTGTGAGCGGATGCTCGAGGTGGCTGTGGTGGCGCCGAGTAGGACGAGATGGGCGTGGCGGCTGGAGCAGGCGTGCTGGACGAGGCGTACGAGCCCGTGGCGAACGGCGGCGCCGAGAAGACGGCGGGCAGGCCCGACGGCGTCGGCTGCATCGAGACGGGTGACGGCGAGGGCATCTTGACGTCGAGGTGATGCACGTCGTACAGGTTGGCGCCCATCTCGCTCGCCCGACGCTGATGGCGGTCGTGCGCGAGGTCGTCGAGCGCGTGCTCGATCCTCGAGATGAGCGGGGCGCCGTCACTCCACGCCCAGCCCATCGTCTTGAGCCCGCCGAGGAGCCTGCGTGAGACGCGAGGAGATCAGGGACTCGCGCGAGGGAGAGAGAGAGAGAGAGAGAAAGAGAGAAGGGACGCACCAACTCAAGTCGCGCTCCTTCTGCTCGCGCGAGATGCCCTCGCCTCCTCCGTCCTCCTCGGTCCTCGCCTCGCGCAGCACCTCGACCCACCGCTCGAGGTACTCGCTGCGGAGCTGCGTCAAGAACGCCAAGCTCGGCGCCTCGTGCACGCACTGGGCCACCATCCTCGCCGCCTTGAGCGCCGTCGCGCCCACCTGCCGCTGCAGCACCTCGAGCCGCTCGATCGCGCGCCGCCGCTCGCTCGCCTGCGTCGCCGCCGCCCCTGCGCTCGCCGCAGCAGGCGGGAACCCGTCCTCGTCGCGCAGGGCGGCGAGCCGGCGCCGGAGCTCGGTATGCACGGGGAGCGACAGGGCGGCCCACGCGAGGCCGAGCGTGTGCAGGCATGCGCGCATGATGAAGGTGCGCTCGGTCTCGAATGGGGCCGGGAGCGCGTGGGCGGCGCTCGCGGCGGGCGACAGGACATAGGCGATGCGCGCCTCGAGGATGGCGAACAGGTGCAGGAGGTGGTCGAGCTGGGTGAGGTACTTGGCGACGAACGGCTCGTTGAACGGCTGGCGGCGAGCGGCGGCTGCAGGTATCGGCGAGAAAGGGTCGTCAGGGTGAGGCTCGCCGAAAGTGGGAAAGGGGTCCGAGGACGACGACGTACTGCCCGAGACGTTCTCGCCACATTCCCTCGCGAGTCGGGCGACGTGGAACGTGAACGGCCGCATGGGCGAGAAGAAGAGCGTGACCGAGTCGCGCACGTCGACGTCGTCGACCGACTTGAGGAGCGCCTCGTCGACCGAGCCAGGCACCTCGCCGCACAGGAGCAGGTCGTCGGTCGCGGTAAAGTGGGACGTGCGGCGCGTGTTGGCGGCGAGAAGAGCTTCACGCATCTGCGGGAGGGAGCACAGGGTCAGTCTGGTGCGGCAGGAAGAAAAGAGGGAGAGGTCCGGGCGCACGATGAGGGCGCTCCACCCGAGCGACATGTTGATGACCTTCGTTGGCGCACCTGGAGAGTCTTGCGCGTTGAGGATCGTCTGCAGGTGCGACACGAACGCGCTGCCGTACGGCTTGCCCGCCGCCGGGTCCTTGTCTGCGCGCGCCGGCGAGACAGGTCAGTTTCGACCGGACCGCGAGAGGGAAAAGGGGGAACGAGAGGACGCACAGCCCTCGAGCATCTCGAGCAAGTAGCAGCTCGCGAGCGACTCGTCGCACGTCTCGACGAGCGTCCCTCGCTGCCACGCGAGCTCGACGGCGCGCCGGCGCAGGTCCTCGCACGCGGCCTCGCGACGGTGGCCGAACTCGCGCAGGTCGGGCTGGGTCGCGAGGACGTCGGGCGTCAAGGTCGTACAGGACGGGATCGAGCTCGCGCCGGGCGAGAAGAGCGCCGGATGGGACGAGAGGCGGGACGACAGGGCGATGGTGACGAGGGCGAGGACCTGTCGCCGAGGAATGTCAGTCCCGCGACGGCGAGTATAAAGGGGCGAGTCGGCGCACCTCGGCTTGTGGAGGAAGGGCATCGAGTCGTCGACCAGCGGCCTCGAACTGGTGGGCGATGCGGCCTCGGGCACCGATGGGCAGCCACGACTGCGGGAACGTCTGATACACTGCGGGCGAGCGAGGTCGTCAGGCGGTCTTATTCTTCTGCGCACACGAGCGAGAGGGACGTACGCTCGAGGAGGTGGGCGACGAGTGCGCCGTCGAGCTCTTGCGCGGCGAGTCGGGCGTCGACGTCTTGCTGCGACACGGACGGCTCGCGCACGCTCGTCGCGAGCGCCTCGGGCACGCTCGACTGGCTGGGCTGCATCCAGGGCGTGTTGGACGCACCCATGAAGTCGGGTGCGTCGGGATCTGCGGTGCCGAATGTAGCCCTGCGGGCGCGCGCCCGAGTCAGCTTCGTGTGCGAGGAGGAGGAGCGTGAGAAGAGGGACGAGGACGTACTTGGCCTCCTCGATGCGCTTGCCAGACCTCGGGACGGCCTTCTTGCGTACGACAGGGGTGGTGGTGCACACGACGCCGGTCGTCTTGCACCTCGAGCAGCTCGCCGGCGGCGGGACCGGGTCGCACTTGAGGCGGCGCATCTTGCAGCAGTCGCACGCGGGGAGGCGCTTGCGCTTGGTGCCGAGGCCGTCCGAGGTCGGTGTCGAGTCGCGGCGGTGGGCCATGGCGGGCAGGAAGAGGAGAGGTCGGCGAGGGGTTGAAGGAGCGAGGTCAGGGGCCGCGGGTCGAACGACGGAGGCCGGTCGAAGCGAGGTCGCGCGCCGAGGGTGAGGATAAGGGCGGAACAGGTAGAGGAGGTGGTCGTGTGCGACGGCGGAGTGCGCGAGTGAGCCCGTCGGCCGGGTGCGAGGTGTGAGCCGGGGCGGACGGCGAGGTGGGCGACGAGGAGGAGCGTGTCGGTACCGAGGAGCGGGCGGGTCGCTCGAGTGGCTCAGGGCACAGCTGTAGAGTGCTGGCGGGCTGCGAGGCCCTCACTGGGCGTGTCGAGCAGGTGACGAGGGCGTGAGCTGGTCGAGATCAGGGAGATGCACAATCTGATGGACCGGGTGCGACCGCTCTCAAAAAAGTTGTCGTTCGTCTCGGCCGCTTCTCCTTCTCTCGGCGTGTGCAGCCGTGCTTGAAGTTCGTCCGTACATAGCTTCTGCTTGCGAGAACCCGCTTGAACGCGAGACGGCGAAATTGGCGAGACCAACCTCGGCATTTCCGAGCTCCTCGAGCCTCCTCCTCTCCTCCTCTCACGGCTCGCTGGCGTTACCGACGCACAGATGGCTGTGTCGACGTGCAGCACACGTCGCAGCGGTTGCTGCTGCGACTTGCAGCTCGAGTACAGGCACGGCCCTTCACCGGCTTCACCGGCCCCCCCGCCGCTCGCGCTGAGACGCCCGCAGCAGTCGCCCACCTTCTCGCTTGATCCGCGTTCGCTCTGTGCCCTGCTGCACCGCGCACCGACCCGCTCCAGCCCTGCTGCTGCTGCTGCTGTGCCCCTCTGCGCGCGCGTCGACTCGACTCAGCACGGTCGCCCTCGCCCTCGCCCTCGCCCTTCTCGCCCGATAGCACCACGTTGAGGCCATGCTCGCGCGCAAGGACAGCGTGGTGCGTCCCTCGCGTTCTCCTGCACCCTCCCGCCAGACCCAGAACTGACCTCGACCGCCCGCACAGGACGAGCCCTTGCTGCCGACACGCACCTCGAGCCCGCCGCCCTCGCAGCAACGCCGCCCACGCCCGCTCTCGTCGACCACGCGCGCCGCACTCGGCCTGGCCGCCGCCTGCCTCGCCCTGTACCTCCTCGCCGCACCCTCTACCCGCACGAGCACCGCCGCCGTCGTCAACCCGGCGCCCGCCCTCGAGCTGCACCACACGGCGGCGGTCGACCCGGCCGAGCGCCTCGCGCTGCTCAACGCCGACTACGACCCGCACCGCGAGGGCTACGGCGTCGGCAGCACCGACCTGCAGGCGTACGGCGCGGGCTTGAGGCGCACGCTCGCCCAGGTGCTCGAGCGCGGCGGCGGCGGCGGCGAGGGACGGGGTCAGGGCGCGATGGCCGACGAGGACGACGACGGCCTCGCGCCGTCACTCGTCGACGACGACGCGCTCGCCGACGCGCTCGAGTACCGCCTGTCGCTCGAGGCGCGCGAGTGCCCGAGCGGGGCACGCGCCATCCCGCCCGACCTGTACGCGACCGCGCGCACCGTGTCGCCCGTCCCCCCAGCGCTCCAGTCGTGGCTCGGCGCCGCGTCCCCCCTCAGCCTGCACCTCCTCTCGTCCGAGGCCATCGTCGCGTTCGTCGCGCGGCGCTTCCCGGCCCTCTCGAGCGCGTACGCCGCGCTCCCGATCCCGATCCTGCGGTACGACTTGTTCCGCCTCGTCGCGCTCGCCGCGAGAGGCGGCGTCTACACCGACGCCGACACGCGCCTCCTGCGGCCGTTCCCGTTCGCCGAGTGGCCCGCCGACGTCGACGACCGAACCGACCCGGCCCTGCGCCGAGCCTCGTCCTCGTCCTCCGCCAGCTCGACCTCGACCTCGGCCTTGCCCTCGCACGCCGACATCCCTCCGGCACTCGTCATCGGCCTCGAGTGGGCCTCGTCGTCGCCCTATCGCGCGCAGAAGAACGTGCTCAACCCGCTGTACAACCGCGAGGCGGGCGTCGTCCAGTGGACGTTTGGCGCCGCGGCGGGGCACCCGGTCCTCCTCGACGCCGTCAGGCGCGTGCTGCGGCACATGGAGCGGGTCGCGGCGCTCGAGGGAGCGCGCGAGGGCGGGCAGAACGTGCGCGACGAGATGAGGTGGAAGGAGAATGGGGTCGACGAGGGCGCGCTCCAGTTTGACCCGAGGGCCGACCGCATGGTGCTCGAGTGGAGCGGGCCGGCAGTACTCACCGACTCGGTCGCACGGTGCGTCCCCTCGTCCTCTTTCCCTCGTCGCCCCACCTCCCTCGACCTGACGTGTCTCCTCTTTCCCCTTCCGCCCTCCCTCCTCCCTCGCCACTCACCCTCCCTCTCTCACGCACCAACAGCTACCTCCGCACCCGCCACGGCGCGTCGCTCCCCTCGCTCGCGCACGCCCTCTCGCGCACGCCTCGGCCGATCCGCGTCGGCGACGTCCTCCTCCTCCCGATCCAGGCCCTCAACGCGCGCACCGACGCCCAGGTCGGGTGGAAGGTGCTCGACTGGGCGCTCGGGAGGGGGTGGGCCCCGTGGAAGGGGGCGGGAGGCGATGAGGGGTGGGGCTGGGGAGGCGGGATCGTTGTGCACGGTGCGCCTCTCTGTCTCTCTCCCTCTCCCTCTCTTTCTCTCTTCCTCGCGCCGGCGCACCTCGCCCAGTGTACTCTCGTCAGTCACTGACTCGGCGACTCGAGCGCGCAGAGCACGCCGCGTCGTGGTGGAAGCAGCGCATCGGCAAGGACAAGGACTAGAAACCTCTCGGCGCCGGTCGCCCATTCTCTCTCCCTCTCCTCCTTGGCCCCCTCGCCTTTTCCTCTCTCTTCTTGTAGACTCACTTGTAGACTCGGAGCGCATGCGATAGACTCTCTTGTTTCAGTGCAAGTCCCTCGCGCGAGCCGATCCTCGAGAGGCGCTCGCTCGCTCAGTCGACGCCCAGCTCGTCCCGCGGTCCTTCGCGCCCCGCTTCGCTCGCCGCCCTCGCAGCACCCCACTCCCACCGCCTGACGGCGCCCCAGCTCTCGCCCTCGCCCTCGCGAGGCCCGAGCACCTCCCGCCCGACGGCGTCCCACCCTTGCGCACGCGCTGCGCTCTCCTCCTCCTCCTCCTCCTCCCATGCGCCGCCGTCGTGGCCCCTCACGACCCTCGCACCGCCCGCGCGCCGAACGAGCTCCTGCGCGACCCCGCCGCCGACGTCGAGCGCCCGCGCGTGCGCGTGCGCGTGCGCGGCGCGAGGGGGCTCGTGCGGCGCTTCCTCGGGTGCTGGTCGCGCCGGTCGGGCGGCGGGGGCGGGAGGTGGACTCGGGGACGAGGACGAGGACGAGGTGCAAGGGAGGGAGAGGGGGAGGGGGAGAGGTGAGGGGAGGCGCGAGGTCGAGGGCGCGGTGAGGTACAGGAGGGGGGGTGGAGCGGCGGGATGGCGGGACGAAGACGAGGATGAGGATGAGGGCGGGGCCGGGGTCGACGCGGCGCGCAGGGCGTCGAAGAGCGGGAGGAGCTCGTCTTGTGGCGGGGCGAGCTCGGCGGGCGCGTCCGAGGAGGACGAGGGCGATTGGGCGGAGGAAAGCGGAGGCGAGGGCGGCTCGACGCCGAGCGGGAAGCACCGCGCGATCCTTGCTGCGCCTGTCACACGACGAAGCGTGTCAGTTCGCCGCACCTGTGCTGCGCCGCCGAAGGAGGGAGAGAGGGAGGAGAAAGAGGGAGAGGGAGAGAGAGAGAGAGGGCACGGACCCTCGTCGGCCGAGACGGCGAACGGCAGCCAGCTGACGAGGTGGCGCATGGCCCATCGCGCGACGGACGACTGAGCGCGAGAGAGGGCCGTCGTCGGGACGAAGCCTGGTTGGCCGGCGGCCGAGAGGGAGGGTCGGGCGGAAGGTGCGTGATGAGGAGGAGGGGGCGAGGGACAAAAGGGGAGGCAGGAGCGTCAGTCGCGGTCCATCTCGGTCGGCGAGAGATGTGGAAAGAGAGAGAGAGAGAAGGTGGCGCCGACGCACCTGGCGACACGGCGACGACGTCGACGCCTTTCTCGGCGAGCGTCGTCGCCCAGTAGGCGGCCGACACGAGCTGGAGCGCCTTGGACGCCGCGTAGCGCGACTTGCCCGTGCTCGAGCGGGTGGATGGCGAGGTTGACGTCGAGGAGGTGGAGGTAGGCGGGTGCAGCTGGGCGACGAGGTCGTCTGCGCCCGTGCGGTACTTGTAATCAGCATCGCCTCGTCGAAGGAGACGCCTGCAGAAGGACCGATGGGGACGCACCGAGTGACGTGACCGACGAGTGGAGCTTGGACGTCGTGACGATGATGCGCGAGCGGGCGCTGCTCGAGGAAGGGTCGGCGACGACAAGGAGAGGTTCGAGAAGGTCGACGAGGAGGTGCTGTGCTGCAGTCGGCGGACGAGCGTGGACGGCACGAGGGGAGGATGAGGTGGTAGGAGACGGTAGAGAAGGCGGTCAGTGCGCTGGCTTTGAGGGAACAAGAGGAGAGGGAGAGACGGACCGAGAGCGTTGACGACGGCCTCTAAGGTCCACTGTCGGCCGTCGACGGTGAGGGTCGACGTGTCGGGGTCTGCGGTCCAGGTTGCGGCGTTGAGGACGAGAGCGTCGACCGAGTCGGTGCGGCTGTGGACCTGGTGGGCGAAAGCGCGCACCGAGTCGGAGCTGGCGAGGTCGAGCGCGAGCCACTCGAGGTGGATCGAGTCTGGGTGGGCGGTACACAGGGCGGCGAGGGTGCGCTGCTCCGGTGTCGGCGGAGCGTCGAGGGGCGAGCGCTGGCCGGCGAGGATGCGCCATCGACTCGGACGAGAACGAGGGAGCGAGACGAGGCGGTGGCACCAGTGCGACAGGGCGCCGAGGCCGAGGCCGGACGAGCAGCCGATGGCGACGAGCGTGGGCATGTCCAGTAGCAGCAAAGGCAAGCAGTTGGTTGGTCGAGGAGGGTGACGACGCTCACCGACGACGACGACGTCGACGAGGTCGACGCCTCTCTCTGTCGGCAGCCACCTCGAGCCCTGCACACCTCGCCACGATGGACCACGAGCCCATATCCATGGCATCCCGCCTCCCAGACGACGCCCTCAGCTCCCCGTCCCCGTCCCCCTCGCCCTCGCCCCCACCTCAACCACCCGTCGCTTCCACCAGCACCGCCCACCCCGAGCCAGGCCCAGCCCGCACCATAACCCTCACCTCGGTCAGTCCAGTCGACCCCAACAAGCGTCGCGACTTCAGCTACCGCTACTACGCACCCTCGTCGTCCGCCCTCGACTCGGCCACCCGCTCCTTCCTCGACCTCCCAGAGTCCTACTTCCAGCCCCTCCCCTCCGAGATCCAGCACGCCCACGCCTCGTCCGTCAAGCGCCGCGAGGACCTCGTCGACCGGCCCCTCTTGACCCAGAAGCTCCGCGACCAGCACCAGCGCGACCACGACCGCGACAAGGCCCGCAGGTGGCCCCACACCCGCATCCGCATCCGCTGGCCAGACCGCACTCTGCTCGAGGGCGTCCTCCCCTCGACCGACAAAGTCGTCCACTTGTACGAGTTTGTCCGCATCGCCCTGCGCCCCGACGCCCGTGACGTCCCTTTCGTCCTCTGTGCGTCCCACTCTCTCGTGCTCTCTGCCCCGTGGGACCGTACTCACCCTCGTGGCGCACCCGACAGACCAGACGCCGCCCCGCACCGAGTACCGCCGCGGCGCGCCCCACCTCAAGGGCAAGTCGCTCATCGACCTCGACTTCACCCCCTCGTCGGCCTTCTACATCAAGTTCGAGGGCCCCGACACCCCGCTCGTCGACGCGCTCAACGACCACAAGCGCGCCCCGCCGCTCGTCGACGAGCTCCTCGGCGCGCTCGCAGAGCTGCCGGCCCCGCCGACGTTTGACCCGCGCGACGGCGAGGCCACGGACGGCGAGGGCAAGGGCAAGGGCAAGGGGACGGTGGGCGAGACGGACGAGGAGCGCAAGAAGCGGGAGAAGGAGGACAAGCTGAGGAGGCTGCTCGGCGGCGGTGGCAAGGGGCGCGGCGGCGTGACGCCGAGCTGGATGAAGGTCGGCAAGGATGCCCGTGCGTCGCAGCTGTTCCCTCTCTCTCGCGCTCTCGAGGACTCGCTCGTCGAGTCTCGAATGTGCGTTGAGGAACGGGACATGCTCACCTCGCCCTCGATCCTCACCCGCAGACAAGAAGTAGCGTCCTCCCCCTCCCCTTCCTCTTCCCCTTCCCCTCTCCCGCCCTCTCGCCTCCCCGACACTACCACTTTCCGCCCCTTCAACACCTCCTCGTTCCTCCGTACCTCGCACCTGCAACCACCCGCCTCTTTATGCCTCACGTCGTCGACCTCTCGCATCTTTCTCGCGCACCTCGAGAGAACGCTCGGGCCTCTCGCTCGATCGGCTGCGCTCGCGTCGCTCTCGGCCGCCGGCGGGCCCGCCGCTACATATCGCATGCGTCGAAGCGCCGGCCTGCTCGGCCGCGGCGCGGACGGACGCCGGCTCCCCGGCGCACGACGGCCGACTCGGGCTCGCCGTCCCACTTTTGGCCTCGTCGCCCGCTCGCCTTGCTTCAGTTTTCCCGCCCCTCTCTCGCTCTCGCGCTCTCTCTCTCTCGACTCGCCGCGCTCATGCTTCACGCAGCGCACGGCGCGCCGCGCCCGTCCTACCTCGACCTCGCGCCGTCCGACCCGCTCCTCGCGCGCCTCCTCGCGCTCTACACCTGGTTCCTCCCCTCGCTCGACTGGCGCGACCGGCAGCGCGTCGAGTCGGCCGGCGTCAGCTTCCGCAACGAGTGGGGGAGGCTCTTGCCCGACGAGAGGGACCGGGCTGTCGATGTGCTCGTTGGGCGGTGGTGCGCGTTCAAGGCCGACGCGAGGAGCTTGGACCCGGCTGAGGTGCGTCGGCGACTCTCCCGTTCGCTCGATCGGACTCGTGGGACGAGAGGACGAGGACTGACGTCGCGTGCGCGTCGCAGCTCGGGTACCAGAAGATGTGCCGCACGATCAAGGTCATCAAGGTGCGTCTCCCTCTCGCTCGCCAATGCTTCTTCCTCCCTGCCGTCCCAGCTCACCCTCGATCCCCTGCGCGCACTCCCAGAGCACCAATCTCGCCGCAACGCACGAGCTCGCCCACCTGCGCGCCTGGACCGTCGCCCTCGAGCGCGCGTTCCCGCGCTCGTGCGCCAGCCTCGTCGAGAGGTGGAAGCGCGACTTCTTCAGCGAGACGGGCGTCACGGTGACAAAGCTCATGCGGTCGAGCGAGGCGGGGTGGGACGCCACGAGGAGGGGGCTCGAGACGGCGCCGGAGCTCGTCGAGATTCTCGTGCGGGTTGGCGAATCGCCTGCATTAGCGCTCGTGCGTGAACCTCCTTTCTCTCTCTCTGCCTCTGCGTTTTCCCAGCCGGTGTTCGATAAGGTGCCGAGCCTGCCGACGAGCCGGGAGAGAGCCTACTGACCTCCCTCGTCCCGCACAGCCCTCGGCCGACCTCATCCTCCGCCAAGCCCACACCGCCTCCCAGTCCCCCGCCGACCGCTTCCTCATCTTCTCGACCTCGCTCAAGAGCCTCGCGACGCTGCACCGCGCCCTGCCGACCCACGGCGACTCGCTCGCCGCGCACGACGAGCAGGCGTCGCTCGTGCGCGTCGTGCTCGTTCTCGCCGAGGACGTCGAGGCGTTCGAGCGCCTCGAGACGGAGCAGCAGAGCTCGGTCGTGGAACGGGCGAGAGATGTCGTGTTCGAGGCGGCGAGGATGAGGCAGGAGACGGGGAGGCTGCCGTCGCTACGTGTCCTTGTGCGTCCTCTCTCTCTCTTCCCCTCTCAGTCTGGGACAGTCGTCGCTGTTGGAGCAGTGCCGAGGGATCGGCGAGGTGGATCGAGGTGGGCGGAGCGAGGAGCGAGCCGAGATGGACCGAGAGCGAGTCGAGGTGAGGCGGCTTCTCCTCAGCCGTCTCTGGCATCTCTGGCATCTCTCGACTCGCCCTCAGCCCGCCAGAACTACAGTCGCACTCCCTCGCCATCAGCCACTGACGTCATGTCGTCGAGCAGGTACACGAGCTGCGCGAGGCCCTCAAGCCCAACGACTCGTCGAGCCAGCACTCGCAGTCGCCGCCCTTCCACTCGGCCGTGCGTCCACCTTCCTCGCCTCTCCCTCCCCTCGCTCGTCCCTCTCCCTGACGCACTCGTCGCCCTCGCAGGCCTCTCCTGCGCGTCGCCCCCTCGTCTGGTTCCCGCCGCACACGCCCGCCGACCCGCCGCCCGAGGACGACGCGAGCCTGTTTGCTGCTCGGCCCGCCGGCGTCGCCAGCGCGTACTTCCCTGAGAGTCGGGCAGTCCATCAGTAGCGCGTCTGCAACTAGTTTGTCTGGCCTTGGAGTGCCGAGCGCGAGAGCTGGACCCTCGAGAGCGGAGCGCACGGGCCTCTCGACGTAGTCGGCATGCCGCCGGCCTTCTCAAGTTGACCTTCCGGCGAGAACAGCTGCGCGGCAGCTCCTCGGCGCTCGCCTCGGCTGGAACGCTCCGATCAACGTGCGGGGCGTCGGCGAGCTCGACAGGAGGCCAGCAGCGACGAGAGCTCGAGCGACACGAGCGCGTACCGGACTCGCCGCGGACGAGCCGGGGGAGCAGCTCGAGCTCGACTTTGCTCGTCTGCGCTCGCCTTCCTCGCAGGCTCGCGGCTCTCGACAGCCTCGTACAGCAGCTCCAACTCGCCATGCAGGCCGAACCGTCGCGCAGGCCGGACTACACCCTCCCGACCGCGTCGCTCGAGTCCGCCGACCCAGTCCTGCACCGACTCAAGCTCGTCATCAGCTGGTGGCTGCCCTGCCTCGACGGCGCCAGCAACCGCAAGTACCGCAACAACGCCGTCGACGCTGTCTACAGCTTCAGCAACGGGTGGGGGACCTTCCTGCCCTCGGAGCGCGAGCGCGCGGTCGACTTTCTCGTCTCCGTTTGGTGCAAGTGGCAGGTCGACCCCACCCAAGTCGACCCCAACATGGTCGTACGTTCTCTCTCACTCTTTCCGAGGCTTTCCGAAGCACGTCCTGACCCACGAGCACCTTGCAGGTGAGCTACAAGAACCTGAGCCAAGAGGTCAAGCGCACGATCGCAACGGTGCGTCCCCTCTCCTTGTCGCATCTTGCCGTCCTCGGTCTGGACTGACAATGTTCGACCCTCGCCCCAGATCAAGAAGTCGCGGGCGGAGACGGCTCACCGCGGCATGCTCCGGGTCGGTCAAGACGTCGTCCGCTCGTACCCGTGGGAGGCCGTCGAGCAGTGGTACACCGACGTCTTCGGCACCGGCGTGCAGGGCCTGACCGTCACCAAGCTCCTGCGGGTCCCGCAACAAGGGTGGACCGTCATCCAGGAGACGCTCGAGCACGGGCAACACCTGCTCCGCGAGGGCGTGTCTACAGATCAAGCACTGGTGCGCGCGCTCTCCTGTTCTCGCCCTTCCCTCTCAGCCGGCTCAGGCGGGCGCGCTTGTCGTCGGCGAGCGCACGAGGCGCAAGAAGTGGACCATCACTGACACAGACTTGCCGCCCACAGCCGTCGCTCGACCTCCTCTTTGATGCGGCGCAAAAGGCGACGCAAACCGCCCTCGAACGCAGCGAAATCTTCCACCGCTGCGTCGACGACCTCCTCACCCTGTGCGAGGCTGCACGCCGCAGCGAGCACGTCTCGCGCGAGGGTCACGAAGCCTACCTCGCCCGAGTCCGCTCGGTCTTCCTCAGCGCCGACGAGGTGCGGCGCTTCGAGGAGCAGCTCAGCTACCCTCAGCAGACGTCGGCGGTTGCACTCGCGCGATCTTGGCTCTTCTCGGCGTGCCAAGGGCATGAGCTCAAACACCCGGTCCCGGACCTCGCCGACATGGTGCGTCTCTCAGTCCTTTTCTCGGTCTGAGTCGTCGCGAGCGAGACCCTGACCCACTGTTTCACAGGCTCACGACCTCTATCGAGCGACTGGACACGACGAGGACGCCGTACGGCGTGCGCTCGCGCCGCCGGAAGGCTACTTCCTTGTGCGTCTCCCCCGGCCTCCTTCTGCTGGCCCTCGAAGCCGACCACCTTGCCCGGTTCCCGCAGCGCCCTCGTGAGCCACTGGCTTCCACCTACAAGTGGGCGGTGCCGCGCACCCACGACAACATGCACCCGGACGGTCGCTCCCTGCGCAGCCTCTCCGTCCGGGCCCGGCACAACGAGCGCAGCCCTTACCGCCCGGAGCGTCGACCAGCCTTTTGTTAGAGTGCCTGCGAATGTATCCTGATTCGTCGAGTCGAGCTGTGCGGCGAGAGAACGACCGAGAATGAGAGCGCACGGGCCTCTCGACGTAGTCGGCATGCCGTCGGCCTTCCCAAGTTGAGCCTCTCGGACGCGCTGCTCTCCGTCGCTCGGAACTCGTCCTGGCCCTGCGCAGAGACGATCGAGAGATCCGCTCGGACGTCTTTGGGCATGGGCAATGTACCACGCGCACGGCAGCGTCGCCACAATCGAGCCTCTCGTCTCTCACCCTCTTACCCTCCTTTTTTCGCGCTCTCTCGCCCCGCTCGACTTGGCTCTCGAGTGCGTGGACATGAGACTGAATCGAGCAGACGAAAGAGCTGTATGGAGCGCTCGGGCACGACGAGGCTTCCGTACGGCTTGCGCTCGACCCTCTGCCGCAACACCTGCCCGCGAGTCCTCTCCCGTCCCCACCTCTTCGTCGCCAGCGTCGCCTGACCCTGCCCTAAATCTCCCATGCAGCCCATCTTGCCCCCTCGAACGCCGACGTACAAGTGGATCGAGGGGAAGCCGTACGACGACGCGCACTCGCTCGAGAAGCACGTCGAGCGGCGGCCGCATCGGCGCCGTCGCAGCTCTGCCAGCCCTTTCTTTCCCGAGCGCAGGAGGATGGATGTGTAGCTCGAGCCAGCTGAGCGTGCAACGAGGTCGTCGCGAGCGTGTTTTGAGCGGACGTCCGACCGAGAGCTCGTGTCGCCTCGAGGGCCTGCAGCGCTCGACAGCGAACCCGCGCAGCTGCGCAGCGAAGCTTGAGGAGCATGTGTGAGAGCTGGGCGGTGCGTAGAGGCACGCACCGCGCTCCAATTCGAAGCACTCGAGCGGTTTCGACTGGTGCTCGGGTCTGCGGCTGCCCGAGCCCGCCCCTGCCGAGCCTTGACCCCAGCCACGCGCATGAGAGCAGAGCGTAGAGATACGCCGCATGCGCTCGTCCTCCTTGAGCTGCATCATCGACTCATCGAGACGAGCAGGGCTCGGTCGACCGCGAGTGCGCGGGCGAGGGCGGAGGCGAGCAGGGCGAGGCCGAGGTGGGGCGGGGAGGTCGTTGGGTGTAGGTGGGTCGTGTCTGGGTGCAGTATCGTCGGTCGAGTCGGCGGGCTCGCCGGAGAGGCGAGGGCGTGCGTCGAGGGATGGCGCGCGGGGGGGGGGGGGGGG